TGTGTGTGTCTCTAATGGGGGGAGCTGTGTGTGTCTCTAATGGGGGGAGCTGTGTGTGTGTGTCTCTAATGGGGGGGGAGCTGTGTGTGTGTCTCTAATGGGGGGAGCTCTGTGTGTGTGTGTCTAATGGGGGGAGCTCTGTGTGACGGTGGGAACCGTGTGTAAAAGGGAACTCTGTTTGTGAGATGAGCTCTGTGTGTCAAACATTATATGGGACAGATCACATAATAAAATAAAGTGAAATAATAAATCACCATGTATACCATGTGCATGGCACAGTACCTCACTCCTCCATGGGATGGGCATATCACTTACTTGATGATACTGAAAAAAGTAGACAAAAAATAGCAGATCTGACAATAACGGATGTGGCTATTTTTCCCTCAGTTCTGTCATCTGGATTTTATTTAATTTAACTCGTTAATAACCCTGCATCAGATCTTGTCCCTATCTGCTATTTAACCGTGTTTGTGAGCCTGGGATCTGCACCTGTCTCTCTGTGGGGGCTGGCGTGACAGAGCTTCTGGTTGGGACACTTTGTGGTTTGTACCATCTGGGGCACTTGTGTAAGTTACATTGTATCTTGAGGTATTCTCAAGGGCAATGACTGTTCTTTTTCTGCACAAATAGGGATTTATTCACTATACCCCAAATTGTTTTGAACTGAAATCTGAATGGCAAAACTCAGTATAACAGGCTGATTCTGTAGCAAGTTTGAGAATTTTTCCAAATCAACTGTTTTGTCCATTAATTTGCCGTTCAGGTTTGAATTCACTACAATTCAAGGATTGGTGAGTAAATGCTGCAATGTTTCTGTTCCTCTGGCAATAGTTGCAGATTTGCGTCTTACTCTAAGACCCTACTTGACATGCGCTGATACCTTCTATATCTTGGTTGACAGGTTCTCTCTAAGTGGGGAAACATGAGTTTTGTGAAGTAGTATCTGTTTCACAGTTTGACAAAAGCGTAAGCAGTAATAGATTTCTGAGTATTTTGTAGTATTCACACTGATAAATGTACACCAAGCATCAATAAGCATTACGCTTTGTTGAAACCCTTAAAGACTGTCACCTTTTGATGGGTTTTACTAAGCTTCGGTTGCCTTCTGGTGGCCAGGGAAAGGTCGTTTTTTACTTGCCTGAACCTGACCCTCTTGGACTCTGCCATCTTCTTCTGCAAGATCGTCTTCAGATCCCGGAGTTTCATCTGCCAGTGTTGTACTGTAGCACACTCACAAGCTACACTGGTGTCTATGTACAATCCTGTCTGTTGTTAAGCATAGGAAAAATACACAAAACAAAGCAGCCCCAATAGTTTCACTTGGCTGTAATTCCAGTGAAATACTAACAGTCTTTATGAGCATTTTACATAATCTTCCTGAAATGGCTATGGTGCAAAAACCAAGCTCCTGCATTTACAAAATGTTTCATGTGAGAATTGTTAGCATTTTAATTTCTGGATGAAGGTTTGCAACCATTGTCAATAAATCAGCCAGTCAGTATACCTATACCCTCTTCCTGTTTAGGAATGTCAGTTTTGTGCAACATTTGTGTCCGGTATCAGCATGACCCCAGATGCCTTTGATAGCCTGCACATAGCCACCAGTAGCTTACTGCTTGCAATGATAAATGCATACAGCCATGTTGGCCTGCTTTTGCTGTCATGCTTTGTAATAGTTTGGTTGAAGTTGGTGGGAGGTAAAACGTACATCTGATGTAATGGCATGGTAAGGCAATCATTTGGGGGCTTTGGCTCTGTCTATAGAGGACCCCGCAGGACGTCTGTCACAATAGGGGGTCTTTGCAAATTCGTCAATTCCCTGCAACTGTTACTGATGATGGCTGTCAGTATTGACACTGTAGCACTGCCCAGAGCGGTCACAAAAAGTCAGGTTTAGGAAATATACAAAGACAGAGCAGTCCCTGTATATCTCTTGACCGGGTTAGAATTTCAGTGAAATTTTAACAGTCAAAATGAGTATTCCACTAACGGACAAATAATTTAATATAAAAAAAGACACTTTTTAAATAGTTTTTATTAATTCATAAATAAAGCCACCAATTGTATGAGCTGTTTTGGACTAGGGATTTATCATCAGAGTTTGTCCATGAAAAGTGTGTTCTGTGCAAAGAGGGTGTTTGTTTTCAGTTGCCCTCGAGACCAACTCTGATGCTACCAATGAAATATTTGTGCAAATTGTAGTAAATGCATTCGATTTTGCTTGCTAAAATTATATGTATTGAAAAATATGCATTTTCCTACAAATCATTGATTTATTCTTCACACTGATGAATGTGGAAAATTGTCAAGTATTTTCCAGTCCATTTTGTCATAAAATGTTTCCCTGGCAGTCTCCAAAATTCCCCATCTAGTGAATGTCTTTTCTTCTTCATTCCTCTTTTTATACTTTGTTCACCTCATCATAGAGGATGTAGAAGCAGCTAGAGTCCAGTGATGGCGAACCTGTGGCACGCGTGCCATTATTTAAAATTTGTATAGTTGAACTCTGTTGTTGTGTTCTTCTTTTAAAACAAAAGTTGTTAATTAGTTCGGGCAACTGTACGAGTTGTTTTTTTTTCTAAACTTAAAGCGGCACTGTCATGCCAAATCCTGTTTTTTGGGGTTTTTTTTTTAACTCCACTATCTCTAATTGACACCGTGTCACTCCCAAATGCCCCTAAGCCCCCCACATTACCTATTTTTTAATCTTTATTTTCTGCCCCGATCTTTATTCAGGGCGCCGTCATCTTTGTGTGGGTAGATGAAGTCCCTGTGGGACACGTCACCTGCCCACACTAGATAGACTGTGAGATTCCCGCACATGCCCAGTTAAACACTTGGACGTGCGAACGGGAAATTCATCCATTCATTCATCAGAAAGATGAATGAATGAATAGAAAAATCAGACTAACAACTAACACTGTGTATCAGTGATCGTTTGTTCGTTCAGTTTATTACAAGGAGGGAGCTACCGGCACGCAGCTCCCTCCTTGTAAAATGTAAAAATAGAAGCGGCAGGGAGCAGTGCTCCCCGCCACTTCATAAGCCCCCCAGGCTCCCCCTCAATCTATGGGGGTCAATATGACCCCCATAATACCACAAGGGAAGTTAAAATCTCCCCAATGCCCCTACTTGCTATACCGCCAGTAGGGGCATGTCCACTAAACAGTGAGCAGCCTGTGCCTGCTCAATGTAGGAAAAAAAAACCTACTATCTGGCCCCCACCCCTGAGCGGTGGGTGGGGGCCATAAATTACAATGGGGGGACGGGGACCTACTGTCCTCCCCGCCCCCACCCCTGGGCAGTGGGTGGGGGTCATAATGATAATGGGGGGGGGGGAAACCTACTGTCCTCACGGCCCCACCCCGGGCGGCAGGGGCAATGATGACAATGAGGGGAGACCTGTCCTTCCCCAGGCCCCCACCCCTGGGCGGCGGCCATGATGATAATGAGGGGGGACGACCTACTGTCCTTCCCCCCACCCCTGGGCGGCGGGTCGGGGCCATGTTGATAGCCACCACCACTGGGCGGCGCGTGGGGGCCATAATGATGGGGGGGGGGGGCTACTGTCTAGTCTTCTGTAGAACATTAGTATTTTAATTGGCCCAGCTCAGGGCTGCACTGTAGTGACTTATCAGTCTGCTGGGATCTGTACCATCGTCAACAGCAGAACAAACCACTAACACAGCTCCGTCTCCCCAATGTGTCAAGTTAGAACATAATAATTTGAGATAGTGAAAAGCATGCACAATGTACATTAGGCCCCTGTCTGTTAACATATACCTCTGGCAATAGAGCTCTTGTAAATATACACATCTCAGTTTTTTTTTTTTTTTAATTCTTTATTTTTGTTGTGCAAGCGTTTACATACAGACTTGCGATACCACGACAGTATTGGCAAGTAGTTCAAGCATCAAACATTGTGTAACTTTGACATGGTATATGAAGTGACTGCACACATTTTTTAAAGTAATATACAACGGGTTAACAATACATGCTGGGTGTATCATGCGATAAGGTAAACATGCTATATCTGGGGTAGGCTAGGACCACGCTGAACCAGTGTGTCTATCATGGTGTAAGACATAACAGATTTATACTGCACGTTTGGTATCTAGACAAGATAATATAATATTAAATCTGCATATATGCCTAGCTCACTGATACTGAAGAATCATGTCAGACACACGTGGTGAATTATGTTATGCAATGCACGATTGGTACGTTTTAAGTAAGAATTATTGTTTAACATGCTGGCTAGACAAGAGCTTACGTTTTAAGTAGTAATTATTGTTTTACATATTGGCTAGTCAAAAGCTTAGTTAGGACCACTGGAGCTTAGCAGATCGTTGCCATTTAACATAGGTAGGAAAGGCAATACTGTAGCAGTGTATAGCAAAGAATACTGGGGCTTAGGCAGCAAGACAAAGTTAAAACTGTAGTCCCTTGTAAAGCCCGCGTAACGTTGGGCTGTGGTTGTCTCTGTGCTGGCCTATAGGATGGGTTAACTTCAGACTCGTGGGCTGTGACAGGGAGACACAGTAGTCCTGCTCAATGCACAATGACAGGGATCCACATGCTTTCACAGGTGTCTAGGGTACTCATCTGGGTGGTAGTTGGGCTTCTCCTTCCAGGCTTGATCTGTAGCCGAGTGCAGAGCTAACAAGCTTGTTGTTGCTTGGGAAGGGCGGCTGGTAGAAACATCATGCAGCGTGAGAGCACAGCTCCCCCAGGGGTCGCCGGTTGCGGTCAGAGGGTTTAGTAACTCTTTCAGCCCCACTCTTTCCCCTGCTGTGGTAGATGTTTTGTCCCCGGACTTGCCTTGTTCTAGCTGGGTGGTCTGCGATCGGCTCTGTCATGCTGGCCGGTCGCGCACATGGCTTGCGAGCGGCGGCCATCTTGTGGGGTGCCGCTCGGTAGGTGTTCCACGGCAGAGTGGTTGTTCTGGGCCCAGATTTGTGCCCCAGTGGTTGCCCTTGTAGACCGGGATGACCCCCCCGGTCCAGAGGGGGGGAGGGGAGCCAGACGCTGACTGGAGACCCGGGAGGGCGGCCGTCCCATCCCGGCTCAAGCTCCTTTCTGCTTCGGGCTCTTGTCGGGTCACTGTTGCCAGGCAGGGTCTTGTGAGGTATCCCCGCGTTCCCCATCAGCTGGGGGTCAATTTGGTCGCCAGTATGGACCGCTGGTTAGGTTTGGCCTCCGGTTTTCGCCGATTTTTCGGCCCTGACGCGGGAGCTCAGACAAAGCACGTCTGATCCCGTCGGCGGTCCGGCCCCGCCCCCCCCCCCCACATCTCAGTTTTATAATAAATTTTCACTGTATTACAAAGTTTTATCTATTTGTGTCTATAATGAGACCTCGCTGCCCTAGGTTTAATTTGAACATTGTATATTCCAATATAATGATTAGGGAAAGCTGATTGTTTAACCCATTAAGGACCAAACTTCTGGAATAAAAGGGAATCATGACATGTCACACATGTCATGTGTCCTTAAGGGGTTAAAGGAACACTATAGTCACCAGAACAACTACAGCTTATTGAATTTGTTCTGGTGAGTAGAATCATTACCTTCAGGCCTTTTGCTGTAAACACTGTCTTTTCAGAAAAAATGCAGTGTTTACATTACAGCCTAGTGATAACTTCACTGGCCACTCCTCAGATGGCTGTTAGAGATCCTTCCTGGGTCATGGCTGCCTAAAATGCATCCAAACATTCAGTGTCTCCTCCCTCTCCATTAAACCGAAACGGGAGGCTATCAAAATCACTCTGGCAATCACATATAGAAGTTCTGACCACTCAAGACTCAAAACGGTGTTTCTCGAGTTATGTTTTGCAAAAAGTTGTTCCGGTCGAAAAACACCACCCTGTGCTTATGATCCCTAAAAAAAATCTGCACGTATTGAGAAGCCTTGAGTGCCAGGAACTTCTCTTTGTGATTGCAATATTTAGCCCAGACTGAAACATATGCTTTATGCAACGCTTAAGGTGAGCCCTACAAATAACCCATTTAATACATTTAAATCACCGTGACTGAATGATCCAGTGGTCTTGCAGGATCCTCCCCAGACTTCAGTGCTGTACTCTTGCGCATGTGCGAGTATACAGCACTGACAAGGCTCCTGGCAGCTGAAGAGCACCTTAATCATGAAGAAGGCGGTGGCTGTGAGGGACAGTTAAAGATAAGTAAAACACCATCTGTTTCGGGGGAAATATGCTGAGACCCTGAACTTGACAGATCCACTTTAACTATTATACCTCCTTTATTGATTTCAGGTAATAAACCACATCTGTCTGTGCAGTGAGAAGGGTCACTTTTCAGATGATTCACCTATGAGATGAATACTAGAAAAAAGAAAATCAATGTTGAAAAGAATACTGTCAAAAAAATTATGAGCAGAAGATTTAAATACATTTCAATATACACCCCAGACTTGAAATGGCCAGTAACTTTTTAAAGCCTGGTTAGTGACATGGAAATTGAAGCCGTTGATTCTGTGTATGAAGCAGACTTTTTCATTTAACATTTTAGTGGATTTTGTTTTATTTGTAAACATTGGTTTCCTTTCTCCGCCACTTGATTTCTATATTTATACTTTTGTGATAACGAACATCTATTTGATGAACCTGTATGGTTTACATTTTTTTCCCCCAGGATTTTGGCACAGATTTGTTCTTAAAGTGACACTAGTGATGGCTAACATAGTCATATTGGTTTTTTTTGTGTGTGTGCTGGCTGAGCATTCTGGATCATGAAGTCCAATCACTGTTGCCAGTTGAGCCATCACTGGTGTATATTCTCTAAGTGAACATGGCTCTTCTGTTTCAGTTTCCTTGGTAATTGATACAATGCTGTTAAGTGCTCTGCTATTGTCATGCACTTGTTGCTCGTTCTACATCTCATTAACCCCATTTCGAGGCAGGTAGGACCAGTTTGACTGTTTTGTGATGGTAGTTCTGTTCTGTAGAATGCAACACAGTGGCTCACAGTTAACCAGTGGCTAGCAAAGTAACTGTTTCCACTAAACATCAGTTTTGTTACTTGACCATGAGCTGACATTTTCTTGTTGTTCTAAGTCCCTACTGGGGATGTTTGACTTATTTTCACCACTTAGTATCTGTATCATGTTGGACAGACCCTGTGAATTGTTTCAGGGCACTTTGCTGTATTTTATGTTTTTTAAATCTTCCAGTATTTCTTTAATGTGCTGTAAATCTGCTGGGTCAAGTAAGTGACTGAGATTTCTTGGCTAAATCTGTTCTGCGATTCTTTTTCACTGGGAGCCTTGTGTGTGTGGTTTCATCTTTCTGTTTCCTTGTGCTTATATGTACGTGGTGGCTAATCAGCTGTGGGATTTGTATTCTGTAGTCCCCAGCCCCGGCGTTACCAGTAATCTTTCTGTCTGCCTATGAATGAAACCCTCTTTCTTATTTCTGGTTTCCATTGGATCTGTCTGTGTTCAGTACCTTGTATTTCACTATCTGCCACCGGAGCCGTGTTTGTGAGCCTGGCACCGGAGCCGTGTTTGTGAGCCTGGCACCGGAGCCGGGTTAACGCACTGTGTTTTGTGAGTCTGGGATCCAACCTGAAAAGCCTTACTGTGCTTCTTCGTGTGAGAATTAATTGCTAATATTCATTGTTCTCCGGCTAGTCTTGGTCAATCTCCCAGATTGCCATTTTAGCAGGCTTGGCTGCGAGAGCTTGTGTTACTCTTCATGGTTATTTCATACATGTTCCTTGTTCTATCTATCATGAATAAATAAGTGGCTAAGCACAGTTACAGCAATCCGTCAGAATCTCGTTACACTGTGGCAGCGGACATTAACAATCCTACCCGCAACAAATGTGCACAAATGTAATTGGCCACAGGCTGCTCACTGTTTAGTAGACATGCCCCATACTTGTGGTATATCGAGTAGGGGGATTCTGGAGATTTCAATCTCCCCTATGCTAATATGGACCCCCATAGAGTGAGAGAGAGAGCACATGGGGGGCTTATGAAGTTGCGGGAAGCTCTGCTCCCGATCCCTTCTATTTTTACATATTACCAGGAGGGAGCTGCGTGCCGGTAGCTACCTCCCTGTAATAAACTGAACAAACGAACAACGATATTCTCACGAATACACAAAATTCCGGACAATAGCTAATGCCCAAGTGTTTAACTGGGCATGTGCGGGAATTTCTCTTTGCTATTTAGTGTGGGCAGATGACGTGTCACACAGGGACTTCATCTAGCCACACAAAGATGGCGGCGCCCAGGACCTGGGCACGAAATAAAGATAAAATAGGTAATATGGGGGGCTTAAGGGCATTTGGGGTAACTAGGGGGACAATTAGATGTAGTGGAGTCGGGGGGAGGGGGGTTAAAAAAACAAACAAAAAAGGGGTAGGATTAAAAAAAAACAACAACAAAAAACCTGGATGCAGCCATGTCTGTGCCGCTTTAAGCAACACTTCCAATCCAGTTTATATTGAACCCTTTGAGGTCTAGTAAGGCTTATCTTTGTCTCTTGTCCTTTTTGTAATCAGTTTTCTTACCGTGACCACAGAGAGGTCACGTGACGAGTCAGCAGACTGGAAGAGATGGCATGAGTTCAGGGTAATTCATTTATCAATGTGTTGGTTATGTCGGTTCACAAATCTAAATGTACTCTTGAGTCGATCTCTTAATTTTGCATTCACTTTGGTTGTCGTTACTAGTTCCACATTTGACCCGGCTGCCTTAACTTTCAAACTCAGACTATGCAGATACAATCAGATCATAGGTCCAATAAAGTAGTCTTGTCTATAACCCTTCTGAGTCTGTTAACAACATAATCAAATATAAAAAAAGCCATCTAACATTAAACATAAGCATATTTATTTTGTTTTTATGTAATTATTTGAAATTAGAGTTCCTTTACTCCTTTGCTTTTTGTTCTATTTTTGTTGCCTTTTTTTTTAATGCCTTATCAATTCCTGGAAAATACCAATTGTCCTGTAGCTTGCTTCAAGTTAAATGTAGATCTAATAACCAGTTAGTAATGGTTCCATCATTTCTCTTGCGCTGGGAGGTACTTTGATGTAAACCTAATTCAATAGAAGAGTTATTTAAATAGCCTGCCCTGCTAACATGCAGTGAAATTAAAGGTCTCCATTCAAAAGCCTTGAGGCGAAGAGCCAACTGCATTCATAGTGCTGCTTCCCAATGCCTGCATGAGATCTGCTGTAAGTCCATCACAAATGCCATGTATCTTTAAACACACATAACATACTCTGGAGATCCCAAGTATGTTGGTAAAGCGAGGTTTTGTTTCTGTAAAAGAGGTTAAACAGCTGTTTGAGAATAGTTTCTAACTTTGAATGTTCCGTTATACAGAAAAGGATGGGAAAGCCTTCCACCCAACCTATGAAGAGAAGTTGAAGTTGGTGGCTCTGCACAAGCAGGTCCTGCTGGGGCCTTACAACCCCGATACCTGTCCTGAGGTTGGCTTCTTCGATGTGCTGGGCAATGACAGGAGGTAATGCGTTCAGTGTACTAAGCAGCTGGACATGACCAGGTTATTCACAACTAAACGCTGTTTGCTTGTCTGTTATGTAAAGTTCAAAGCTGAAGGCCGTGGGGGATTCATTTTATGACGACATTGACATTTTACGGCCCTTGATTTGAATTGGACTCAGCATTTGCAATGTGTGGGCAGCACTGTCTGGTTAAAGTTAAATTGATTGTGTTTTTTTATTATAAATATTGCCTAGTAAAATTACTAGCAAATCTATGCATTTAGTGATTACATTTATATGAAATCTTTTTCTAGTGTGCTGTAACCTGTGTGAGCCCCCACTATGCACTGCACACGTCACATGTGATAAGCTAGGGTTTTCAATAATTCTTTGAACAGCACAGTATTGATAACATTATGAAGTGTGACATACCGCTGACCGTGTCATACCACCTTATTTTCACAACAAGGCTGTTTTAAAAAGGTTTGCTCCTGAGAACTTCATTATACAGTGTGGTGACCGTGATACGAGTTTACCATGTGTATAATATATATAGTCCGTAATCCCCTATTGTGTCTGTGTTAGGAAGGACATGGCTACGTTCTGGCTGTAGTCAGGAATTTATTTCGATTAGTTGCCTGACATCCGTACCACGCCCAGTATGGTGCTAGTCTGTTATCAATATGTTTTATTACACCAGGCACTCCTTTTGGATGCCCGCATTAACATAAAATGTTAGCATACTATTTTCATTTTATGGCTTTATTTCCATGCGAAAAGGTAAAGGCTACGACATACATGACTTTCAGTGCCCTAGCAAAGTTATCATTCATTATAAAGATTAAATATTCTACAATAGTTCATGTAATGTAATTGTATGCATAGCTGCTGCAATCGAAAGATTGACACATGGCATCACAGTCTAAAACTAAAAGCATTTCACGTATGCATTCGCCGGCAGTTTGGCTAGTAGAAAATGTAGATTAAACTTGCACTTTATAAATCTATCTCCTCTGCAGAGGTAGGGTCGTTTTAGGCTTTTCGTGGGTTTACTTCATTTTTCTTTAACTTAGTGGACATTGAGGGAGGGGTGCCATATGACAATATACACTGCTTGAGAGCCACAGTAGGAGCGAAGAAGACTGTGGCACTATTTGTAAATAACACTCGTGGATTCCAAGTTGAATTGTTGATCCATTAAACTCCACATGACTTCCAGAAGCTGCTTTTTCGATGACCAATAATGGTATGATGGATTGTGACATAGAGCTGCAATCGCACACAATTAATCAGGGGAACAAAGAATGCCGTATTCCTCGATGTTTATAAAGTAGTTCTGCACACAATAAGCAGGTTTCTTTTTTTGAGTTATGAAGCTATATTTTTACTTTATATTATTTCCCCCACCAATAGGAGAGAATGGGCGGCCTTGGGAAACCTGGAAAAACAAGAAGCCATGACAGAGTTTGTAACATTGCTAAATAGATGCTGTCACCTCTTTTCAACATACGTCACTTCACATAAGATCGAAAGGGAGGAGCAGGAGCGGAGACGGTAACTTCCCAATCTCTCTATCCTAATACTTCCAACTGATAAACATAAACAGAGCTAGACTCGCTTTAAATTCTTTCCTTACTAGAAAGAAAAATAAATGTTAAGACAAAACATGGGGACGGGTGTAAGGTGGGGCAGCAGGGTCTGGGGAGATCTTTGTTTTGCCAGGAAACCGTTTTTATTTAAGAGCTGTGTTTTCAGGTTGCTCTTGTTTAGAGGATAATTTAGATTCCCAGACATAACAGAAGAGGAAAATGTCAGCTCTGTTAGTGGTGAATAAAACATTCATCTCCGTCTTTTATTCCCCCAAGTTCCGCTTTTTTACACAATAACAGAAATTCTACTTACCGTAAATAATTTTTTCCTTATTATAGTGGCAGTACCAGTGGGTTTGTATCCTCTTGATGGACAAGCAGACTGTCAATTAAATAAAAACATTTAAATAGTCCCTCCTCCTTCCCCTTTAAAACACCGGACTTTCCCCAGGAACGTCGGTAAAAGAAGACACAAAAGGCTACATCATGCTCAATCTAAATTTACTATCGTACTGCCACTATATTAAGGAAAAAATCATTTACGGTAAGTAAAATTTCTGTTTTTCCTAGCATATAGTGGCAGTACCAGTGGGATATGACAAGATCCCTGGAACATTAAAAGGGTGGGTCTCAGCGAACTACAGCTTGCAGCACCTTGCGCCCAAAAGCAGCCTCAGAGAACGAGAAGATGGGTTGCCGATGGTGCTTGATGAAGGTATGAAAAGAGGACCAAGTTGCCGCTTTGCAGATGTCTTCAGGAGAAGTGTTGGATTTTTCAGCCCATGAAGTGGACATGGCTGTGGTTGAGTGCGCTCTAATGGAGGAAGGTATTTGAACATTGTGCAGTTCATAAGCCAACGTGATGGTGTCTGTTAACCACCTCGCCAGAGTGGGTTTAGATGCTCCCATACCCTTCTTTTTCCCTTGAAAATTAATAAACAGGTGATCCGAGGACCTAAATTCTTCTGAACGGGATAAGTAAATCAGAAGTGCTCTGCGAACATCTAGGTTATGCCACTTCCGTTCTTGAACCGAACTTCCCAAACTACAAAATGATGGAAGTACCAGAGGTTCATTAAGAGATTTTCTTGAAAGAACTTTCAGTAAAAAAGAAGGCTTAATATGTAGCACAACCTTGTCCTGATGGAAAATCGTGAATTCCGATGAAGAGGAAAGAGCTTGGATCTTCCCAATTCTCCAAGCTGAGGTAATTGCTATTAGGAAAATAGGCTTGAGAGACAGAATCCTTAATGATACACCTTCAAGTGGTTCAACTAGAGCTTCACATAAAGACTGTAGCACCAGAGATAAATCACAGGAAGGGAATTGAAATTTTCGAGGTGGTCTTTGTAAAAGAATGGACTTGAAGAAACTCCTAATCAGCAGACATGTCGCAAAATCCACATTTTCTTTTTGCATCCATCAGTGGAGTGGAGGAGCGCATTCTGAGCAGGAGTTACGTTTTGATTTAAACATAGCCTTCTTGGGTGCAGGTGCCGACATTTTCTCCTTGGCTAATTCTTTAAAAGATAATGGGCTAGACATCTGCAATAAATAAAACAATTTTAAGAAAGTTACCAATCCAGAAGAAAACAGATGCTCTTAAGGAAAAGATAAATTATATCATATCTTAAAGACCTCTGAACCGTGGGGGGGGAGGGTGACACGGTATTCCTTCTCCAGACAACAATAACGTTTGCCCTGAAGGTTTGCACGGCTTTAATGTGCACCATTTTTTTTTTTATTTGGCGACAAAATTTCAAGTTCCGAATTGCATATGCGCAGTAGAGTATTCGGAACTCCTGTGGAACGCGAGGCCACCCGGGCGTGTGTTCCACTGCCATGCGCAAGCTCTGAGCTTGCAATTCCATTGGCAGACCTCCTGGGATCACCTCTTACCCATTGGCGGTTTCCACACGGCATAAGAAGGCATATTTTCCTGCTTGCTCTGTAACCAAGACACACAGTGTGGCACTCAGCTCACTTCCCAGGGAGCTACCGGACCAATCCCCCAGACAGCAGCCTGTGCGCCTCACCAGACCGATGGTCCTGTGGTAAATTCGGGATTTTATAGGGGAAGGAGGAGGGACTATTTTAAAATGTTTTATTTATTGACAGTATGCTTGTCCATCAAGAGGATACAAACCCACTGGTACTGCCACTATATGCCAGGAAAAGTTCTTTTAAAAGTAAAATTATATTAAATTGTTTGTAATAAATGCTGGCAGTGCATCAAAGGAACTGTGGTTCACAAACACCTACAGTTCTACCGTTATCTGTCACTGGCTTAGGCCAATCTATACAACAAACACATTGGGCACTTTACTAATGTTTGTAATTTAGCAATCCGTTGTGCTTTTCAGCAGTGCCTGCTTGTAGTCTTGATACAGTAATATTGCTAATCCTTTCAATAACAAATGTTTGTGCAGACAGGCCTTGTAGCATTGCAAGGGCATTAATTAGCATAAGCTTTTCTTTTTTGGGTACTTTTTACATTGTAGTTTTCTCGTCTCCTTTAAAGGAACAATCAGTATTTCTTCTCAGTCTGTCTTTTCTTTCTAGAAGTAGACATGTCATCACATTTTATTAGCATTGAAAAATGTAATTCGTGACATTCCTTGCAAACGTCATGATTTGTAATCTCATGATAGGGCTTTGGGGCAGCATCTCCGCACCAAAATAATCTCATTAAGATGCCCAGTCTGTTTAAAAATTTTTTTCCTGTATTTACTTTCAATTCATAAATAGAAGGGAGGAAGAAGAGCGTAGGAGGCAAGAAGAAGAGGAGCGTCAGCGTTTGCAGAGAGAGGAGGAGAAACGTAAAAGAGAAGAGGAGGAGAGATTGCGGCGAGAAGAGGAGGAAAGGTTGCGAGTGGAAGATGAGCGATTTCGCATGGAACAGCAAAAGTAAGGATTTCTCTCACTATGCCATATTGGTGCATGGCGTGATTGTTTACAGTAGAGGGCTATTCTCCAGCTCTCACATTGCATATATGCGAAGTTCTCCCTGCAGCCCCTCATTGGAGGGAGAAGGATGTTCCGAAGGGAGGACACTGGGGGGGTGAGGCCATGCTTCACTTGCATGCTATGCGTATTAGAGAGAGGTGCCTTTTATGCACAGAATTAACGTTAACTCTAGTTCCAGTCTGCTAATGATGCTGAAGTGGAGTTACACCTCCAGTAGCAGAGTGTGTTACATCTGTATGGGAAACGTTTCTTCCTTGTTAAACGCTGCACATACATACTCCAAGCACCGTGACCACTTCAAATCACTGAAGTGTTCATGGTAATTGGATTAACACTTAAACACTTTTCTGCAAGGGTTCTACTTTGCAGCTGAACACCTCTGGCAGTGAGGATGTGGCTGCACATGGTCATGGGAGTAGCAGTGAGTACAACATGTGGGGCTACATTTCAACATTTTCCTATGGAAAGCACCAAGATTGGACAAGTATGACATACTTGCACTGATTTCAGTTCAAGCTCTTGCATAAATATTGCTAATGCAAATCCTTATTTACTGGTAAAACTGGTTAGCAGACAGGTATATATTAAAACTACATTTACATGATGATAACACACACTAATCACCATTTTTGCCAGGAAAGACACATTTTGTATTTTTGCTAGTTTTTAGGTAAGTCTTGGGATCTTTGTGTATTTTGACATCTACGTTTTTGTGGCTTTTTTTTTTTTTTTTGAGTACTTTGTTTGTTTTGCTGCAGGCAGCAGATAATGGCGGCCTTGAATTCACAGACGGCTGTTCAGTTCCAGCAGTATGCTGCTCAGCAGTATCCAGGCAACTTCGAACAGCAACAAATCCTTATCCGACAGCTGCAGGAGCAGCACTATCAACAGTACATGCAGCAACTGTATCAGGTGCAGCTAGCACAACAACAGGTATATTGCCACTCACCAGCACTACCACAGTAACCGGATCGTTCTGAGATAAAGCTCACAGTCACTAGTCCTGTAACCGCTCTTTCCAGTCAATCTTAGGAAGAGCTCCCTCATTAGCTCAGCTTAAATTGACTAACCCAGTAACCAGTACATCTATATTGCCTGAGTAAGCCATCTTAATAAATAGCACTGCAATATAGGAAGCTGTTACTTAAACCAAAATGTGCTTTGTAACCTGTTTGGCGAATATGGGTTTACTAAATAAACAGATATATTGTCTAGTCCTGTCGCTAGGCCTGACATCACGGCTGTTGTATGAAGTATTCTACTAACTGGGTACTCCTGTCTCATACAAGTCTTTCTTTTCCCTCAGGCGGCCTTACAGAAACAACAAGAAGCTGTGGTACAAGGAACTAATTCTCCACAAAATTCTCCCTCCAAGATAAAAGCAGGAAATATATCCACACTCTGCGAGGCCCCTTCCGTTAATGGTCAGAATCACACCCACACCGAGAGCTCTGAAACAGAAGTGGGCACAGATCCCCTGGACGATATTCTAGAGAATGGGCCAAAAGGTTTGTTCTAGAACACATACGCTACTTCCAAACTAGCATAATCCAGATATCCCGGGAAGGGTTATTTGTAACTGAGCACCATTTATTTCAGTGCAGACTTAGTGTAGATAGTAACATTGTATTACTCTGCTTTGTTCCTTTGTCTGTTTAGGTTTAAAATCCACCCTTTAAAAAAAAAAAAAATCCCTTTCCGATTGCAGTTAAACATGTAATCTAGCCACTTTGATGCACTCTGAAAAGCTGGATGACTTGTCTAAAGAAAAGCATATGGCGCTTGCAATACTAGTTTCAATCCGCAAATCCAATGCTTCTAATTCAGTTCTGTTGGATTGTTTAACCTATAAATTACATTTTTCCATTTGGCTGGTGAATGCGTCAAAAATGAGTAGGTTGAAAAGTATCCCACAAAGCTGCATCAGAAATTGTAAGATGCCTTACACTCATTTTCGGGCTTACTGCAGCCCACCATACTTTTAGAAATTTCCGGACTGCTTTTTCTATTTGCATTTTCTGGCAATTTGTGCACAGCATATGTTGCTGTTGTAAAAGACCTGCTGTTGTGGGTTAAGCTGTGTAGTTGATCTCTAAGGATCTTGTGACTAATGACTGGTTTCTTTCAGAGTCTGCCCCAGTAATAGCTGCTCCTTCCATGTGGACACGGCCGCAGATAAAAGACTTCAAAGAGAAAATCCGTCAGGATGCAGACTCTGTGATCACCGTGGGCAGAGGGGAGGTGGTCACAGTGCGAGTTCCCACCCATGAAGAAGGCTCATACCTGTTCTGGGAGTTTGCCACAGATAGCTACGATATTGGGTTTGGGGTTTATTTTGAATGGACAGACTGCCCAAACACCTCAGTCAGTGTGCATGTCAGCGAGTCGAGTGAGGATGAAGAAGAGGATGAAGGTAGGTTAGAGCAGCCTAGTGGTTGTAACAATATTTGATATTAACATGCAGCAGAGTATGGTGTACACTACAGAACTTGAATCACTGTTTTTTTTTTTTTCAATATTACCGTAGTTGCCATCAGCGCAGTCCAACTGATTGTAAATATAAACACACAAATTATATGTGGCAATGGCCACAGTGTTAAAAAGCCAAAATACACAGAACAAATGTGTGATGGAGCTCCTGTACCCCGTCCAAGTACCTCTGCCCAGCCCGCTTCTTAGCAGCTTCCCAGGACACAGGAACGCTTCAGCCCCAGTCGGCGAAGCTTGACTGGTTCTCTCTGGAGCTCTTTCCTTCCAAGGATGTACCATTCCTCTGCAGTCCTTCTTCCAGGCAGGTATGCACCTCTGCCTGCAATGTGATAGCTCCTGTCTTTATAAAGACACTTGCAGCTCTCAGGCCTAGCTTTCTGTTTGCCCACAGGCTAAAGGGATCGTACAGACAGCCAACAGGTCTGCAACTGTGTTATTGGGATCCTTAAAAATCCACACAGGACACACAGATCCAAAAGGAGCAAATCTTTGCAGTTTTTTGTTTTTACTTGGGACTAAAACATATGCTCGTAACATCAGGCTTGCTGTGACTAACTTAATAAAATCCAAATAACCAAATCATATCAGACAACAGGCAGGAACTTGTAATGACATTTTCATAACTGGGTGGGGAAAGCAATAATTAAAGGGACTCTCCAGTTTTCCTGGCACTGCAGGTCCCCTCTCCCTCCCACCTCCCATCCCCGGTTGCTGAAGGGGTTAAAACCGATGTCCCTCGGTGCTGGGTCGGGCTCCGCCAACTCTCCTCCCCAGCCGACAGGGGAGACCTAATGCGCATTACACCGCCCCATAAGAAAGCATTATTCAATGCTTTCCTATGGGAATTCCGTCAACGCTGGAGGTCCTCATGCATTGCGTGAGGATGTCCAGCATCTCTTAAAACACTAAAAGTGTTTTAAGAACCCGGAAGCTCCTCTAGTGGCTGTCTTATAGACAGCCACTAGAGGAGGACTTAACCCTGTTAGGCAATTAGTGCAGTTTATGAAAAACTGCACTAATTACACTTGCATGGTTAAGGGTAGTGGGTGCAGGGTCATTTAGACATAGGAGTAGTCCAGGGTCATCATTCCAATGGTCATTAAAGTTTAAGCTCACTTGCCACATTGAGGCAAAACGTGCTACGTGAGTCTTACACTAACAATTCACCTTGCTCCTTTCAGCTAAAAGTCAAAATTTCTGAGAGATGGATATTTCTTATAAACACCCCCTACACACTTATTAATCCTTAATAGGACCCATGGTGGGCAGCAGCACTTTTTACACTAGTGTTTTACAGAAGAAAATACTGACCCACAAAAAATGAAACTCCCACTAATCCTGAGCGGCAGCAATGGCTACAGTATTCATCCTCTTAAATCATGGTAACTATAAGCAAGAGTAGAATGGGAGGTTAATATGTTAATGTTTGAAGAACAGTCTGTATAAAACCTCAGATGGTTTTCATTGTTCCACTTTTGTATTGCGCTAGATCTGTTTTATTCAGAAACACTGTTGTCTTCAAACACATATTTTACTCATAAAATGGACATATTGTGGCTCTGAAATGGTAACACAACCCATGTTATTCCTCTCCTCAGGAGCTCTTTAATACATAGCTGTTTGATCTGGTTTTATGTGTTCTGTCGGAGTGTGACTGATGAAAATGGACTTTAAATTGTGTTCTGTTTTTTTAAATGGTTTTTTATATATTTGTTTTTCTTTCTAACAGAAAACCCAAGCAGTGAAGAAAAAGCCAAGAAGAATACCAACAAGCCTCAGTTGGATGAGATTGTCCCGGTATATAGACGGGATTGTCATGAAGAAGTATACGCCGGCAGCCACCAGTATCCTGGCCGGGGGGTCTACCTTCTGAAATTTGATAACTCCTACTCCTTATGGAGGTCAAAATCCGTCTACTATAGAGTGTACTATACTAGATAAAGTGGGGGAGGGGGAGATAGAGAGGGTGTGCAGGGACAGACGGAGTGAATCTCACATTTGCTGGATCTTTTCTGTGCTGTCCTCCAGATCCGGGGCTCCTTCTGGCTGCAACTGGCTTCCAGTGCTGCACTATTTTAGCTGCAACTTAACCGTCACAGGCAGATGTTTAGACTGTCACCAGATTTAATATTTTCTTCCTAGCCCCTCTGACAGCGGATGGTTCACATGCATCCATCTTGGTTTGTTCTTGTTTTTTGGGGATGAGGTTAAGATGTTAGTGTATTTGCTCCTCCTATTTCTGATGATTCATATGTTCATATCACTTTCAATGAGGCAAACATGATTTAAGTTGTAAAGTGATAGTATGCTGCTCCCCAAAGACACACCAATTCGGGATGGGGGAGTAAAAGAAGTTCTCAACAGGTCCATGAGTGCCTCTGCCATTTTTGTCAGCCTCATACCATGGGCATGGATACAAATGCATTGGGCTCAAACCATACCACTTGTGATCATGCGAGAATAATCTGTGGGTCCTCACTAGTTATGACTATTTGATGAAGATGTCGTGTGTATGTTTTCATGTTGTCTGAATGTATGACTCTCTAATTCTGAATGATGAATCTTTGTTACTCATGAGCAACATTCTGTCTGAAAGAATATCTGTATTTTATGTAAATTAATTCACTCTTTTACAACGTATAACACACAAAGTGTTAAAGGAAAACTACACACAAGCACTTCAGCTTGCTTTGTGTGAGGATATGCTCATTTTAATTGTCATTTATAAACATGCTGATTTCTATTTGAAATCTGCACTTTTATAAATATTTACTGAAACACCTCCCGGGCTGTTAATCAGATGCTCTAACAGAATGTACCTGACTTCTACTCCAAGTCACAGTGAGGATGTGAAACGTCCCTGCATCGTCCCTGGCTCGTAGCTCAAAATTAGAGGCTTCAAAACAAAACAAAAGGAGGGCTCACAAAGACTACAGACAAGATCTGCAGCTTTTTCCAGACATTTTTAAATATCCAATAAAAAATAAATTATGATCTAAATAATGCATGTTTATATCTATATGGGGGTATATCAACTAAATAGGGATATTGGAGGCAATGGACTGTCCTGTTAAACACCATTCATGTGTCCAGGTACTCCTGTGAGGGTGTGTCTGTTTTAGGATGACAGATAAGGAAAAGGTCAATTCTGTGTGTAAAATAATCTTTGGCATGGAGACAGATCTCATTGCAATGCAGAAAACCTTGTACCTCTTTAAAAAAAAAAAAAAAGAGGAATTACACTGATGTTAACATTTCATTGGAGACTAATGCAGTCGCAACTTAAACGAAGAGAGAGTAAGTGATGTGTATTTCCTTTGACAAATAAATTGAGACTGCCTGTCTCCTTTGAAATGTGAACACCGTTTCTGAAAAGGCAGAGCGTGAATTTGTTTTCTACAATTAGAATTAAGAGAGATGTTATTATTACGGACATATATCTCCAACCTTGATGGTTTTATTGCATGCATTACCTGTCTGAGGTGTTGGCATAAAAAAAAAAATCCAAATTCTGAGACTTAAACACAGATAAGGATTGAGAAGTTACTGATATTAAGGAACTCATGGTTCGAAGTACACTTATATTAATGTCTTCGCTCCTGAAAACAGGGGATTGCGCCAAAATCAAGAGCAAAAAAAATGTATTATTGGATTTGTTTTGTTTTTACCCACTAATCTGAAATGGGGGAGGGTACTGTAATTTGGTGTTATTGTGTTAATTTAAGAAATAGATTTAATTCGATATGAAATAATCTTTAAATTAATATTGGTTGTTTCATGGTAACATCTGAACCCAAAAATTGTACTGAGATATATATATATATATATATATATATATATATATATATATATATATTCTCTGTCCCTTAAACTCTTATTTGAAGAAAGAAAATGTAAAATATCTGTACATTTCCATTTTTATTGTACTTCTATTCCAGTATGTCCATGCTATTGAACCTGTATAAAATACCAGTGATTTCCCCTCTTCTACACTACCCCTAGAACACATTGAGCTCTCTAGGCAATGCAGATACCATCATTATACAGTGAAATGTGTGATTATAGAAAGGGGTTTTGCATGAATAGCATTATATTTTAACTCCAAACATAAAGAATATGGAACTTCCTTCTGTACCTGCAATAGGCCAAGTTCTCCCTACAGTCCAATCCTTCTTGGATGATGTCACTCCCCCTGGTCAAGAGAGGATGGACAGATGTCAGGGCTAACAAGCTGAGGGGAAGACTGGATGGCACAGAGGGATGTGGAGATATGCTGCCATTGGTTAGCATCTGAATGCAGTGCGTTCTGGTGTTTGACACCAAATTTGCACAGAATTCACATTCGCAGCCCTGAACCCTTGCTCCTCTGGCATAGGAGTAAATCACAGTTTAGCTACTTTCTTTTACGTTGAGCTATTTGCTGTCACTGATGGCTGATACTTCGCTTATATTGTGAAGACCCACTGATAAAGACTGCAGTCAATCCCTTTCTAATCTTCAGAAATCTCTCTTCACATGTATTGGCAGATCTCCACCTTATCACATGAACTGAACCTAAACCATCCTGATTTAACACATTAATTTTCTTTTCTATTGTACAGTCTGCACCTGCTGTTCCTCACAGGGGTGTGTAATCCTTTCCTGAATATTTACCTAAAGTACTAAAATTGCACCAGGGTTGTTCATTTGCATGTAAGCACTTTTTTGTGAGTTTTCCACCTCCAAACATTAAAAAGAAATCTGCATCAAAGCCAGAACTTGCCATTTGAGTTTTAACATTTATAACAGGCTAATGATTATTTTAATAATGTCCAGTGTTGGACAACTCATAAAAAATGTTTACATGACTTTAAAGGTACATGACACTGGAACGAATCCCATAAAATACTTTATTTATGTAGATTGAATAAAAACTCTGAATGTAATTGTCAGAATTCTCCCAGCAGATTCTGTATCCCATATTATTTGCAATGTGGGTGCTCTATATAGTTGACAAATACTAAGCACAGTAAGGGTTTATAAGAAAACTATGACTGTATTATTCCTCAGAACTTCCCCATAGAGGTATGAAAGAATAGGGAGGCGCTAATGAGGTTTATTTGCAGGTGGGATCTTCTGCTTAGTGTTATCTGAACAGAGGGTGGACTGGGCCCACCCATGGAACCCAGGTTTCTCACAATTTGAAAATGACTTTACTTTTATCTGGGGGACAGTTCCAGGGAATTCCTGGAACCATAGCCACTACAGCGAGCTTTGATTGATATTGGGTATAAGCAGACCCTGGAATTTAAAACCACCTTCACTAATCCTAAATTAAAACTAGTATAATGCTGCCATCTTGTGGTCAGAAATAGTTTGAATTTAAGTAATCCACATCACTGATTTAAGTGTAAAATGTGTTTTGTTTTTTTCTTTCTCGTCAACTCATTAAAATGAGTGATTGTGGTTGTTTTAAGGTTTTATTTTCTGTCTCTGTTCATTGCATGGGTTTGTACATACATATACATATGTTTTGTTTGTTTCGCTTGAGGCAAAGTCGTGTTATTTAAACCCCCTTGACAGCACAAGGCAAACTGGGAATAACTTGTTTTAATGTTATTGGTGGTCCAAGGGGGTTTTACTGTGTATAATATCTCAGTAATAATGAAGGCTGAGAATAGTTAGTTATGTTGTATAAATAGGTGGGAAATCAAGCAAGCTATAGCGTCACAGAATACTGTACATATGATGTATAATTACAGTAGCCAGCGGGCCCCCCTCCTGCTGCTGGGGAACAAATTTAATGCTTTTCATGATCGACCCTGTCAAGGCATCACGGTGTAATACTGTTCCCCAGGAGATGGGAGGCGACATGCTGGCTACCCCTTTCATTACATAAGAGTAAAGCACTTGGTTTAAAGGAAAATCTTTGGTTCCAGGCTGTGTGCTTGGTTCTCAGTTTTACTGTTCTAGAGGTATTTCTTTAAATGACTAAGTCTTTTCCTGTGTCAGTTTTTGGTCTATTGCCTTCAAGCTGTTGCGTTACACAGTACAAGTGCAATTTAAATGAAAATCTCTTGGAATAATATATTTAATCGTAATAAAAAAAAAAACTACAATTCTCAGTATGTCGCTTACGGTTTCTGTGTTTTGTCATCTAATGTACTGTACGCATAATCTGTCATACACGTATAGTTGTCGAGTTTGCAAAATTGGTTTGTCCTCACTTTTAAAGAAAAAATAGACTTTATTTTCTGGTATAAACGCCAATGCTAACAACATTGAAGGTCAATCAGACTTGTTATAAATAGTCACCCCAGTAAATGCTGAAGAACTTACTGTAAGGATTGGCTCGGTCAAAGCATGTATATCAGGACAGTCCCCTCTACATCATGAACAAAGTTCAATTTAATATTAGTAACTTGTTTCCCTCCTATATATGGGACTTTATTCACTCTTTTCATGACTATGGCGTGCAGGTTTATCTGTGAATTTAATGTTAACTCACAAATCTCAAAGAACTTGTGTAGGGCTTTTATGAAATACGTACAGAGTGCCATTAGAATGCTGGGGATTATCTGATCATAAATATTTGATTCAAAAGTTTTTTTTCTTCTTCATCTATATATACTTGTGGCTTAGTAACCAAATCGGAATTTACATAATTAAAGGTGAACTGTCACTTACCCAGATTGTTAAGTTTACTAATCTCTGTATTTAACTCTCATTTAATTCTGTATTTGTGAAGTGCGAAAATAAAATGTAGAAATAGACACCTTTATCCTGCAACTGGGCACCTCCATCTTGGCTCCCTGTCAGTCACTGTTCTATCTGTCCTTTGTACCTGGCAGTCGGCTTAGAGAGAGCATACAGAGAAGAGGAGAAATGAAACAATATTTCTACTCTCCCTTTGCAATGTTTGGCATTCTTTGAACGGAATTGTGATTTAATTTGCTAAATCTTTTCTATATTGAACGGCACCTGAAAAAGTTATAGATGATTGAATGTTTTATTCAGTGATATAAATTCCACTGAAGTGACCGTTTAAATGAGGCAATCCAAGCCCCATAACCACAACATCGTGCCCTCCCAATGTAAGTAGCCAAACGTTTTTTTTTTAAAAGGTTTATCTTCTTACCTGGGTCCTCAGAGAACAGGGAGCTTTGTCTGAGTGTATTCCGGTGCAGGGCTTAGTTCATTGGCTGAGAGTGGCCACTACAATTCAGAAGAGCCAACGAAAGCTCCAGCTTTCCATAGAGGAAGTAACCAAAACCTGGCAGACTCGAGGGAAGATGTCCAATAGTTCTAATGGTTTGACTACTTGTGGGGTGTGGGGGCTGTGCAGCACTCCTGCTTAGTATTACTTTAAATACATTTTTAATTATGGGGAAGACCTCAAGTAAAAAGTCAAAACAGTAAAAAAAAATAGTTTGACTACTTATATCATAGGCTGCCAGGGCACTCCTGACACCATAACATGTAATTGTTAGATTGATTTTTTTTTTGTTTTTAGTCTCAGCAGCAAATTAGTCTAAAATAGATTTGGGGTGAGTAATCCAACTCTGCTGCTGTCAAGTTTGACTATTTTAGCCCCAATTTTGTCATTGAGATTTAATTTGCGAATAACACGTTCTATACACTACACAAGCATAGACCAGAGCGCCTCAGGGATTTTTAATAAAGTGAACATTCTAAGAGCATTTCCAATGTAAAGCCAGAGTAGCTGCACTGGTTCAAACACGGTCTGACCCAAGGTGCACGTATAAGGCTGAAGGATTCTGTTATACACTAAAGATAGGGATTACATATACTTAATTTAAAAACAAAAACATCTGTTTCCTTTCACTAACTGATGGAAAAAAAATTAAAAAAAAAATATATATATATATATAGCTTTATGATAGGTTTTGTGTATAGATCATGCCCCTGCAGTCTGACTGCTATTTATGAGTAAAATCACTTGTTTCTGTCCATCCAGCCTTAGCCACACTTCCGCTGGCTGTGACTGCTAGAAGAAAAAATGGTTCTATTTTCAATCAGATGTTAATTACTTTAGAAGTTTTTATCTTTCTCTGTAAATTAAAGTTTAATTACATGCAGGAGGCTCCTGCAAAGACAGTCTATTTGCATAGCAGGAGATACAAAATTAAATCTAAATTTAACACATTGTGCATTAAATGTAAATATTAGATCTCTCTTCACAAGAAGTGTTATGGAAGGCTGTGTAAGTCAGATGCAGGGAGGTGTGACTAGGGCTGTATAAACAAAGTGATTTAATTCCTAAAAAGCAGAGAATTGAGCAGTGAGACTATGGTGCATGATCTAAACAACAAAACTGCTTTATTCAGCTAAGTGTGTTTTGGTGACTATAGTGTCCCTTTTAACTGCCCATATTTGTTTGTGACAACACTGAAATTGTCAAACTAGGTCATGCCCATCAGGCATGAAACAGGACTTTTGTCCATTACTGTGTTAAATTAAAAGTTACTTCCCCTCAAACCACAGGGGCTGTAGCGGCAGCGTATGCTTCTGTAACCGTTCTTGGGCTTGAAGTCAAGTTTTAAAAAACAGAACCTGCAGCTGGGGACCAGACTCATTACTTCCTAAAACTAACCCAGAAGAGGCTGACAATGTCAGGGTGTTATTGGCCTTGCATGATCCAGCAGCTGGCAGCAATGTTAACAGTGGATGCACACGTTAATCCAGCATTTACTCACAGTGTTTAGCATGGCTACAGAGACTCCGATTGGACCTTTGGAAACTATTGTTAATATATTACAGATCAAGGCTGAATCAGAATTAAAAAATCCTAGTGAACACTGGGAGCAATATGCACATTCTGTAAGGCGCCCGCCTTACTTTGCTACAATTTATCATCTTTAGCTCATCCAAAATAGCATTCTGTCTGAATATTGTCATGCACAGATAATGCATGTATTAGAGCTGTCCAAAAGGTAGATCCCAAGAGGTTTCAAAACTACAGCTTCCATGATGCTTTGTCATTTTAAAGGCATTTATAACATCATGGGAGTTGTAGTTCTACAGCATCTGGGGATCTGCCTCTTTTGGGGGCCCCCTGATGTAGACCATGAAGTGTAACGTAAAATGGGTTCACAATGCAATTTACATGGTTCACATGAATGTACGGACTGACATCTGACAGCAGAGCCAGATTAATATTGCCCATGGCAGGATTCCTATCTGAGACCCCCTCCTGGAGCGCTGGATTTCTGAGTGTTATATGTGTGGAGGAAGCTGGGCTTTATAGGAGGAGGCTTAGTGTGCCTGGTTGAGCTCTGTGTGTTGTTTTCACAGTTTGTGCCTAGGAGTGTCTGAGGGAAATTATTTAATTTGTCATCCAAATACTTACCATTTGACAGGAGGGATGTAATCCAGAGTGGTCCAGTGGGGACACACTGAGGCACTGGATTCCTGGTGGTCCAGTGGAAGAGTGACATTCGGCACTCCAGATGTTGTAGGCTACATCTCCCCAGGTACCAGCGCTGCGGAAATTGTTGGCGCTTTATATATAATAAGCTTTATAGCAGATACTGTCAACATCTGCCCTGCTAAAGGTTGCCTATCACTGGTGTATACCAGAACATTCCCTCAAACAGGTGAAGGGACACAGGGCCGAGAAGATAGCTCTATTTTCCACCGACGGTAAAGGAAGTCCCGCTTTACAGATGGAAGCATGTCTGGGCCTGGTGCTTATGCCCTATGCTGTCTAATGGCAATCCAGCTATGTCCTCTAGCAGTTTACATCTATAATTCCAAAGGGTTGTCCTTTAAAAGTCTGTATGTTCGTTTGAGCAGGGTCCTCTTCAACCTATTGTTCCTGTAAATTTTCTTGTAATAGTCCTATTTATTGTTACAGCCCCCCTCTCAAAATATTGTAAAGCGCTACAGAATCTGTTGGCACTATATAAATGGCAATAATAATAACCAGAAATGTTTAAATAAAATACACCGTCAGATATGGCTATTGCATTGTAAAGCAGAGCTCTGCCCGTTTGGATCTGATCATGATTACTCCTCTGTGCCCTGCACACAGATCCCATAATTTGACTTGTGTTACCAAGAGAATTTTTCTGAATTTCGTTATCACATCTAAAAATGTGAAACTCATGACAATTCCCACACAAGTGAATAAACCAGGAGGCTCAGATTAAGCTGAATCTGCCTCTGCAGGAAGAAGTTTAAAGGCAAAATCAAGGCCAGGTTGCCCACTTATGGGAATTTCACACAGTGTTCTATCAAAGATAAGTTGAACAAAACATAAAATAAAAGTGAAATGTCTCATGTGGACTTTTTTCATTTTCTATCTACTAAATCTGTTTAACTAGTCATTGCTTGAACGTTGACAACAAATCTTGTTCTATTGCAAGATGTAACTGCTAAATCACGGTTGTAACGTTTGTCCAATACAATGTGTATTTCCTGGCAGAGAGAGGAAAGACATGTTGCATGATGTCAGACTGGAGAAGACTGCTCTAAGCAAATGATTTACATGGGAAGTCCATGCTATAAAGAGACCTGGAGCCGCAATTTGTATGTTTAATAGGTATTAAACGAGGGGGCTCTCCGCTTGCAAAAATAGAAGACAGACTCCGGACAGAGCACGCCCTTGGAAATAGACTGATTGGGAAGAGCTGCAATGGGGACAAACTCCTAGGGGTGTGTGGTAACATGCGAGGTATCACTCACAAGGTTAAGTCAATACATAATAAGCGTTGGAATATGAAACTAAAAGGAAATCTGGTAGTGCAAAGCATTAAAGTGAACAGGAATAAAAACATAACCCTGGTCAAATGTAGTTTTGAAGGTCAGGACAAGAGATTAAGATATGTATACTGGTTAGAGCATTATTGTAAGTGTGCTGTGTGAAATGTCAGGGGTAGTACGTCTGTATTATTTTGTTGTTGCTCTACCAGTACAGACTGTCAATATGTGTGGAGCATGATTGTGTGTCTGAGTATTCTGCAGGATGATTATTTAAAGGGACACTCCACTGCCCAAATTAAAACATCACTGTTTAGGAGATCTGTCCTTAAAAACACACAAATGTATTTCTACATTTTGTTCATTAGGTTGTATCTAAAACAAAAAATGTGAAGAAAAAAAAAAAAAAGCTTGCAAAACCTAGAGTTCTTTTGTCTGCAGCCTTTGCAATTCCTCCCCTTCTCCTAATGAGAAATATTTACAAGGTAGGTTCCAGGAATATTGCTGCCTCTTGAGTTTAGCTCCACTGAGCTGACTAAACCAGGAAGTAACAGGACCAAAAGTCTGACTGGCAGCCATAGGTTTATAACCAGATTAAATTTATAAAAGTGCCAATTTCTTATATAAAAAATTATAAATACAACCATCACAAAGCATTTCAGCAAGCTAAAGTGCTTTACAGGTAGAGAGTGTAACTTAATGGTGCACATACTAACCTTACATTATAACTAAAATGGTTGCACCTGCTCACCACAACAGTCAATGGTGACACCCCCTTGGATCATGCCAACACAGGCGAGTACAGTAATTGTGAATATGTATTTAATATACCAATGCTGGGGGATCTCCCCAATTGGTCCACAACTGCACAGCTAGCCCTAGGCCTGACTATATTTCCTATTGTCGAGGAACACTGGAAGTCATTTCACAGGGCAGTGTTTTTCTTTTTAAATTTGTACGGATAAGTGAAAAAAGTTATAATGATTTTATAGTCACCAAAACATATTTAGCTGAATGAAGCAGTTTTGGTGTATAGATCATGCCCCAGCAGTCTCACTGCTCAATTCCCTGCCATTTAGGAATTAAACCACTTTGATTGTACAGCCACACCTCCGTACATGTGACTTGAACATCCTTCCTGATAGGAAGCCAGATATTCCAGGTCCCTGTATTGCACAGTCTGTTTAAAGCAGAATGTCTTATCTCCTGCTTTTAGCATCACAGAGCTGGCAGATTTTATTATTTATGGATGATGAATAAAACAAACAAAAAAAAAGTTGCCTTCATGTTAAACAATATCACTACGGTGTATAAAGGTGACATTTTACTACAGATATAGGTAAAGATTTTAAATTGAAACTTTGGGTTCCTGTTCATTATTTGTTGAAGAGAAACAAAGATAAATAAAAAGAGCGGAGGGTGGGGGGTGTTAATATAACCAAAAAAAAGTCTACAAAACAAATTCTGAACTATGAAGCGGTCACTCCACCCTCAAACTGCAATCACAAATCAGGTCATGTCAAAGTTTATCTAGATTTTGCGTGAGTGCCTTTAAGTTTGTATTTAAAAAATAAAATAAAAAATATTACAACGTAATTTGCAACTGGACATGTTACATTACAATCTGAAAGCAACTGTACGCAGCTGTTATACGCATTGCCAATGCATTAAATGGTTTTTGCAGTAAAACTCACTTTGAAATTAAACAGAGAAAGAATGTGATCACAAGCTCTCCCTCAGTACATGAAATCAGTCTGAAATTTATCCTGTTTGTCAAAGTTGTAGATGTACCAAATATCCAGTTTTAGTCTTACCTGTTCAGTTTGGGATAGACAGGAAAACGTCTTAATTTAAAGCCAAAAATTGTATAACGATGCTTTACAATCCCAGGCAATGGAACATTACTAGTTTAATCAGATGGACTTCATTTATCCATATTTTTTTCCATTCTGTGCTTTTTGTAGCTTTTTTTTTTTTTTTTGTACAAAACAAAAATTGGACTTGTAATCCCAACCACATTCTACCTAATTAGGACAACCACAAATCTCTTTATATACATTCTTCATTTCAGAATTAATACATATAGTTCTATGACATTGCTGGCGTTTATTCAATTCTCGTATAATGTCTCTTTAAAATTAGAAAACTAATGATCGTATTATGCAAACCATTACATTTCCCTCCACCCGCCACATTCAATAAACCAGGCAATAACTTTTAGGGCAGTCCAAAGCGTTCAAAATTTTTCAACAGACAAATGGTGGCCACACATATATTGCAATTTTATTTAATTTTCTCAAAAATAAACGGAAAAAAAGGTTAGAATGTAGTAAATTTAAAACAAAACAATGGTTAAAAATAGCAGAGATGATTTGGAAAACAAAACCAAAAATTAAAAGTGGCAAAATCTAGAGCAGGGTTAGATTAACATTCATTAGTGTTTTAAATCCTGCTTCAAATGACACACAAAAGGAAAGAGGACCATGACTGTCAGACCAGGATATGAATGTCTAGAGATTTCAGCACCAGAACTAAGAATTGTACATTCGGTTTTCATTGTGATTGATTTCTTAAAATTGATCACAACTTCAGTCACAGTGTTGGAAAAGCAGAAAGCTTTGTTGGAGTGGGGAAACTTCCCAGAATCCTTTACGTACCAGAGGAAATATCAGTATTATGCCAAATTTCCTGAAACTCAAGAGGGTTAGGCTGTACACAAGTAAATATACCCTTGCCCTATATGCACCTCCCAAAACTTTTACAAAAAGAAATAAATAAAAATTGACAAAATTCCAAAACATTCTTTTAGAAGTTGAAAACAAAGGCCTTTCGGAATCTGAAAAACCACTGAAATCTCTAACAACTGGGCGCATGGCAAGCATTTAGTGAGTTTGTGTTTATAGTCACCCAGAGAGAATAGTAAGGTGGCGGTGGCAGTGGGTGGGGGAAGACAAAACATGAAAAACAAGATGAAGACATTGGGTTACTTTCAAACTGAAGTCATGTTAATTTTCAGACCAAGGCACAAAACGTATAGTGCATAAACCGAATACCGCTCAAGACTCATTGTCTGTCTTACTTTGGACTGCTTGTGGTCATATCATTATAGGGCAAGTCGAACATTTTCTATAAAAAAAAATTCTTACACATGGCCGGAACGTTCTAACTATTAAGATATCTGCAAACAGAGCTGATGATGCTTCTACGCAACTGACAAAACTTTACGAACTCGCCATCTTTCTCAATGCTGAATTCATTCTGACCATGTAGGGTTTTTTAGAAAAGGCTGCTTCCATTTAGAGTCCACGTCTCTAATCTAAGACAGTCAGAACAGCACTTCGAGGGGAACAATTCCCTTTGTCCGGAACCTTCTTTAAACGGATTTTCCTTTGGTGACCAGCACTGACCAAGGTTTGCACGATTGACTTTTACATTGTGTAAAGAATCACAGGGAATCGTAGGGGTTTGTAGACTCCATGTTGATATGGCACTAATCCAGACTACAAAATTCTGCCTTTTTGCTCAAAACACAAACTTCCTACAAAAAGAATAAATTTCCTAAACCAACATCAATGCGGTACAATCATTTTACAGCTCCATGCTGCTAAATAGTATGTGCAGGATTTGTAAGCAACTTTTAACATGAGCAGCTCATTAAAAGGTGTATATTATCTGGGAAAGACCACGTGTAACTCCATCCAGAAGGTAACAGTTCCTCTTCTTTAAATGGGATAAAAACCTCAAGGAGTGTGTCTTGAGCTAATCCACTCTGTCCAGGAGCTTTGATGGAGAAAAATCAAAAAACAAAAAAAAAAAAATTCTAATAAACGAACCAAATATAGGCTGTGTTGTGGATATCCGTTCCAATATGGCGATTGTCAGATACTTCCCCAATCTACACATGCATCTAACCTATGGCAAATTGGTGCAGTAATAATAAAAGTGTCTAAGATTAACTGTATGGTCATGATCAGATATTCCCAAGATGAGTGCGGAGGGCATTTAGTAGTCAATGTGACATGCGCTGCTTTTCTATTTATAAGCAGTTGATTGTTAGATGATAGTTTTGCAAAAATGTCCCCATGCAAAAAGTATCTTTAAAAAGGTGCAAGGTACCAAAAGATGTATGAATAATTATTAAATCTATTAGGTAAATGTAGTTTTGATTTGGTAAAGCACTGAAACTATCTAGGAAGGCATCTATTTCCTCGAACAGATCATATTTGCTTGAATTTTTCTTTTCTCTCCCCTCCCCCCTCTTCTAAATAAATCTACAAAATTAAGAGGCATCCTGTCAAAGTATCAAAACAATAAAAAAAAAAAAAAAATCTATTAATGTGCAACACCCTTGTTGAAGTGATTTCTTCCTAAATACCACCCTGTGATCACAAACGCCCAGTAAATGCATGACTTGTACAGTGACCGTCTACAATGTTCGTTATTAATGGAAATATCAAATACTTTAGGAAGACAAACCTGAGTTACACTTGCAGTACACGACCAGATTACCTTTCTACCATCAGTCATTCATTCCCACATTCTTTTCTCAAACATGAATTTTGAAATATGTGCAAGATTATCTTGACATGGTTTGTGATTTGTCCGGATGCACTGCAAGCTTCCTTTGACAGGAGAAAAAAAATAAATCCCTCCATTATCCCCCCGCACCCCTCAAAAAAAACAGATATATATAAAAAAAAAAAAAATCTGCATAATTATTACAGTGACTAAGACTTTTTTTCCCCATATGCTCTCACAGGTCAGAAGGAAAAAAAGCTGAAAACCAGGACAGAATTTCGTGTACATCCAAAGTGAAGTCTGTGAAAGGTTTTTATATGCTGTTCCCCTTTTGCAGAATAGCAAACTTCCTTTATAAAATCGAGTCCCTTTCAATCCACTGAAAGGTCTTTATGCGCTGTTGGATTTTCCTAGTTCTTGTCTAATGGCTGGAATACAAAAACAAATTGTAAATTGACCAGGAAACCTACAAAACTAACATACAATTTATTCACAAAATATACTAGTAGATCTAGACATCTAGTTACAAATTTCAAGAGCTACAAAAATCACAAAATGCCTTCAGTCTATTTTATGGTCAGTAATAATTGCACCCTCGTTTAATAATCCTGAGGTTTTTATTTCTATTGCACAGCACCGGCCTTTATATTAAAGAGCAGTCTGCGATGAGCTGGCAACAGACTTACAGAAGTAAGATTAATAAACACCATTTTATACATACAGTTTCAAATAAATCATTAAACTGCTCATTCTAAAGGGTCCCTCTTTACCTGCGTCTGCCTTGTACAGGTTTCCTTTTTATATGTATATTGTTTGTCTATTTGAAGCAGGATGTATTTCTACCATTACGATACAGGATGTATTTCTACCATTACGTTCCCCTATACAGGATGTATTTCTACCATTACGTTCCCCTATACAGGATGTATTTCTACCATTACGTTCCCCTATACAGGATGTATTTCTACCATTACGTTTCCTTATACAGGATGTATTTCTACCATTACGTTTCCTTATACAGGATGTATTTCTACCATTACGTTTCCTTATACAGGATGTATTTCTACCATTACGTTTCCTTATACAGGATGTATTTCTACCATTACGTTCCCCTATACAGGATGTATTTCTACCATTACGTTCCCCTATACAGGATGTATTTCTACCATTACGTTCCCCTATACAGGATGTATTTCTATCATTACATTCCCCTATACAGGATGTATTTCTACCATTACGTTTCCCTATACAGGATGTATTTCTACCATTACGTTTCCCTATACAGGATGTATTTCTATCATTATGTTCCCCTATCCCGTATACAGGATGTATTCCTACCATTATGTTCCCCTATCCCGTATACAGGATGTATTCCTACCATTATGTTCCCCTATCCCGTATACAGGATGTATTCCTACCATTATGTTCCCCTATCCCATATACAGGATGTATTCCTACCATTATGTTCCCCTATCCCGTATACAGGATGTATTCCTACCATTATGTTCCCCTATCCTGTATACAGGATGTATTCCTACCATTACGTTCCCCTATCCCGTATACAGTATGTAGTTCTACCATTACGTTCCCCTATCTCGTATACAGGATACAGGATGTAGTTCTACCATTACGTTCCCCTATCCCGTATACAGGATGTAGTTCTATCATTATGTTCCCCTATCCCCTATACAGTATGTATTTCTACCATTACGTTTCCCTATACAGGATGTATTTCTACCATTACGTTCCCCTATACAGGATGTATTTCTACCATTACGTTTCCCTATACAGGATGTATTTCTATCATTATGTTCCCCTATCCCCTATACAGTATGTATTTCTACCATTATGTTTCCCTATCCCCTATACAGGATGTATTTCTACCATTATGTTCCCCTATGCCGTATACAGGATGTATTCCTACCATTACGTTCCCCTATCCCGTATACAGGATGTATTCCTACCATTACGTTCCCCTATCCCGTATACAGGATGTATTCCTACCATTACGTTCCCCTATCCCGTATACAGGATGTAGTTCTACCATTATGTTCCCCTATCCCGTATACAGGATGTAGTTCTATCATTATGTTCCCCTATCCCGTATACAGGATACAGTATGTATTTCTACCATTATGTTCCCCTATCCAGTATGTATTTCTACCATTATGTTTCCCTATACAGGATGTATTTCTACCATTATGTTCCCCTATCCCCTATACAGTATGTATTTCTACCATTATGTTTCCCTATCCCCTATACAGGATGTATTTATTTGGTGTGAAAACTAGAATTAAAAGTAGAATTCCACAGCTCTTTTTCCTGCAATTCTGAGACTCCATTTAGCTTTCTTTCAATCATCCTTTGAAGCTCAATTTTCTGCTCCTAGCAGTCAGCATTGAGAAATTAGAAATTTTTATTACTTTCCCTTCTCATTTCCAATGTGGGCCCCGACTGTGCCTAAACTGAACATCTCATGAAAATGGATAGCACAAGTTCTATTTCTCAAGTGCTTTATGTGTCTGTTGTATTTGGGAAAGTTTATAAAATAAAATAAAAAAGTGTCAATTCCACACAGATTTATAAAAACTTTGCTAGAACATTTCCCAGGCCAGCCAGAAAGGTTTTCTGCAGCTTTCGTGATCTCCACAGTGCTAGAGAAACTGGATGAGTGCTGGGTTAGAGTGTGCCTGCCCCCAGAGTGAGAGATATTCAAGTGCGCCTGCCTTCCCCCCCCAGAGTGAGAGATATTCAAGTGCGACTGCCTTCCCCCCAGAATGAGAGATATTCAAGTGCGCCTGCCTTCCCCCCAGAATGAAAGATATTTGAGTGCGCCTGCCTTCCCCCCCAGAATGAAAGATATTTGAGTGCGCCTGCCTTCCCCCCCAGAATGAAAGATATTCGAGTGCGCCTGCCTTCCCCCGAGAATGAAAGATATTCGAGTGCGCCTGCCTTCCCCCCAGAATGAAAGATATTCGAGTGCGCCTGCCTTCCCCCCAGAATGATAGATCTTCGAGTGCGCCTGCCTTCCCCCCAGAATGAGAGATATTAGAGTGCACATAGTGTATACTCACCATCAATAAGTTCTTCCTTAAGTTTTGTCAATTCTTTTCTCATTTCCTCCAATATATCCTTAAGCATAAAGAAGCATACATTTAATATTACTCCATCAGCACATGTTAAAAGTACCATACACACTTAGAGCAAGTGGGTCATATATTACATCAAAGGTAATGTTTGTACCAATCTGTTTAACCCCTTAAGGATCAGGGCTGTTTTGAGACATTGTTGACCAAGGCCTTTTTGAAACCCAGGCATAGTGTATATCATTTAAAAGAGGTAGATCTTTTGTTCTATATATCCATTTGTATACATTACACATTTAATATGAATGAAATTGAGGAAATTTTTTTTTAAATTTACATGTAATGATTTCGTGTGTGTGTGTGTCTCCGTCCGTCCACACGTTTTATTGTCATGGGGTATTTCAACATGTCCCACTATTTTAAAGAGAATAACAGACTAATCCTAATTTTGATATATCTTTTTGATATTTACAAGGGACATGATTTTGTAAAGGGACACAATCTGTGTCACCGTACTGAGCAGTGACAAACAATGCCAGTTGTTTTAAACCTAACACCAACATTACAATGATATACCCATGAGGTCGTTACACAAGAGTCTTGGCCATTACCTGCTTCAGTCTGTCATAATCTAGGCCTTCTGACTGCACTCCATTGGCACTGGGTTGCACAGATGGTGTCGACTTTGGTCTAGAATATAATTTAATAAAAATAAACACCCCAATTTTTTTAAAAAAAATCCTAACCATTCCAAAAAAAATGTAAAATGTATATTGCTTTTATTTTTTTTCATTTATTTTTAATCATATGCACGTATTCCAAGTTACAGTTTGGCATATAATACTAATCGCTAGTATGTCTTGATGTCATGTGCTTACCTCACTCAGACTGCACATTTAAATACTAAAACTCCTCCGTAGCATCTTCTGGCCCCCGGTAAAATGGAGCTGCCAGATACTTGTTCCTCTCTCAATATTAACAATCCCTTCTACATACAAATTACAGGGATTATAAAGAGGACCGGTATAGCAGCACAATATATCAATACAGCATACATCACCATAATCACAATAATTCATCCCATTCAAAATGGAGTTCTATACAAAAAAGCCTATATGACCCTCACATTGCACAATATACATCGTTCAGACAGAAAGGATACATCTCAGGCATCACAACTAAAAACCATTAATTTACTAGTCACAGCAACACCCAAAAATAAATAGGTTTTGAAATTTTCCAAAGTTATTTTATTCTGAAGAATTTACCTGGAGATAACAGGTGATTTACTTCCATTTATTGTATTCATTCTCTCCCAAGGCTTTCTGGCTGGTTCTACAGGAAAGAACATTTTAGATCAAGACTCAGAACATAGGTCTACCCAGATTAACATATTTTACAAGGCAGAAATCCAAAATCCTCATTGCTCTAGAAAGTCTTCAAATAGCGCCCACAAATGATATAACGTTTTATTCTGCTACGTCTGTAAATAAGTAAAAGCGTAAAGATAACTTTACTCTGGCTGCACACTACTAAACTACACCAAAGGGATCGCAAAACAAACAGAACTGATTGATTTTTTATTTTTAATTAGGAACTCACCAGGCGTGCCGGCTGAAGGAGCTCTTACCAATGCAGACTGAGGCTCTTCCTATAAAATATAGGACGAACAAGCAAAATTAGTGAAAAAGGTTGTTCCAAACTTGTCAAATGGACAACGAAAAATACTTGGCTACTATAAAAACATGCATTGCCAATGCAGGTACCAAATAAAACTACACTAAAATAAAATGCAGGTTAAAAACACATTTACATAAAAGAGAATGATGCAGATATGTCAAAACTCAAGGAGAAATTGTAATAATGCGGAGCTATGGGCTCCTGGCGTGGTTACACTTACTGTCTTGTCTTCTTTCGGATCGGCTTCAAGTGGTGAGGGCTTTTCTGTTATTCGTCTCCTAATTGAAAACAGCAAGGGAAGAAGCAGTTAGACTCATTAAACATGTTAGAGCAGAGTTGTATTTAGCATAAGCCAAAGCAAACCCACCTCCTTGCTAGAACTGCACTCATTTCTTCTAACAGTCCCCCACCAGCCATCGAAAGAGGTCCATTACCTCGACTCGGCTCTGTCTTGGCAGCAGCTGAGCTTAGTGCCAGGACACTTACAACTCCCTGATTGATGGGATCCTCATCCTGTGACAAAAAGAGCGTCATTTTTACAGCCGCATTTAATGAACGGGACAATACTTTCTAGAAAACTATGATTGACAAAGGAAGCAGTCAGGATAATATGGGGACATACACTTATACACACCCTTTACACTTTATTGTGGAGTAAAGTACATTGAATGCATGAAATTTTCTAATCAAATGGCTTAAAAATACATTTCCAGCATTCAATATTAATTAATATCATCTACACAAGCTATAGTAAAATGTGGTGATTGGAGAAGACCAAAAAACACAGAAAACTTCCTATTGCCTGCAATACAAGAACTCTCTCTCAGATGAAAGGAATGATTCGGTGCCCAGTGATGATTTACTGTGTAAGTGAATGAAAAGTTAGATAGTATAGTATAGTATACTTAATATAGCACAGGCTCTGGGCACTTCTAACCATTTTCAGACTAAACCTAATCCAGTAGAAAGATGAGTATATCCAGGGTATTTGGGACTCCCAGCCGCCTATACTAAAAGGCCATTTGATTATGTACAGACTTTGATTTGTAGAAAATAAACGTATATCTCTAAAACACACACAGTATTTACCATGGATACTTTTCGAAGTTTGGCTCCAGCAAGCATAGCAGCTAGGCCTGGTAAAGGACGGTTATCTCCTGAGCCAGAAGCTGAAGAAAATGGAAGAGGTGGAGCTCGAGGAGGACCCTGGCCAAACATTGGAGGTGGAGGCCCAGGAGGAGGTGGTGGCCCAGGAGGTGGTGGTGGCACAGGAGCTGAAGGAGGGAGTGGTGGAGCTGCTGGAGGACCAGTTGCTGAAGAAAAGCTAGAACCTGGCGGCAAAGGGGGCGGGGGAGGAGGTGCTGGCGGTCCAGGAATAACACCTGCAAAGAGAAAATGGCACAATAACTAATAACTACAGGCAAATGCAGAAAATACAGAGATTATCAGAACCATGAAGCTCTCGCCACCACATAAAGAAAACTGCAAAATGAATCTATTCTGGATCTTCTAATAAATCAGCATAATTTGAACTAGTACATGCATATAATGCTACAAATCCTCCCAGGATATCAGATTAGTGTTTTCCAATATTTTGCACATGCAAACTAACATTCAGATAAATAAAAATGTAATTACACACAAGCGACAGACTCATTTTCCACAAATTCTAATTTCTAAAATGGTCGTTATACATTGTGTTATATGACTTGCATGTTAGATGATGTATAGATTAAAGGTTATACCTACCTGGATTCGCATCTCTACAAAGGACTGCTTATGTATTAATATGCTCACATAACATAATATATGCATAAACATATACATACATATGTATGCAAGTCCTGAAGTGGGATTTTGTGTTCAGAGACTTGAAGCTCCATAACAGCTTGAATGCTTATACGGTTACCCAACAGAACAGTGTTATGGTTAATGTAGTCCAGTAATGGGATCTGACTATCCTCTTCGTAATCCTAGGCATATTAAACGGTATACTGCCTCAATATTACACAGCAGAACAATACTGCTCTATGAAATACCAGTATTAGTGTGTTATTAATAAAAAGATAAAGATAAATGCAAATTATGTAAATCTTGTATCTGAAAGTTGCTTTATATTGTCGTAATTCGGATCAAAACCAGCACAAAAACAGAATGTAAAATACAAAGGACTTGTTCCATCACGGCCGTTCTGCTTGGAGGATATTTCTATATCACCACCCTCATCTAAATCGTCAGGCTCTTTGCATACAAAATTATTACAAATTCTGGAGTCTGAATGATTGACAGATTGTAACCATTTATAAATCATGCTAGGAAACATGGGCAGGACAGGTCTCAAAGTAAGAGGTTTGATAAGGCACGTCTTAAATCTAATCCAACTGCAACTCCTTCAAGCTTAACAAACACAAGTTCAGGTTAGTCAATTAGTTGCAAGTGACAGAAAGCCTTACCCGCATGGCTGGAAGGGTCAATCGGCTGAGAGGTGGTGATCAAATCTGGCTGAGAAGCACAGGACTCTCCCAGCACAGAGTTTAAAGAGTTCTCAACAGAGGCAGGGGAAGCTGCAGAGGGAGAAGGGAGAACACTAGACTGGGATGAAGGTGCAAAGACAACAGAGGTGCTGGGAGGAGGAGTGACAGTTTGACATGAAGACAATGAGAACGGTAGGAATGCTGGCAATGGAGGTGGTGGCGGTGGTGCAGGATGTGGTGCTGAAGTAGAAGGCATTTCAAAAGCTGAGCTATCTGTGTGTCCGTTTGGGGCAGTGGATATAAGGGACATCTGAGCCAACTGACTGGATGTAGAAACTAGATGAACAGCCCTCGGCCCAGTAGCTTTCCCCGGAGGACTGCTAATCATCACTGGTGGAGAAGGAGGAAGTGGAGCAAAGTTAGAAGCAGACCAGGATATTGGTTTTGCAGGAGGTGGTGGAGGCGGTGGAGGAGGTGGAGCCGTATTCACTGGAGAAGGAGGTCTTGAGATTTTATTGATTGGCCGAGGAACAGTTGCATAATGGGGAAGAACAGGATGGAAGGCAGAACCTAATGATGTAGCAAAACGTGACGCAGAGTGTCGCAGAGGAGGTGTGGGTGGTGTAGAGTTAATGGATGTAGAGTTCACTATTACATAGTCCGTAATGGAATCTGTACATACAGAGGCAGCCGGAACGGAAATGGCTTTAGCGTAAGCTATGGGAGATACGGAGTGTGGTTGGCAACTGGAGTAATCAATGTGCTGAGCGTTATATAATGAGTTGTTGAAAGATGAGTCTGATGAAGAGTAGGACAGCAGAGACAGACGAGACAAAAAAAAAGAAGAAAGAGAAAAAAAAGGAGCTAATGAAGCAACCAAACCAGCATTCAAATAAAAAGTATAAATGAGAACGGTTAGTATCAGAAGATTAGGAAAAGGAGTTATTGCAGAAATTAAACATATGCATTAAATTAAAATGGAAATTATTCAACAGCACCCAACCAAGTAATGTTACAGTTTTTTTTTTATTAAATACAAAAGCAAAAAAAAAAAAAACACCAACAATGCAAATCCATTTACAATCAACGTTTTACTGGTCAAGTCTAGTCTGTATACAATATATTAGACTGTGAGGGTCCTCCGATGCAGAGACTAGCCCTTTTTGCCCACTACAGCAAAATCCTACCAATTTATGTTCATGGAAGAGGACATTATGGAATGTAAGTTGAGAAAATATTGGTAGTCACAGACGTGGGAGGCGGGGGGAATTTTGAGGCAAAGTTGTGAAAGTGGAGCAAACAGCAGGAACATATTTAGCAAATTTCTCCAAATACATTTTTTCTACATAGCCAACCTCTGCTGTCTTGCCTTCTCTTATAGTGTTTAATTTCATGTCAGTATGTTACATTTTGTGATATTTTACTGTATACCAGCTTGTTATCGAGTTTGTTTTAAAGAACACAGTAAAGTAGTTTTAACCTGCACTATTGTGAAAAGATAAAATTAACGGGGTTGAGAACATGCTGCAGCAAGTTATGAATTTATTCATAATTACATATCATTGTTTATTTTACATGACTGTTTTAGATCATATAAGGGAGAAACACTAGTTCGCGGTATATATATATATATATAAATATAAATATAAAAGAAAATTGCTCTTGCACGCACGTTTAAATCCCTTAGTGGCCGGGTGCTCGCATACCATACCTTTCATCAGGATCAAAGTATATATATATCCCTCCATTTGTGCCTGTGAGTCTTATTTTCTCCCATTTTTTTTATATTTTATTCATATTAAATTATGTTTCATAGCTAAATATTTGATGTTAAATGAAATCCCTGTTTCCCCTGAATAAAAGGATATATAATAAGTGTGGGTGCACTTAACCCCTTAAGGACACAACTTCTGGAATAAAAGGGAATCATGATGGAATATTTCTGTCATGTGTCCTTAAGGGGTTAATATGAGGTGAATTACGGTTGGACAGACAGACAGTCAAATTCAAGATTTTGTTTACGTTTTGTTTTGATCACAATGTGCACATTTGGCTCAATCCTTAAGGAGTTAAGTTAAAGCATGTACACACAGTGTTTGTGACTAAGTGGCTACTAAAAAAGACTGGACATGCCCCATTTGCAATACCTTGGCTGTCTATTATTGCAAATGGTAAGCCATTATGGGGGTAATTTTCATTCCTGGGCTACCATACGGTCTCAAAGGCAATGTAACCAATCTGGCGAATTTCAATGTGAAAAAAGACGGAAAATCAAGCCTTATATTTGACCCTGTAACTCTCAAAAACACTGTAGAACCTGTACATAGTGGTTACTATTATACTCAGGAGACTTTGCTGAACACAAATATTAGTGTTTCATCAGTGAAAGTGCGGTTTGTGTGTGAAAAATGCAATCCAATGCTTTCCCTAAGGGGAGCAAGCCACCTAAATTGTGGCTTAAACAATATAGGGTCAGGAATACATCTTTGTGTTCCTGACTCTATAGTTATCCTTTAAATATAGTGCCAGCAAATTAAATTCTCTGGCCAATCGGCCTGGGTTGTCAGGCAGGTCCCTCAAATTGCAATCAATAAAATTACTTAATTATGTAAAAATATTACACAAAGATGCATGTAGAATTTAAATATATATACATATTTAAATATTTATATATTTAAAGTCTACATTATATATGAAATTATGTATATGGACATATGTATATTTCGTATTGTTTTTATATATTTATTTTCATTCTAAGCATATTTTGATATAAATACATATATCAAAATACAGTTAGAATAAAATTATATATAATTTTTAAAAAATAATTTTTAATTTTTTTTATAATGTATATATTATACACATATATAGTTATTATGTATATAGATATACATATAAACACACACGTGTGTAATTTTACTCTAAGTGTACTTTTATATTAATATATGTATATATTAATAAAATACACTTAGTATGACGTTATATAGAACTATTTTTTATTTTAAAACTTTTTTTTTTTTTTTTTTTAATTAGGTTGGGTTTTTTTTGTTTTTTTAAACTTTTTTTCACCAGCAGTGGTCTGCCGGTCAGTTCAGGCAGTCCCCCTGCTGGCAACACTATGGACGTCTATTGCGGCCATGTGACTGTTCTTTCAGAGCGATCACATAGCCCTTGGGATCCTATTTTGCAGAGGGGGGGATTGTCTGGGCTGTCAGACAGTCCCCCCAGTGGACAAGAAAACTGATTGCCTGTGGGGGAGCGGCGGCGATCGGGTAAGTAACTTAGAAGTAATCTTACTTCTATTCAAGACTGCAGCTGATGGCTTTGCCCCTGTCTGCTGACATCACAATGTTTCCCCATAGGATTGGCAGAGACTGTCAAGGAGGCAGATCGGGGGCAGAGCCAGCACAGGTCAAACACATCCCTGGGCAATCAGCAACTTCTCAGAGATAAATTGAATCAACGCATCTCTGAGGAAAGTTCAGTGTCTCCATGCAGAGGATGGAGACACTGAATGTCAGTCACACTGTGCAGCACTGCCCCAGGAAGCACCTCTAGTAGCCATCTGAGGAGTGGCCAGTGGAGTTATCTCTAGACTGTAATGTAAACACTGCATTCTCTCTGAAAAGACTGTGTTTACTGCAAAAAGCCTGAAGGGAATGATTCTACTCACCAGGACAAATGCAATAAGCTGTAGTTGTATTGGTGACTATAGTGTCCCTTTAAGTGTCAGTAAAACATTGAAGAATGGACATGAATGAGTGAGTGATACAACTATAAGACAGCGTTAGCAATATAAGGTGGTCGCGTCAACTCTGTCTGCTTTATTGAGATTTATTTACATGATTATCTTACGGTTTTATTTTAATTTTAACTGCAACCCAACAAAAAGAAATTCATACTAGGGCAAGTAAAACCAGTTATGAGTCACACACCTCTCAATACGCTTAAACACAACCACACAACTAAAACAAGCTCTGACTTCCTCTATCAGGCAGTAGCATGTTGGTACATTTCCAGTTCAGCTACAGTGGCAGAGTAAAAATTTGATGCAACATAAAAAAATAAAATAAAAAAAAAACCATGAAACCAAAGTCAAAACCCAGAAGAAAGAGACTCCTCCCATGTCTATGTGTTCTCTCTAGCCAGCAGACCGCATGGATACATGTCAATGAGAACAATATACACTGGGTATTCTTACCAGCATTGGAAAGCCGCCGTTCCTTTTCCCATTCCAGCTGCTCTTTTTCCAGCTCTTCCTGCAACTCGCGCTCTTTCCTCTCTTGTTCAAGCATTTCTTGCTCTTGCAGTTCCCGCTCCAGCTGTTCTTTCTGCTCTCGCTCCTGGCGTTCTCTCTCTCGCTCCAGCTGTTCTTGTTCTAAGCGCTCTCTGTCAAGTCTCTCCCTCTCCAACCTCTCCCTCTCGATCTTCTCGCGTTCCAGCCGCTCTCGCTCCATCCGCTCACGTTCTAACCTCTCTCTCTCCAGGTCTTTCTGCCGCTGCTGCTCCTGCAGCTGCCTATAAATGAGCAGGAAGAACGGTTAACAGGGAATAAAAGAAACCATGGATACTGGCTAAATGCCATTAATATTGTAATAGAAAACTAATCAACCTCCGCTATTGTTAAAAGGAAACTGATGCTGCTGTATGAAAGCGCATTTTAACTAGACTGAAAAAATGGAGATAAAATGTTTCCATATTCTGACAGGTAAGGATATAAGACAATATCATTACTAAATGTACGAAGACATGCACAGAGAATAAAGAGAAATTATTACATGCTCTGGCTATCTGGATTAAAAAAACAGAACTTAGAATACATGTTACAAGCTATTTAGGCTTTATATCATTATTTAACAATGAGCTTCATTTTATTAGTATTATCCACGTTCTACCTCCATTTCACTTGTTCAGACGACTGGGAGAAGGACATTTCTGTGGCACTAAAAGAGGAAACGGTCTAATAATCCACGACTAGTTACATAATAACATTGGCACTCATTCCCTAAGCCCAACAAACTTAGAACTAGTCTCTGCATCTAATGAAGACCCACCTGTGTTTTGGCCAGAACTTTCCTCCTTATTAGTGTTGGGCATTGTACAATCAAATGCATCCAATTCATAAGACGTGAGGCAAAATGTCACTGCAACTCATACAGATGGGTTCGTGGAGATTTAGGGAGTTGTATAAACGTTACTTTAGGGCTGTATTATTTATTTTGATCCATTTTTAATGTCTAATAAAAATCTATATTTTCTGATGTCAAGACTAGAAAAACCTTGAATTTCATGTTAAAAGCTAAAGCACAATACAAATATAGAAACTGTAAATACAATTACAAAATTACTTTTGAAATATGCATGTTGGGTCTGAAACCTTTTAAATGTAGAATCTGCAGCTTTTAGTAAATCTGACATACCCCTGCCTGAAAAGCTTTAGTAGACATAGCTCCTCTAGAAGAGTGAGCTCCTAATAGAGAAACGTCAATACCGGCCTCAGACAGTTTGTCTTACCCATGTAGCTAAAGATTTAGAAGAGACAGAAAGAAAAGGTTTGCAAAAAGATTAGTAATGGAGAGAAATTGGAATGTCTTATAGATGAGGGTTTCAGTTCGTACACTTATAGACAGCTGACCAAACATAAAAGAGGATGATCAGAAAAAGGATAACAAAAAGATGGAAGATTAGTTTTGGTATGTCTAACAATAGAGAAATGAACACCATGAAGAGTATATTGTCTATTACTTAAGTCTAAAGCCCTAACATCAGAAACTCTTAAAATAAATTAGGCAGAGTAAAACAGTAAGTTTAAGTGAAATTAATTTATAGGATAATGAATCATTGTCACCCCAAGATTCTATTAACTGGAGAACCAGAGTAACATCCTATGTCGAATGATATTTAGAGCATGGGAAGGCGTTAAAATCGAATACCCTTCATAAGCCTGCAAACTAGAGGATGTTTACCCACAGGAAAGGACTCAATAGGGTTGTGATTTGATAAAATAGCTGATCAGGAAGATATACTGTATAGCACCAAACACCATTACAATATTTTATTATTACTATTTACATTTAAAATAAGTATTTACCTGGTTTTCTGTTTCCGTGACCTAGCAGCATTACGCCCCACCCCCTTTCGCGTCATCAGTTACTAATAGTTCAGGTCCAATCACTAGCTTCTCATAGAGAAGCATTGCGGACCATACGCGCATGCACAGCATTTGCTGCTATGCGCCAATCAAATTACACTCATAGGGAATCATCGTATTCAATGATTCCTTATACGAAAGGGCGAACGCTCTATTGCCCATGCGCTCCATTTGCGCGTTCACAAGCAGTGAGCTAAATCAGAGATCGGCTCACTGCTATAAAATCCTCCATATTTAGATTGTTCAAACAGATGACTATTGTCCCGTCCCCCTCAGCCCCCACCAGCCGCTTATGGAAGAGGACATATGTGCTCCCCAATGAGCGGCGGGTGGGGGCCCAAAATTACAGTGGGGGAACCTATTGTTCCGTCCTGGCCCCCACCAGTGGGCGACGTGAAAACCCCGCCCGCCCACCACAGGGTGACTAGGGGACACCAGACGAGGGCACCGCGTAAACTGAGCTCCACAGGGCGGGGAAAGGCTTTTAAAGCCTTCCCACATCTTGCAATATGACTCAGAGTGCTCTGATTGGTTGGTTTAAGCCAACCAATAAGAGGGCTCTGATAGGTAAATAGTGAGCCTTACCTGATTGGGTACCTATAAGGCTCACTATTTACATATCAGAGGACTCTTATTGGTTGGCTTGGAATCCAACCAGAGTGCTCAGAGTAATTTTACACAGCGTGGGGAAGTTCTTTGGAATTTTCCCATGCTGTGTAATTTGACTCATAACACTGATTGGTTGGCTTGGAATCATTTTGACTCAGCTCACTACAATAAGGTAGGGAAAATCACAACAAATAACAGTGTATAAATATATAAAACTACATTAATATACATACATAGATGAACAGAAGAATAGTGAAACCGTACAAAAGTGTGATCCATATTAAACATGAAAACACCAGAGAAATAGTAGTAAATATACTAACAAAGAAGGAGATTTGGGAATTATTTGTCATATAGTCCATGCTGGATGCAGATAGGCTATTAAGGATTCAATTTCAGTTATTGACTTTTTTTGTCTATTGTTCACTAAATTTTATTTAAAATTTCTTTGCTGCTGGAGTTTGGTAAAGAAAGTCAATGCATAATATGAGCATCCTCTCATTATAAAATGACAGATTTCCAGTCAATACAACTCACTGAGAAAAGGGAAAGGTAGGCATTAACTAACAGTGTGCCTGCCACTTCAGTTTGCTCTCTGGAGCGAACAAATGTGGAAAAAACCTCCCGGCTTTCTGATCGACACCTAGGGAGATGCTTCTGCCACCCAATTAGAAAAGTGAAGATTTCTACTATAAACTGTCACTAATGGCACACAGCATTTCATGATGATTTAGTGCTTTATCTGTGTGGTGTGTCCCTTTAAAATGGTGACTTGCCATTTAAAATAATTTTACACCAAAATTCTTATTAGGCTCAACAAACCCCAGAATTATTTTAATTGGAGGTATACTCCACATAAGCGGTTTGCCGAGTGGTTAGGAGTTGTAGCCCAGTAGGGGCAATTTAACAGGACACAGCTTTCCATCAGAGTGGCACGTTGTTTGACGTTTGCTTCTCGTAAGAGCTCAAATCCAGAACCAATTTGTATATTCTTTAAAAGAAAAAAAAATATGTATTTCAATGTTTTAACCCCTTAAGGACACATGACGTGTGACATGTCATGATTCCCTTTTATTCCAGAAGTTTGGTCCTTAAGGAGTTAAAGGCGGGAAGCACACGCTTTAAGACTGTGTACAACTCACCCAGCTATGTGCAGCCTGACTAGTTATCTGGGTTAGCATGCTGTATGCGCTGACATGAGTCACAAAAGTTGTAGAAATTGGGCACTTCCAAGCAGGAAGAACGTATCCCAGCTGGCTGATTGGCAGCCTTGGGAGGTAGCCCTCCACACAGTGGGCGGGGAAGTTATTTATTTCTGGAATGACAACTTTAAAGTGACCCTTTAATTCTCAGAACAATTTCCTGAGCAGGCATTTGCTATAAAAAAGGTCTGGCAGAAAATTCAATGGAGTCAGGGCGCATCGCTGTTAACTGGCAGCCATAAAGTCAAGCTAAGCCAAGACCCTGACAGTTTTCACAGCTAGACATTTCCACCAGCAGAATGTGGGTAGAGTATTGAATCTCCTTCGCCATGTGAAGGAAATTCATACCATAATAGTATGTACCCTTTTCTGGCTGGTGCTTTTAGTTCAGGCTTGAGAAATTAATTATACGGAAGGAATAATAAAAAGAAATAAAAATTTTTTAAACCCAGTCATGATCACCAAGCCAAATCTCAACAGTACAATTTTACTCAAATATCAATGTGATGCTGTGTAAAATAAAAAAAAGTACATTGCTTTTGAGAAAAGCAGCAATTCCATTGAAAAGTGACATCAACATGACTTTATGAAACAATAAAAAAACTACTTTAAAGATGTGTGTTTTGGTAAATGTTTCTATTCAAGTAATGAGCAGAAACAAGAAATCGCCATTATGATCTTGTGATCAGCGTTAACAAGTAGTGCAAGGTGGAACGCAATAAGATGTGCCTATACATAGTGCACGTAACTATTCACCATGTGGCAATGAGCTTTGGCTAGATAGCATGTAGCTAACTGAAAAGGAGGATTTGATGATTGCGAAGATTTGGAAGCCTATCAGGAGGGAACCTCAGAAGACGCCTTAAAAAGGACCAATCAGAACTGGGGACTAGCCCTATAAAATAAAGTACATGAGGAGGGAAGTAGGTTTTATTTGGTTTTATAGTTTTTATGGTGATTTTGGTTCCTGAAGAATTCCAGCACTGGTAGAAACAAGTTGGACAGCTGTATGCGATTTTATATTTTCTTATTATTGCAAACCTAATTTTAATACCTATACCTGGAGTCCTGATAAATTTAGCATAATCCACAGATATCACGGATTGGGGAGGACGTGGTTTCTTCTGGCCCATCCATCAGTCAGGGGAGGCACCCTGTGGTGCTTTATTTTCATCCATTCTGTGGGGTGCAATATTAGAAGTGCAATTGCTTTTTTAAACAATATTACACTAGATGTAGTTTATTTCGTTGTGTGTATAATATATTGGCTGTTTGGAAGAGTGTCATTTGGTAAGGTCCCTAGGGAGGATATACAGCTAAGTTTAGATATATATTTTTCTACATGTGACACTATCTGGTGGAGGTTTGGTGTACGTGTATTCACAGAAACCAGAGAAACGGTTTCCCAGCTTAGTATAAAAGGTCAGTCAGGATCCAACTCTTCTAGGTTTTATTCTACTTGTCCCAAATACACAGAAAATAATTTGCAGAATCTTACTCATTTTTGTGAACGGGATTTATGGGCTTTTGCTAGTGGTTTTAATATCCTCTCCGTTCAGATACAAAGATAAGGGCATACAGAAGACAGACAAATGCTTGGCAGTTGTAATATAATATGCATCAGTCTCTCTGTATAATCAGTGATCCCAGGAAATGAACAAGCAAAGCAGCTGCATCAAAAATGAACAATGAAATCATTATTAAACACTCAATAAATGTGAGATACTTTGACACAATTTCAATCAACTTTATAGAATTTTACCTGTTTGTCAAACGCTCTACGCTTTGATCAATAATATTTGTAGCCAAAGGAAGCGCACACCCCAACTATTGTAACATTATAATTTTACCATTGTTAATATTGTGAATTCAACGACTGACTAAGTCTATCCGAGACAACCATGACCCACACTGCACAAAAAGAAGTCACATACTATTATAAAACCCCTACTACCTCAACAGAATGCTGCTCCACTTTATCCCAATACATGCTATATATAATTAAACACTGATCTGTAACGATCAGGAAAATCGAAGATTTAAATGACAAGCCTAGTCATCACTGTACTGAGCAAGACAAAAAAAAAGAAACCGCTAAAAAAAAAATCTCAAATACTTAATGACAAAATGAATGGCCTTACAGGCAGTTATTCGACTCCCCCATAGATTAGCAAACATTAAACCTATGACACAGTAGAACCCACATACAAAACCCTAATAAGAAGGTGGGGATCAGATCTTTCCTACACACTTGCTGTTAGTTACCAACTCACAGTCAGTAGGTCCAGCTAGTTAAAATGAACGCACACGGGCTACAAAAACTTTTAAAGTTAACCGCCACCAAGTTCAGGAACCGAGAGGCTAAAACAGTGTGTATATGCCAGCCCATAATGATCACTGGGGTATACACGCCAGACCAATTTCCAGTATTGTGTGGTATAAACACAGGTACTTACAGAAGGAGGCGATCCACTTTTGGTCCATTTCCCTTTTGAAGCACAATGTAACAGCCATACGGCTTCATACTGGCCACACTGCAAACAAACCTGTCCATGCAGCTGCTACCTTCTTTTTTTATAGCAAAGCTCATCCCTTAACAGTGACTTCCAGGCTATAAATAACACGTATGTCCCCCACTGATAAACCATCGGGCTTTCTGGTCACGCTGATGTCATTATACAGAGAATCCCTTGCCTTGGCCAGCAGTGATCAGCACACAATCGGTGCCGATAAAATTAAGATCTTTTTGGTTCATATTGTAATGAAACAAAATCAACTGATGTGCTTTCCATTTCACACAGGCATCGATTTCAGCAAGAAGGGGGGATGACAATTATTTCTACAATTTAGGATTCAAGAAGACTTAATTCAGGACTGGAGTTTAATGGAGCCAAGGGAGACCTTACTTTTACAATACTAGTACAAACACCCCAAAACTGGAAGGTTGCCCCCACTAAAAAGCACCAAAGGGTTTATTTACTAAACTAGGAACCATGGAAAACAAAAATCAGAATTGCAAATTTTAGGTCCAAATAGCAGAGCTAGAGATATGTCTCAGTTATACAGTTTTGATACTCCCTTACAAACTGTCCACGATTCTTATGTTAGTAAATAGATCCACTCACACACATGCATTCAGGCTGTCCGCATTATTCATCTATCTATGCCAAAATAATACAGAAACAGCTAAAGTCCTCCTTCACTGCTCCCCTTGGGGGCAGTCATCCCAATCAGTGTGACAACAGACTGATTGCAACATTACAAATCTATTTTGTATGAAGATCTTTATGCATAATATTAAAAAAAAAAAAAAGGTTCTAGCATGGGTGAGAAAAATGTAAACCTATATATAACACTATGAAGAGTAGTCCAGCGGCTCTTCTGATATACAGGCCGGAATACTGGCTGTTTTATAAACAGAGTGACTTACATCAGGAACCCCAAATATCTTTAAGCTAATGTTTTGGGTGGATTAACTGTCATACGGTACAAGCAGAGGCCAAGAAGGCCTGAAGGGGGCCCAGAAGTTGCCTCAGAAGGACACTATATATATCTCTGACTAAAGGAAACTATAAATATAAATGGCCTCAGATACACAAGTAAACAGAAAGACTCAGCACTCCACAGGTGAGTCGTATGCAGGCTATATCTAGAGGGTATATAAAAACAGAAATAATGCGAACATAAACCATTAATCCTTTAGCTGATGTCACACACACACACGGCGGGAGTTTGTGCTGCCATGAAAGGTGATAGACACATGGAGAATTTGATCATAATTACCAACCATAGCTTGTGTATCCATTTCCCTCCATGTTTACGGAGTCGACTAAACAGGGGGCTGTTCCCAAAGCAAAGCTGGCATTCCCGCCAGTCGCCCAATTTGGCTGCGCTGCATACAATGTTACCATCAAAGCTAACTCTCACAGCAGACAGGTATTGTAGTGATAATTTATGAATACCAGTATGTGGTAAAGGGTGGGGACCACTGGAAAGCGCACAGATCTACAGTCACCCATCTGCAGGGTTTCACTCCTGAAATCACCCACCGCTACAAAAGGTGGATTATGGGAAACTTGTAAGCTGCTCATGTGGTTCATGGATGACGATCACTAGCATGAGTGAGGTCAAAAGAACCACAGAAGTGATGTCCCTGCGGAGGTAAATATCCAGTGGTTAATCTGCAGGGAGATCTTCCATGTCTGGGATCTTTGGGGAGAAATGGGAAATTGATTTGGGAGTTAAAAATAAAAAAATTTAAATAAATTACTGGAATTCACTGAATTGACTTCATGTGTTCCATTACTTGGCTCCCAGCCAGGATAAAACACAATGTATAGTTAGATTACATTTCTGCATAAATGCAAATCTATACATAGTGGGCTCTGAGTGTAGTAAAGATAGTAATGGTCTGGGAACCCTGCCAGCTCAATCTGTAAACAACAAGCTGCTTGTGAAACTCTGCAGTTAAACCTTAGTAACTAACCCTCATGCAACGGAATAAATTAAACCTTCCTTGAAGACTGTGGTGTCACAGTTTAAAAGGTCCCTCGGTGGCTATTTGGTTCCTGTCACATGGGTGGGTTGATAAGGATAGCATCTCCTGTAGTTTAACAACGTACTTGTTGGAGCATGTTAGGGAGAACAGGTAGTGTTAGGGTCTGGTGCACTGGAATATTAGGAAGAATGGCACAGACACGGATGGGGTAACCAAGCAATACATAAAATCGGGGTACTACTCCTTAATCCTAAGGGAGGGAATCCCAGAAGACCGCAGAGCTAAGGCTGCATTATAGGATTCATCTAGCTGGAAAAGGTGACCATTATTCTTCTGGATGTATATTGGAATATAAAGAAATATTCCATTATTTTTATTAAGCAAAAGTTCTATCTTTATTAAATATTTATCAGGTCTAGTTTAATGAGCATATTGAATGAACTAAAATTATCGTCTTAACGGTCCTTCTGTTGGACTAAATTTCCATTAATTTTATTCCAGGTTCACCCGGGGGGCCAAGGCTGGACACCCCTGTAATTAAACAATGTTTCATTTAAAACTATCAATCGTACCTACCTGGCATTCGTGTGGCTTGTGTGCTTTCTGGACATGTAGCTACGGGAACTGCCTCTAATGGATCAACAGCAAAAAAATATGTGAGGAAGGCTAAACTTGATGGACACAAGTCTCTTTTCAGCTATGTAACTATGTAATATAGACAGTGACTGAGTCACCAGCACCAGACCGGCTAATGTTTTATAGATTTCGCTATATGCCATTAATGCTCAGACATGTTCTATATTGGGATCATGACTCAATAAAAATCAAAGAGGGACGGCAAAAGAACTACCTTGATTAGTTATTTGCGGTCTATCACGAAGAAATACAAATATAGTTGTTCTACTTTAACAACCGTACCTACCAAATACAACACAGTTTAGTGGTTTTAATAGGGAGGTATAGGGGGGAACTTGAACAGAAGAAAAGGCCCTTGTGACCAAAAAAAAAAAAAAAAAAAGGAAAAAAAGCTATTCTGCCAGGTATGTATCATTAACCCTTTCCGTGCCTGGTATACATCATATTCTGACCCAAACTGCTATTCTGCCAGGTATGCATCATTAACCCTTTCCATGCCTGGTACACTGTACATCATATTCTGACCTAAACGACTACTCTGCCAGGTATGTGACATTAACCCTTTCCATGCCTGGTATACATCATATTCTGACCCAAACGACTACTCTGCCAGATGTGACATTAACCCTTTCCATGCTGGGTATACATCATATTCTGACCTAAACGGCTACTCTGCCAGGTATGTGACATTAACCCTTTCCATGCCTGGTATACATCATATTCTGACCCAAACTGCTATTCTGCCAGGTATGCATCATTAACCCTTTCCATGCCGGGTATACATCACATTCTGACCCAAACTGCTATTCTTCCAGGTATGCATCATTAACCCTTTCCATGCCTGGTACACTGTACATCATATTCTGACCTAAACGGCTACTCTGACAGGTATGTGACATTAACCCTTTCCATGCCTGGTATACATCATATTCTGACCCAAACGACTACTCTGCCAGATGTGACATTAACCCTTTCCATGCTGGGTATACATCATATTCTGACCTAAACGGCTACTCTGCCAGGTATGTGACATTAACCCTTTCCATGCCTGGTATACATCATATTCTGACCCAAACTGCTATTCTGCCAGGTATGCATCATTAACCCTTTCCATGCCGGGTATACATCACATTCTGACCCAAACTGCTATTCTGCCAGGTATGCATCATTAACCCTTTCCATGCCTGGTGCACTGTACATCATATTCTGACCTAAATGGCTACTCTGACAGGTATGTGACATTAACCCTTTCCATGCCTGGTATACATCATATTCTGACCCAAACGACTACTCTGCCAAATGTGACATTAACCCTTTCCATGCTGGGTATACATCATATTCTGACCTAAACGGCTACTCTGCCAGGTATGTGACATTAACCCTTTCAATGACGGGTATAAAACATATTCTGACCCAAACAGCTACTCTGCCAGGTATGTGACATTAACCCTTTCCATGCCTGGTATACATCATATTCTGACCTAAACGGCTACTCTGCCAGGTATGTGACATTAACCCTTTCAATGACGGGTATACAACATATTCTGACCCAAACAGCTACTCTGCCAGGTATGTGACATTAACCCTTTCCATGCCGTGTATACATCATATTCTGACCCAAAAGGCTACTCTGCCAGGTATGTGACATTAACCCTTTCCATGCCTGGTATACATCATTCTGACCCAAACACCTACTCTGCCAGATATGTGACATTAACCCTTTCCATGCCGTGTATACATCATATTCTGACCCAAACGGCTACTCTGTCAGGTATGTGACATTAACCCTTTCCATGCCTGGTATTCCGACCCCTCCTTGTGGCTGATACAAGTCTATTTTTGGGGCATTGATATAGCATAACCTTATTCCGCAGTGCTTTACAATATTATAAATGGGAGAAATTTCACAATAATTGAGACAAGTACAAAATGTTACAGGAACAATAGATTGAAACGAGCGTACAGTCTAGAGGAGGTAGGGTATAAAACACAGACCTGCTTGCAATAATGGTGTTTTTGGTGCCTTCCTGTCTGGGTGGATAATGATTGTTAATTGACTAGGTGCGGAACATCTCTAAGAACTGCATAACATGCAATTACTTTGTATGCAACTGATATAAATACTTTATAACACCAGGACTTCACCTGATACAAACACTGCTTGAGTTGGCATTGCATTAAACATCCACTAAATGAGTAAAAACATGTCAATCTTTCCAATACCATCAGGCTAAAGCAAAGTATAATCTTTATATTGTAACTATGGAAAAAGTAGAAAACACCGGGTACAGACGTGATATTGATGGTGAAAATGTATTAAAGTGTAATCATGCATTACTAAGGCTCTTAGAGCCAAAACGTTGCATCGTTTGGTGAGGTGACTTACTCTTCAAAAACATTTCCCCACCAATATCACGTGTACCCTCCTTTATTGAGGAGCAGCTCCTTGATTGATAGCGGATTTGTAGGGTGGAACTTTTGTAACTATATCACTAGTTGTAGTTCCTTTGTAATTATATTAGTAGTAATTTGTAGAATAACTACTTTTCTAGATATTTATTGATAAAAATGGCATTGACATATCAAATGACTTCAAAAAATAAAGCGCAGAGTACATTTATTACAAATGAAGCTGCCATCAGCCACTGTTACAATGGAATGGTGTCAATGCTTTTTAAGAGCTGGAGCACATTAGCAGATGTTCGCAAGTCCACGTTTGTGAAGAATATGGGGGAGATGGCAAAGTAACTTGCAAACTTTCAGTAGCATCGGAAGTATATATACTAACATAATGTCACAATAAAATAGGAGAACACAAAAATATCCGGTCATTTATCACAACATTCTTTTGAATTTTATTAACCACCACAGAAACATTAAAACCACCTGGCAAATATAGTGTAGGTCTCCCTCGTGCTGCTAATTTCCAAAACAGTTGATGCGTTGAAGTATAAACTCCACAAGTTCCCTGGATGTGTCTGGTACCAAGATCCTATAAGTCCTGCAAGTTGTGAGATGGGGCTTCCATAGATCAGATTTATTGATCTACCGTACAACACAATTGATCTGATTGAGACGTGGGGAATTTTGAGGACAACGCAACACCTTGAACTCTTTGTCATGTTCCTTGAATCATTCCAGAAAAAAAAAAAATTCAGTGTGGCAGGGTGCATTATCCTACTGAAAGAGGACACTGCCATCAGAGAACGCCATTGACATGAAGAGGTGTACATGGTCTGCAACAATCTCTAGGTAGGTGATACGTGTCAAAGTAACATCCACATGAATACCAGAACACAAGGTCTACCAGCAGAACATTGCTACCACCTCCTCCGGTAAAAGATGCACATGCATTCAGCCATCCATCTAAACTAAAAAAAAATAATGATTTATCAGGCCAGGCAACCTTCTTCCATCACTCCATGCTGCAGTTCTGATGCTCAGGTCCCCATTGAAGGCGCTTTCAGTGGTGGACAGGGGTCATCATGGGCACTTTGACAGGTCTACAAAGCCCCATACTCAAACTACAATGCACTGCCTGTTCTATCATGGCAGCATTACGTTTTTCAGTGAGCCTTGGGTGCCCATGACCCTGACATCTGTTCACTGGTTGTCCTTCCTTGCATGACTTTTGGTAGATACTTGCCACTACATACAGGGAACATCCCACAAGACTAGCTATTATGGAGATGCTCTGATCCAGTCGTTGAGCCATCACTATTTGACTCTTGTCAAAGTCACTGAGAGTTTTTCTTGTCCATTTTTCCTGCTTCCAACACAATTTAAGAACTGGCTGTTCACTTGGTGCCCAATATATCTCTTCCCCCTGACAGGTGCCATTTTAACAATGTAATTGTGGCGAAACCGGCCTCGCCACGTGTCCTTGGAGGGGGCTGCTTGCCCGCCTCTTGCCTTTGGACTAAGGACCAGACTTTATGTGAATGTGTTAACCCAGATAGCTATGCCATGGAGCCCATTCGTGTAGTTAAAGACTTCGGCTCCATGGCAATTGAACTGTGTGAATAGGATCTGAGCGCTATTCGGTAGTTTTGTGCGCTCAGATCCCAGAAATGTCTGTGTGTTATGTGTAAAAGGTGACTATGTATTTTAAAGTGTTTTATGTCTTTTTGCAACCATGTGCTCAATGGAGTCTGCCTCTATCCCTGGATAATTGGATTACTTTCCCCCATTGGCTCTGTAAAACCTGTTTGAGCCAGATATCCATGTGCCAGCCAGGGCCCAAAAGATACTTTTACTAACTTTTGAACCCCTGGTCGGATTCATGCCATTTTTTAATATGTTGTTCCCCTGAATGGATTGATTGTGAATATGTAATTTTATGTGAAGTGATGTATGGTTTTAAAGTTATGAAAGTTGGGTAGAAAGTATGTTTTAACTGTATGTGTAATTGAGTTTCCTCTCAGGATAAGGGGAGGGAATATGTGGGATGTAACTGATATGTGATTGGTTGTTTTATACCTCCCTGTATGTGAAAGGCTGTAATAAAAACCAGGCTGGGTATGCCAGCACAGGAGTTCCTGTTTTAACCCACAAAGTGAAGTGTCGTCTCATTATTGGGGGAAGGATTTATTGTATGCTGTTCCAGTTTGACTGCTAGGAGAGTAAACCTATTCGTATGGTTCCTATTCAACTGTCTACAGCATTAATATGCTTGGGAGAATTTATTTGTTTCTCCGGTTTGGTGATTGTGGTGTCTGCCAGAGTTCTTGGAGTCCTCAGGAAGCGCTAAGAGCATCCTTCAACGGAGGTACCCAGTCAGGGTGCCAGGCGATCCGTTACAGTAATCAAATGTTATTTACTACTACAGTCTTTGGTTTTAACATTGTGGCTGATCAGTGTAGCTCTAACCTATTCCTCCGTGCTTTACAATTATAGAATGAGGCTATTTGAAAATAATTGACATTCAGAATATAACAGAGACAAGAGCTGAAGAAAGCGCTGCTCAAATAAGCTTACAATCAGTGAGACCAGTTCCAAGTTATGAGGAAGGAGGAGGAATAGCATGCCAGCGGGAGGAGGAGGGACTGATGGATAAGATGCCAGTGACAAAATAAGGTAATAAAAGTGGTGTGGAAGGAGGGAGCATGAGTTAGAATATGTAGAAGAGTAAACAGAGGAGTGTGATTGGAATGATAGAACCAGATAGATGGTAAGCTTTCTAAAAGGGGTGACTTCAAGGACTCAAGGTTCTGGGAAAGTCTGAGGGCAAGGGGCAAAAAAATCCACAGAAATGTGGCAGCTCTTGAAAAATCCTACAGATTTTTATTTATGCTCCCCATTTTAAAATGACAAACATGACCACTGACCTCTAAAAGGTACCTCATTTATTGCATTTTTATTACATAACACACGTATGGTTTATACAAAAGAAGCAAATTCGGATTACATTTTAAATGTAGTGACGTCACCATGGGAACCCACGGAATGTAATTGCCAAACTTTTATAACTTTGCCCCAGAATTCTTCTTTACATGGGAAGCAATGGGGAATATTAGACTGTAATGGTGAACACGGCAGCATATATTCTCTTAGCAGATTATTTGGTTAAAGCTTTTCATTTGAAAAAACACACAGGATTCACAGTGTTTATTCAAGGGACACTATAGCCACCTGAACAACTTTAGCTTAATGAAGCAGTTTTGGTGTATAGAACATGCCCCTGCAGCCTCACTGCTCAATCCTCTGCCATTTAGGAGTTAAATCCCTTTGTTTATGAACCCTAGTCACACCTCCCTGCATGTGACTTGCACAGCCTTCCATAAACACTTCCTGTAAAGAGAGCCCTATTTAGGCTCTCTTTATTGCAAGTTCTGTTTAATTATGATTTTCTTATGTTAATAGCTTGCTAGACCCTGCAAGAGCCTCCTGTATATGATTAAAGTTCAATTTAGAGATTTAGATACAATTATTTAAGGTAAATTACATCTGTTTGAAAGTGAAACCAGTTTTTTTTTTCATGCAGGCTCTGTCAATCATAGCCAGGGGAGGTAAACAGAAACAAAGTGATTTAACTCCTAAATGACAGTGAATTGAGCAGTGAAATTGCAGGGGAATGATCTATACACTAAAACTGCTTTATTTAGCTAAAGTAATTTAGGTGACTATAGTGTTCCTTTCAGTAAAGTCAGAACTGCTGGTAATTCAAAGTGAATTCCAAATTTAGGGTCAAAATAGCTGAATTGCAGCCAGAATTGACTAGAATTTTATTTTACGTTTTACTGGCCTAAATTTTGAAGTTTACTTTGACTTCCCAACAATTCTCAGTTTAATGAATAACGGCCTATGTTGCATGGGTTGTCAAACAATGGACAGACAAAAACACCCTTTTTTAGTAAGCTCATTAAAAACTAGATATAATGTGCTTTAGTAAATAAAAAAGGAAAAACAAACTAAGAATATGCCCCATTGGCATAGATTACAGTACCTTCTCTGGATCTCCAGTTCTTCTTGTGATGGGCCATTTTGTACCTGTATGGGTATATGTGAATTCTGCCGAGACAACGTAGGACCTTAAAAAACATAAAAATGTAAGATTATAAATGAATGTCCCACAAGACATTACAGATTACCCAACAGTAAAGTATTGTTGTTCCCAATTTGGCGAGTGCAAACGATGCATTAGTTTAGGTAAAACAGGATCCAATTAATTATTATTAATTTGAAAAACAAAAAACCTGTCTTGCAATGTAGCATTTAATTATCCAGAATTAGAAATTGCCATAACCTGACCACGTTTCGGTGCCCATCTGCCACCTTTGTCTTCTCCCCTTTCTTTCCAATGCTCCTCATTGCTTTAAGCTTTCCTCTTCAAATTTAGCAAATTATAGCCTTCATTAGAAATGGTATATATATTCATACTCAAATTGTCTCGTAATACTGAAATTTTACCTATTTGATCATTACTTCTATCACTTATTACTTTCAAAAAAATAAATAGAAAAAAAATGAAAAAATTTGCAACAACATTTACAAAAAAAAAATAGAAAAGTTTGTCTACATCAATCTCTCCACTTAAAAAAAAAAATACACAAACACTAATGATGCCTTAATGGTAGCAGATATCTACTATTCAGGAAAATGAGGTGTCAGCCATAATAACTGTATGTTTATTTACATACACATATTCACACACAAACCCAGAATGTTCTTGCATTCAAAATACCTTGCTTTTTAGAGAGTTCAACTGCAGATTTTTACGATTGACATCATCAGCTCTGACATTAAAGGTCAGTTAGAGCAACAGAGCTCTGGATATTTGTTTAGATTTAATATCCTACAAGCAGCAATACAGTTACGGTCAGTGATACAAACTCTATATTATGTTCTGATAGCAATGCTTACATGGAACCCACCTCACCCCACAAAAAAAGCCCTCAATGCTTACAGGGGTCCTATGCAATATTTCCTGTAACAGAGCCGCTGTCAGAGGCTTTCAACGTTTTGGAGTACAGCGGTGAGGAGGGAAGCAGCTACTCACAAGTAAAGATGTGCAAATGATCCGGCTTGTGACAGCAGAGATACCTCCACATTCCAGTCTTCCCATTACGATGGGATAAGTCGAGCTCAGCCTCGCGGTGGCCATCAGAATACAGATAAAGAACCATTTTTGAAAAAGTTTTTTTGGGGTGTTTTTTTTTTTTTTTAACAATAGCTATTTTACATGCCACGTCCAGGAGCAGAATAGGACAATCACAGGCAGCCAGCTGCTTCCCTCTTGCGTAGCTTGTTGATTGCACTACTTGAACACTGCTCGAAGTCTGACTGCAGAACTCATTTCCCGAAGACTGTGAATTATTTATGATTCCTTGCTCCATAAGACTAAAACCACTATCTCAGTCCACGGCTAATGTAAGTAGAAAGAGCACGTCTTCATCAGAGAGAAAGAAAGCATCTCAGCAGATTACGAAGCACTGCTCAAACTTTGAAATTATTGATTCATTAACCTCCAGCAGAACCAAGCAATGTCCTTCAGGCAGCTCCATTAAAAAATTTTTTTACAATATTGTCAGCCGTGCACATAGCTCGAGACAGATAATCAGCACATCAGCCAAAATAGAATCTGCTTACCTTTGTTTTAGCAAAGTAAATGCATATCTTATTAACCCCAAGAAGAATGGCATGCCATAAAGGATAAATACCCTCTGGTTTATTTAATGCCCTAGAACAGAGTATGAGCTGAGGGCTACTAGTGATACAAATCATAAACAATGGCTCCTGGTTTCAATGTATGGGTGGCATAGCTTTTAAAAAAAAGAAAATGCAGTCAGCTATCCAGAATGGTTTTTGGATTTGTATCCTATGAATAGAAATGCTCTCCTCCCCAAAACTGACATATTTACAGAATTTTTTGAGTGGTCTTCAAGCAGAGGTTGTAGTTGTTAAAGAGTAGAAGGCAGTCGAAAAATAAATAATAATTTAAAAAAATCTTAGATATTTTATCCACACTTTCCCCCCCCCATTATCCTTCAATTTTTCTTTATCCAACATGATATAGCTTATGATCCCATCTTCTAACTGGTCTCTTTACACATACTATGCTCATAATCTGTATGATAACATACAGCCCAAAATCTCAAACCTTTAGCCTCGAGCACAGCTTGTAATTTTAGCCCATAGAGTTGCGCTAGAGCAGGGCTCTCCAAACTCTGGCCCTCCAGATGTTGCTGAACTACAACTCCCATGATTCTCCTGCTATCCATTTCATTCAAATAATTGTTAGTTCAGCAACATCCAGAGGGCCATAGGTTTGAGAACCCTGTTTTAGATATGCAGTCATACGATGTAAAACTTTCACAAACTTTGCTTTCCTCCTAGGAAGACCTTTTTCATGGGCAAGAGAAAGAAATATGGCGCACACAGAGTAAAGAGGAGAAATATATCATTGTTTCGGTTTTTCTTCCACATTTGCAATGTGTGTCCTGGCTGTGCCTTGACTGAACAGGATTGTAATGTAATGTCTTTTATTAAAAATATTTTACTCAATATATAATAAGTGCCTTAAACACAAAAATGGTGGAAGAACTGGAATGTATTAACACTTGCCTTTCTTATCTTCAAGCTTTACCAATACATTTATTGATACTTTGTAATGTTTTTAATCAAATGGTTGGCAGTTTCTAAAATACGATTTAAATCAAATTCACTTTAATTTTTTTTTATTTTAGGACTTTCCTGTAAACACCTCCCACCCCCTCCAAAAAAAATAAAAATAAATCCCAGTGTAGGTCAAGTACCACATAGGTTACTAGAACCAGTTACACGTCACGACCCGAACACGGGGTCTTTCTTTAAATGAGGTAGTGGTGATAGCTTTTTCTTGGTTACTGTTAAATGTGTGTTGCCCTATAGCACAAATCCATGCTCTTTATAAAGCTCTGCAAGTGGCTCTGGCTATGTCCTCTGACAGCTTCTGGGCCATTATAGCAAGCTCACCAAGGAGACTGCTTTGCTCCTTCCTGGTCTAGTAAGACAATAAAAGTATGTATTGATCTGTAGTGAATTTCTCACAATGAAATGCATGCTTAGTATAAACACATTTTAATGTATGTAAAAAGTGACATCCAAACAATAATAAAACTAGTTAACAGAAGGCAGACCATTTGAAATTAGATACATTCTCAAACCTAGCTGCTAATAGTAGCAGTCACTGGTGTCACCTTTTTGAGACTCTGCTTAAAATGCAAAATCATCCCGTCTGGTTATGTAGATGTAGCTGAGGGTGGGTGCACTGCGCTTGCACAATAAGGTATTCTAGAGATATAGCTATATCACATTGAATGAGATGCCTGTTCATATCAGCGGTCACATAGAAAAACAATTGGTGATTACATGAGAAAGTAGCAATAACCGTTTCATGTATATTTTGAGTGTAAACTTTTAAAGAGCCTTTCACGAAGATTAACTCCTTCAGAACCAGATTTTGCACTACTGTTCTGTTAAAGCTGACCTGGGAGACACGCTGCATGTGCCATGAAAAATCTTATTGGATGTCCCAGACCCTACATCCCAGTTTCATCTTGCTCAGGTGTTGCTCATTACATAAAACCTTTCCCAAAAATGCTGGGAGTAGGTCATTACAGGTTCTTTATGTGGCAACTGCTGGCTTTTATTCCAATACAAGTGCATTTCATAAACACCGAAACAAATACACACCTGTATTCACATATTGACACCATGCCGGAACACACCTTGAATGCTGATCACACACTTTCGAGGTGGAGGATACATTTTAGGGCTGCATAAACAAAGTGATTTAACTCCCAAAGTAACCCAATAAGATTGTGCAGAGGGTGACCAGATGCATTTAATAAATTCTCAAAGAATAAACATGTGAACCCAAAACATATCTCTGTGCAGGGAAAAAAAAAAAAAGTGAAGAGGAAAATCACTTTTTGTGACGCCCATGGGTCTGATTGTTTGCCACAAGCTCCTGGAGGGCGCTGAAAGGGCTCTGTTCATGTGATTTGGGATTATGTTGTTCGGGAATCGAACAACCGCACGAACCAGAGATCACCCGGGAGCTTGTTAAGACCAATTGACACCTTGTAACTAGTTCCACCGTAGTGTTCCAATTGTTCGTCTGGGTGGCCACATTTCTTTTGAACGACCACAAGGTGTTGGCCATCTTGTTCAAGCAAACTAAGACAGTGGTGTTTGGGCATCAATCTCTTGGAACCAAAATCGGACACAGAAACTCCCGAACACTGCTGGACTTCCATCATTGCCTTCAGTCGGTTCTATGCGACTTAGAAGGGCACTGTTCGATGGAAACGTTCCGACAAACAAGCTCCAGCATAGAACTATGAATTCCGTTTGGTAGTTGTTCGTTTTTAAACTACCGAACTTGACCAAACGTTAGCACTGATTTCATGGTACTGTTTTAGGCATAGGACCATGTGGAGGTTGTTCAAAATTATGACTTCCATGGAAATCCCAAACCCCTGAACCGATCTGGGTGATTTCTGGATATGTTGGTCTCCCAAATCGGGGCTATCAGGAGATGTAACCTGTGTGGTGTTTATGTGCTTTGGGGGGGTATGATTGGGATTTTGCTATATTGACTGTTCTATACGGAGAGCTAATTCAATTATATGTTTAAGGGCTCGGGTAATTATCTCTCAGGCACAGGAGAGGAGTATGTTAGATGTTTGCTTGTAACTAGTCTCCTCTCAGGTCCAGGCTGAGGGATTGTCCTGTTTTGAGTGGGAGTGTTATGGGCATGTTTGACTGTGTCTAGATTGTAAAAAAGCAGCCCATTTGGCCAGATTAAAGTATTCCAGCTTGTACTCCCAGAACTATGTGCCCTCTGGTTACTGTTCCAGTGTGGAGGATTCAACTAGGAAAGTCCTTGTAAGGACGAGAGCTCCCAGGACTCCGTGTCGTCCAGTGCCTCGGGGTGGACAGAGCGAGTTCCCCATTCGGCTCCAGAGCCCCAGTGAAGCCACGGCGACTGTAGGCAGAGGTGCTGCGGTTAGTCCCCTGTTCTAGCTAGGAAGCGGTCCTTGGCGGAGGTACCCAGCCAAGGGTACAGGGAGCTCCGTTACTCTTTTAATTGCACTCTAAAATCACATACTTCTCATACCATTCAAAATGGATGTACAGTTATATGCTGTGCATATATGGCATCAGAAACCACGGACCCCTTACACACACTAGTTTGCATACCATTGAATGCAGGTGAGTGGATTTAATTGATCTAGTGGGGACTGGGCTAGAACAAGTAGTTGGCACTTCTTTACCTGCTATGCAGCCTCCACTGTTTGTTACAAAATCACATCCTTCCCGTGTTGCTGCATGGGTACAAAAGGTATCAATGTGGTCTGGTAAGACGCTAATTGCATGGCAGATCGATCTTCAATGTGAACCAGTTAGTGCGCCAAACAGCCCAATGTTACACTGCTCAGCAGGCCCCTTACTAGATTCCTGCCATTAGCTTCTTGATATATAGTCTACTAAATATTGGGAGACCTAGATACAGGGATTCAGACATTTTCAAGTCTAGTGGTTAGTGCCCAGGGTTTAAATCTTATGGTCCTCATTGACTTGCACTACCCCCAAAAAACTATAAAAATAAATAAAATAAATAAAAATCTGCAATAATAAGGAAGACATGGTTCTCTTACATTAATATAATCATAATTCTTGTCACTCCTAAACCCCTTCTATGAAAAAATGCCAGTAACCTACATTCATTTGACCGTAGGAAAGTCAGAATCCCTTATTACACTGCACATCCCTCCTGAACACGCTATATTCTTCTAAGAGTGAATCAGAACTTTCTCAACTGATTGTGATGGCAACAGACAGCCACCCATCCTGGAATAAAAGGGTTTGGATGCTTCTTTAAGGTACATGTGCTGCATGTGTTATTTTAGGTACATTGTAATTATACCTTCCATTGATCCCACAACCATGTTCTGTTACAAAAAACAAATTGTAACTCATGAAGCATCCAAATTGTAACTCATGAAGGCCACTAGAGGGCAATATTACTCCGGAAAATAAGTGTATCTGACTCGTGTCATAGGACTGATGGAAAACACGCAGCCTGCTATAGCGCTTTCCCTTTCATCTTGTCCTTACATCACCCAACAACATTAATTGAAAAGCAGTATCTATTTCAAGTACAAGCATAAATTACATTTCCTGGGGTAAACAAACACCACTGAACGCCTTCCTATAAGTACGCCAAGTACGGATTTGAATTTGATTTGTGAAGATTAATAAAAAGATGCCGACGCAGCAGAGGATCAGGCAGTCTTTCCCATTGCTGGGGAGAGGACAGGCCCTGCCAAGCGTTACGAGACATCTCACATAAGTTGCCAAGCAAGACAGCTTTTTACATTTCAATGAGGAGGGTTTTTTGTTTTACACAATTTCATTCCAAATCTAAATACACCGCAATCGCAACAGTAAAATGTATATCATCTAATGAGAAGAAAAAAAAAAAGCTACAGAAATGAATGGAAAAATACCTGCAGCATTAAAAGTTACTGCGTGCAGTTGAAGGATTGCATGTATGTATGTATGTATGTATGTATGTATGTATGTAAATTCTGAATTGCAACTCTTGGATCATTCCAACAATACCCGGTTTCATGATGAACCCTGGCCTCTGCCTGTGATGAAACTCTTAAAATATGGAGACAAATAAATGCTGAGAGATTTAGGAGATTTGTAGTTCAATACTTGGCAGCTAACAAGACATACATTACCTTGCTGAATAAATAAATTCACGTTTAGTTTTTTTGTTGTTCAAGTTGCTCCTAACGATACCTTTTATATATTGTGCTTGGAGTGTTCATATACACTTTTGTTTTACAATAACCTTAAGATACGTTATCCTTTATCTAGCCCTGGACAGTTTACTGAAATACAAAGCATAATATTCTCTCTACTATCTGAAAACATCGAATCTAGGGAGAAGTAAGTCATTCTAGTCACTAGGGGGAGCCATCATTCAACACACTAAAGCAAATTGTATAATAAACCTTATTGAAAATCCCTGATACTGTGCAGAGTGCCTCTCCCATGTACATACATACACACACATACATACATATACATACATACATACATATACATACATACATACATATATATATAAAGTTCTTTGAGTTGAACTGAATATATAAAATACACTAACTCTTAAAATCCCCAACTTCCCTTAAAAACAGTAGTGACAGGGAGGCTTTACTTTTCACTGACAATGCACCATTCTTGGAATAAAACTTGTTTCACGGAAAGGTCACATGAGCGTCTGAGCCATGACTGGAACAAGCTGGCTCCCAGCTGAACGAACGGTAAATCGGCTTACCAGAGTCCTGCGAGTTCAGTACTTCTAAGGCATGCATCATGGCACTGGCAAAGACATTGGCATCCTCCTTGCTCCCAAAATTGAGACCATACACCTGTCTTGCATCTCGCCACTGGTGGAAGGTCTGTGTAGCTTGGTTATATTTAAGTCCTTTAGGGATGGCACAGTTGATCACCACCTGAAGAACACAAACAGAATTTTAGTTATGTGTCAACATTATCAACAGAGAAAAAAGAAAAGGAAATAAAAGGGAGTGAATCAAAGTACCTTATATTAATAAGAGGGAAAAAACAAACTCTTACAAAATAATATATAGAAGGTCTCTGTCAGCTCAAACAAAAGGCACGCAAGCGCAACGACAGCAAAGGTAGAGAGAGGAACTTTCCAATGAACACAACAGAGGCCAAATGGACAGAGACTTACATATTCAACATGCCTGACCGCTCGCGGACAAGATAATAAAATATAGGGAAATCAAAGGCCTGCAAACAAAGTCACAAGCAGGCGCTTAAGATAGCGACAAACTCACCAAAATCTGCTTAGATGGACAACATTTTCCCTAACAACTGGGTCCATGTCACTCACACTTTGCACATCCCAAAAAAATACAGATCGTTGTTCTATCACTGGGTTTCAGCAAGAGCATAGGGAAGTAAATCACTTGGGACAATAACCACTGTATTTACTTATATAGCACAAACATATTCTGCAGCGCTGGATCTAAAATGGCACCTTTTTTTATTCAATGTTTCTCTGCAGATTTTCAAAAGGAAACACATTTCTGAATAGATAACACTGAACTGCAATGTTTTACACAGACAGTAGGAGTTTTAAAGGGAACAACGGAGAAAGTCAGGAATGAGGCAACCGGGTAAAGTGAAACCACAAAATGCAGAGCAGACAGCAGGACCATAGAGCAATTTTGTAGATCCGAAGCAGCTGGAGTGGGGGACAGAAAGTAGGCGAGAAGCCAATAGACATATGGCAGGTGAGTGAGTGTCCGAGACCAACTGTAAGACTGCAAACCAGGGACAATGGGGCAGATTACATTACAGCAATTAGGCCTGATCGTCCCAGCATGCAACCTGTTCTTACTAAACAAACTATTTCAAAACCTTCAAGTCGAATCCAACTTTTTTGGTTTTGAAATTTCTTTTTCCCTTGTTTGAACCTTTGTTTTTTGTTTTGTTTTTTATAGTAGAAAAAAAATATTAGAGATATTATATTCTCAGAATTTTCCAGTCAGGTTGAGTCCAGTGCATTTAACCCTCAGATTGGTTCGGACAGAGCTCCTCACAAACAAAGGGGTACCATGACATTAAACAAGCTTAAAGTGCAGGGCTAGCACATTGGCTGAGAGTGTCAGTCGATCACTCTCAGCCAACGAGCTAAGCCGAGCAGCTCAGACAACGTCCAGCTCTTTGTCAGTAGTAGTGAAGGCAAGGAGTGTCTCTGGGGAACTGCAGGTAAGAGGTCAAACCTTTTGAAACTGTATCACTCCTTAAAATTGGGTCACCATGGCACCATAACAGCCACAGAGCAATGGGGCTGGGAGTGCTGCATTGGTAAACCAGGTATTTAAGGAATATTGTTAGGAAAACAACTTTCACTTTAAAAAAATAAAATAAAAAAATTCCATTGTGAGGAGACCAGCTGGAACATTGGACAGTTTTTTAAAAGATCACTCAAAACAATGTTTGAAGGGGAGTTCAGAGAAATATTTGATATGTCAAGTTTAATATGGAAATAAGAGCTAATCGAACAGTTTTGGTATATCAGTGATTGAAATATAGCAACTCAAGGCCTTGGATATGAACAGTATATATCATCTTGAAAACACTCATGATGTAAGAACTGCCTTTGTACATAACCACTAAGCATCCACGTTGAGAAGCCACTTTCCTAATCAATGCCACACTGTGTACAAAATTCCCAGATTTTACTATTAACATGACGTAAAGTCATGATTTTATTAAAGACACGGAGGCGAGTATTATGCATAACTCTTTCTTTATTCCCTCAGCAGCAAAGATAGAGGAATATAAATATTATTAAAATGAAAGAAAAAACTGTATAGGCACACAGGTAACCAATCAAATAACAGAGGAAGTAACTATAAAATGTCTGTCTCCCACAATCCCCCTCTTTCTTGCAAGAACAGAAGACAAGGAAAACACGAAAAGATCTCACACCCGGCAAGAGTAGGAAAACCGGAACCAAACGAAAACTTCAAGCTAAAAGAGAGAGAGAGAAATATGGTAATAACCAAACTCCAAACTGAAGACTTGCCAAGCAAAATGTCAACAGCTACTTAGGAGTTCAACCTATAATATAGAAAAAACTATTAGTATATAATTATATAAAACCAAAACATCAACAGCATAATCATATAAATATGTAGGACACAAAAACCATAGCAGATAGTAACATACCTGAAAATTCAACCACATCTCAACCAATGACCCAACACCGGGAGGGCTGGTGGGAATAATACTCGCCTCCGTGTCTTTAATAAAATCATGACTTTATGTCATGTTAATAGTAAAATCTGGGAATTTTATTTAAGACACGGAGGCTCCTATTATGCAAGTTTAAAGCTGTGCTATCACTTGAGATGCGATGTGGTTAATCGGTCTGAAATAAAAGTCACGGAAGGTCGACTCCAGAGACCAATCCGCAGCCCGCAGAATGTTCTCCAGATGACAGCCGACTGTAGAGGCTTTCGATGCCATGGCTCCATGTACTGAATGGGGCGTGAAGATAGAAGTGTCAATGCAAGCTAAAGAGAGAAGCCAGCGTATCCAACGAGCCAAAGTCGGGGTGGATACGGGTTGGTATGGAGACCTAAATGATATGAATAACGGATGAAAGTACAAAGACCGAAGAGGCCGTGTAATATCCAGATATACCTTTAGACACTCCACCGGGCATAATGCCAGATTTCCTGAGAATCTAGGGTATACAAAAGATTGGGATGCTGATTTCGTCCTTCTGGATATGTTGAACGAGATACCCTCAGGGGTAAAAGTAATGGCATCCCAATCAAGGGCCCTAACGTCAGACACCCTTTTACATGAAATTAAACAGAGACGCATCACTAACTTAGAAGAGATCTGTTTAAGTGTCAAGTCTTGGTTCGGAAACCATGACGATAAAAATTGTAACATCACGTTGACATCCCAGAATGCAGATATACGAGTCCAAGGAAATCGAGCAAGGCGAATACCTTTGAGAAGGCGACACACAAAAGGATGTTTGCCTATGGGCGAACCATCCAAACCTCTATGTCCAGCTGAAATTTCTGAGCGGAAAAGGTTGATCGTACGATACGCCTTACCCGAATCGAACATGTGTGTGAGGAACTCCAAGATCATATGGAGAGGGGCAGATACGGGATCCATTGACCGTTCCATGCACCAACCAGACCAGGAACTCCATGAAGCGCAATAGGCTGCTCTTGTATCTGGAGCCCAGGGGTTATCGAGGAGCAGGAGAGTCGCTCGTGGAACGTTTGGGACATTCAGAGGCAATTGGTTCTGTAATACCAGTCCGTGTGAGTTCCCATCCGGATCCAGAAGGAGTTCCTGAAAACCCGGGATCAGCCGTGGAAAATCTATCGAGAACTCCATCAGGCGTGGGAACCATGGCTGAGATCTCAGAGGGGTGATCAGTGTCAGGGAACAATCGTGACGAACCAACTTCGAGATTGTGCGAGCAATCATGTTGAATGGGGGAAGGCATACAGGCGACCAGTCGGCCATTCCTGAAGGAAAGCGTACGTCGCTGCCGGGTCTGGTCTCCAACTGTAAAATTCCGGTAACTGGGTGTTCAGACGGGATGCTAACAAGTCCATCACGAACCGTCCCCATAACCTGTCTAGGCCTCGAAACACTGAAACGTGCAAGTGCCAATCTCCCGAGTCTCTCAAATGTCTCGAGTTCCAATCTGCCCTCGAATTGTCCATGTGTTCTGCCGTCACGGAGACATTGTTGTACAAACAAAACTGCCAAAAATCTTTCGCCAATAGAGCCAACATCTTGGATTTGGTTCCCCCCAAGTGGTTTATATAATGTACTGCCAATGCGTTGTCCATCTTGAGGAGAACGCAGCAATTCGCCCGACCTGGGGTAAGGCTGCGAATCGCGAAGGCCCGTGCCAAGAGTTCCAGGCAGTTGATGTGTAAGGATCTCTCTCTCTCTCTATCTCGGACCATCTGCCTCCTGTGGAAACGTTGCTACAACGCGCCCCCCAGCCGTGTAAGCTGGTGTCAGATTCTATCACCACATCCGGTATGGATCCGAAAATGGCTCTTCTGTTCCAAGCCTCCATGTGCGCCAACCGCCACATCAGTTAGTCTCTGGATTCCTCGTCCATCCATATCCTGGACTCTTAAGAATGACCTGAGCGGAGGTGCGATCCCTTGAGCCGCTGGAGAGCTCGGTAGTGTAACGGACCCGGAAAGATCGCTTGAATGGAGGCTGCGAGTAGACCGATAATTCTTGCCAACTGTCTGATGGACAAATCCGACTCAGCTCGCCGAAGCTCTTTCTGAATGGCTTCCATCTTGGATTCCGGTAAATATAGGAATTGTTGAATGGAATCCACCTTGAACCCCAAAAATTCCATCGATTGAGCTGGTGTCAGGATCGACTTGTCCCAGTTGATCATGAATCCTAAGTTCTGGAGCAGATTGACTGTCCACTACACGTGGGTCTGCAGTTGACCTCTGGACTGGGACATGATTAGAATGTCGTCCATATAAACAATTAGGCGTACGCCATGTGTACGGAGGAAGGACACCACCAGTCTCATGATCTTAGTGAAGTACCAAGGAGCTGAGGATAGACCGAACGGTAGACATGTGAAACGCCACCGTTTCCCGTGCCAGGTGAAGTGGAGGAAGTCTCGGTGTTCCACCGCAATGGGGACGGTGAAATACGCATCCTTCAGATTCAATTTTGCTAATCAGTCTGACGCACGGAGGAGGTCTCTGAGCCAATGGATGCCCTCCATCTGAAAATGCTGATAACGGAGGAATGCATTGAGGGGTCAGAGATTTATCACCAGTCGAACACCACCCCCTTTCTTTGGTACTAGGAAGAGGTTGCTCGTAAAGCCTGGGGGAGCCTCTATCGCACCCTTCATAAGCATCTCCTTGATTTCTGCCGAAATCAACTCCTCTTGTTCAGAGGGAAGGGACAGTTCTCTGGGGATAAAAAGTTGGACAAGCAGAGAGACAAAAATCGAGATGATAAACCCTTTACCGACTGGAGCACCCAGGAGTCTGAAGTCACAGCTGAGGGAACGAGCCTCAGAATCCACAGCCGGGTGGACGGTTCCTACTACGCCCGACACCTCCGAAAACCTTAGGCGCAAACACGCGCTTCATATTGGCCTGAGCTTTATCAATGACCGTAAAGGTTTTAACGTAGGACCCAAGGTCCTTCACGAAGTTATCACCAAACAACATCCCATCGCTGGATGAGCTCACCTCTGCCCCAGTCATGGTAGCTAGCTTGGGGTCAATTTTCAGCAAAATTGCTTTACGTCTCTCAGCCAACATAGCGGTGTTCGCATTCCCCAGGAGACAAATGGCACGTTGGACCCATCCTATGGCTACATCTACGTCAAGGGCAGAGTCGCCGGCTTTAGTGGCGTCCAGGACTTCGTATAGCTTAGACAGAGGGCCCAGTGTATCCAAAATCTTATCCTGGCACCCTTTAAGGGAAAAATCCAGGCCCTTTTTAGGTTTCCAGCCCGATTTGTTTAAAAATTGGGCGATCTGTGGGTCAACCTCTGGGGTCTTGCAGGCCGAACCTGGGAGGGAAGGCCTGGAACATTCAGCGTGCAATTTATTGCGCTTTGCCACATATTGGGCGATTTGCCCTGGGGGTTCCCCTTGGCTGACCGGGGATGGCATAGGTCATCTGGGTCAAACAGGGGGTTGCCCTGCGGATCCAACAGTGCCGCACCACCTTCAGAGCCAGCCAGAAGACCCGTGTAGCGTAAGGAGTCCCAGGAGGGGTCTCCTTACGCTACGGTGCCAAATCCTCACCTGACTCTACCTCCTCATAAGAGGCGTATTCTAGCACGTCTGAGTCAGCCTCCGCACTCCGGTCGGTATCCGACCTTCCCTCATGGGCTCTAGCCCGTTTACATAGTCTAGCCTTTTTAGCCCGGCCAGGGGCTCTTTTGCGCATGGGAGGCGTGCCATCTGTGACCGCCTCAAGCGTGTCCATCATTGCAGGTAGAACCTGCATCGAGGAGTGGGAGTCGACATGCTTAGCCATGGCCGCCGCCTTACGGGCACCAGGCATGGCTGGGGCAGGCGGGGGGTCCCGACACCTAGGAGGGCGGGGGCCGCCATAGTGGGTAAAAGCATAGCTTGCAAGGACTGGGAAAACGATGAGGACACTGCTCCCATGGCAGATGCAAAGGCTTTCTGCAAAGATAATGCCATAGTGGCATCCAGTAGGGCTTGAAATTCTTGGGAGGCTACAGTACCCTCAGGGTTATCTTGGGTAAAGTCCTCAGCAAGGCCCTCTGGCCCTTCATCCCTGTCCTGCATAGTAGCAGCAAAAGAGCAATGGAGAATATACACACACACACACACACACCCCAAACAGTGCAAATATCAGGGTTGAGTAACCCACAGGAAAAACAATAGAGAAAAAAACCTGGCTGCTGGTGTGCCCAGGGGACCCAGTGGCCTGCAAGAACGAGTAGCAGGCTGGGTGTGAGCAGGATAGAAAGTGCGGCCGGCCGTGAGGAGATCCGCCTCCAAAATGGCCGCCGCACGTGGAAGCCCAGCAGATGCCGATCGCGGTCTGCCTCCAGGCGGGGGAAGGGGCGCGTGCACCCTACCCGCGTGGGCAGCTCACGAGCATGAGGGGAGAGCTGTGGTCGGCCGAGGCCCGCCGGCAAACGGCGCCCGAGGCCAGCGCGCCACCCACAGCAACAGGGTAGGCGCAGGCACAGGGGAGCATGGAGAGGAGTCTCCCCTGCGGGGAAACACTAAACCAAAAAGGGGATTACCGCAGGCACACCACCAGAACGCAAAATTAGTCACATAAACAGTAAACAATTCAGTGTAAGCAACAAACATGTATATAAAGCCAAATGACAAGATAAAATCAATGAGCATGAATACACAAGAGGAACAAAATATTTAGCTGGTCTGAGGGAGCAGCAAAGAAAGAGGAGCCTTTTATAGTTACTTCCTCTGTTATGTGATTGGTTGCCTGTGTGCCTATACAGTTTTTGGGATAATATTTATATTCCTCTATCTTTGCTGCTGAGGGAATAAAGAAAGAGTAAATAATAAAAATCGGAGATTAGACGGCAGTCTCTGCAAAAGGCCCTCTACTGTTCCCTACTATTCATTAGACACACACTGAGCATTTATATACAAAAATGCAGAGGTGAAGCTCAGACACCTGGGTTTTTAACACTTCACCCTACTTCCAGAAGACTTAAAACCAGTTAGTTACTTTTCTAACCAACATAAAGACATTTGTTTAGTCTCAAATAAAGAGAGCACTCCTCATCATAAACAATAAAACTTGTAAAATATTTGTAAAGTAGAACAGTTAATACAGAGGGGAAATATGTCTATATAGCAGGCAAGAGGTAGAGATATAAAATATAGGTGGTGATCAGCGCTTAATGAAGTGGTCTGGGTGCCAGGTCCTTCTAGCCTTCTAGGGTTAACCCATTCTTTTATAAACATTTATGAATGGGTTAAGCCTTCCCCCAAATCCTCTAGTGGCTGTCTCATTGACAGCCACTAGAGGCGCTTGCGTGATTCTCACTGTGAAAATCACAGTGAGAGCCCCCAAGCGTCCATAGGAAAGCATTGATAATGCTTTCCTATGCGACCGGCTGAATGCGCGCGCAGCTCTTGCCGCGCGTGTTCATTCAGCCGACGGGGAGGAGAGGAGGAGGATCGGAGGCAGAGAGCTCCACCCTGTGCTGGAAAAAGGTAAGTTTTTACCCCTTTTCCCCTTCCAGAGCCGGGCAGGAGGGGGACCCTGAGGGTGAGGGCACCCTCAGGGCACTATAGTGCCAGGAAAACGAGTATGTTTTCCTGGCACTATAGTGGTCCTTTAAGGTAACATTAGATATACATACGTTAGAGATCCAGTATCTAGTACATAAATCTATGAACACAAAGCGAGACACAAATTATGGTGCAATACATTAGTAGGCTTAAAAGGAATATGTATGGGTCAAGTGCACACACACACACTTTTTAGAGGTATAGATAAGTGTGGAGTGAAACAGTAACAAATCGAGTCACGTGACAAATTGGGATGGAGCCTACCGTCACGTGACTTGGCTTTGAAATAAAAAAAAAAAAAAAATGTAAAAAAAAATAAAAATTCTGACTAAAAAGGCCCAAACAGAATGAGGATGCATTCATATTCCATTCAGGCCTTTGTCATCCGATTCTCAAATTTCATAGCAGAGTCACGTGATGTGCTATCCTGACCCGCATCATATGACTGTTTCTCTCATTGTTTCACTCCACGCTTATCCCTCCCTCCAGCCTTCTATATAAACATATTTCCCGTCTGTATTAACTGTTCCTTACAAATATTTTACCAGTTTTATGATATAAATGAGGAGTTAATTTGTGTAAACACTAGGGCATGTGATCCAATACAGGTCACATGACCTATAACAATTTAACAGTGAGTTTAAAATATTTACATGCCCTGCATAACACAGAAAGCCAGGTACTCCTGTAATTCACTTGGAAAAGCCTATTGCATAGGTGTAACTTGTTGTGGATTTTTAACGACTTTTTTTTATTGGTTAAATAAAGTATTTTGTTTGGCTCATACTTTGTATTAATTTAATAACGGTATTACCATTGTCTGGGAAATCTTCCACTGCAGACCTCAACACACCTGATACTCAGTGGGAATATATTGAGTGGCTCAGCTAATCCCATAAATGTGAGTATGGTACTTACACCTTTTTATTTATTCAAACGAACAGAGTACTGTACTGGGTTATTTTTCTTCCCGTTTTTACGTTTATGCTGTTGGAGAGAAGTATACAGATAATATAGGGATCATACCACCCTATGCCAGGACCTCAGAGCTTGACATCTCCAACTGGGAGTGCATTCCTATTGTTTTGAATACTATCCACATAGTGACAGTATCACAGCACAACCTGTTGTGTTTTGTTGTTTATTCCCTTTTTGGGGTCCTGGGGGACTCCCCTATTCGGAGTGCCTGCTGCCTTTTGAATAATTTGTCTAATTTGTTTAGCGCTGATCCTTCTCTAGGTTTCTGTTCCCTCCTCATTTTCAGCCTGCTTCTTGGCATACCTTAGTAATAGGATATTTTTTTTAAAAGATTAGACCGTTTACAAGTGGATTTGATGCCAAAGCAAACACTGCTCAAGCCAGGTGTCTAATCTGGTGTCTATTTTAGGACCTTACTAATTCCTCAGTTGCTGGACAATTGACTGTTAAAATCCACTGGTCACATGGTTACTTCGTCTTATACGAAGATATGTGGAATGGAGAACATGCATGCTTTTAATTTTTCCTTGTGTTTAGCTTTTTTTTTTTTTTTTTTTTAATGAAATTCTCACTCAGAGAAGCCAGTACTTTTTTAGGACAGTGTTGGTAAATCATAACACCCCATTTTCTGAACTACATTTCACATAATGCTCAGCTATCCTAAATACTGGTTGGGCATCATGGAAGATGCAGCTCTGAAACATCCATGGTGTCAAGGCTAGCCATTACCGTTTATATCTTTAAGATTACAAAGGGAACAATATACAAACAAATACATTTACAGAACATGGATTTCATAGCCACTGCTTGACTTTAGAGCTTATTTACTAAACCGTGAATCGTGTTGGTCTGAAAGCAAACCTGCTGAATGTGGGTGTTTCTATCAGTGAGTTAGATCATTTTTCCAAGCGGTTAAAGCACCACTATAGTGCCAGGAAAACATACTTGTTTTCCTGGCACTATAGTGCCCTGAGTGTGCCCCCACCCTCAGGGTCCCCCTCCCGCCTCTCCGCCTCCTCTCCTTCGGCTGAATGCGCATGCGCAGCAGGAGCTGCGCGCGCATTCAGACGGTCTCATAGGAAAGCATTTACAATGCTTTCCTATGGACGCTTGCGTGTTCTCACTGTGAGAATCACGCAAGCGCCCCTAGTGGCTGTCAATGAGACGGCCACTAGATGATTTGGAGGCTGGATTAACCCTATTATAAACATAGCAATTTCTCTGAAAGCTATGTTTATAAAAAAAAAAAAAAAAAAGGGTTATTCCTAGAGGGACCTGGCACCCAGACCACTTCATTAAGCTGAAGTGGTCTGGGTGCCTAGAGTGGTCATTTAATCTGGCAGACTTTTGCATGTGTTTTCAGCTCAATGTTTAGTGAATAAACAGTTTTGATGCTTGTACTAAAAGGAGTGCAAAATTACCTTTATATCAAATTGGGTTTAAAAACTACACAATAAAATAGCTTCATCTGCTCAAAGTTACTTGAATAAAGCCAGCACCAGGTTTATTAACCCCTTCATGAGAGGTGACTTATCAGGACTCAAGGTAAGAAGCGATTTGCCTGAACCCTTACCATGTGCAGCTGCCACTGTGGTAGGAAAACAGTGTGAAAGCTTGCAACACAAAACACTGCAAGTGAAGAATGTAACAAAACAGAAATCCTTTTAATGTAGACTAGTACTGCAAGTAGATGGCACTGATTAAAAACAGGCACCACACAGAGAGCAATAATTCTCAAATCCACGAACCAACTAAGATTAAGGTACAAAAATGGACCATACACCCAGGCAAGCAATGAATGAGCACAGCTCTCCAAACCGGGTAACATCACACAGCAAACAGACTTGAACACAATCCATTCATATGTCACCAAAAACGCAACAGGCCTACGCAATGATCACACTTCACTTCCAGGAAATAAACGATCACAACATAAACAGACTTATAGAATGCATTATAAATGCATGGAAATACACATAAGAAAAATAAAATTTCAGTTTCTGTCGCAAGCTATTAGGAAGTGACACAGCCTGTCATAATGGTCACTCCAAGCACCATAACCACTAGAACTTATTATAAGCATTAATGGCAACATGGCCAAAATGTGCAGCACTGAGATAGGAAGCATCTCTACTGGCTGCCTGAGTGGCTGTCACTAAAGGTATTACTAGGCAGCAATGTAAACACTGCCTTTGAAAGGGCAGTGTTTACAGTGCTCAGCCTGCAATGACTGGCAAGACAGCAGAACCACTACATAGTGGTTCTGGTGACTAGTGTCCAATAGCATTTTCCTATGAAAATCAGTTTACAAAGTTTAACCACTTGGCTGCTGGAGATGCAAATCTACAGAACGCCCCCTCATGCTGCTCAAGTCCTGCCAGTGAGAGTGAGTGGCATCATCAGAAGAGTATCGGGTTCCTTTGCGTCGGAGCGGAAATAGAAGTTTTAGTTTTACTCTTTTTTTTTTTTTTTTTTTAACCAAAAACTGTTATTTTAAAATGTGAAGTCAACAAGAGTTTTGGATTTTGCCCAAATAATCTATTGACATACAGAGAATGGGCAGCTATCTCCTTAATCCATAAATCCAAAGCTTTACCCTGGAGGCAGATCTACTATACTTTGTATGCCGACACCAGACATAAAAGTTGCAATAACTAGATCAATTAATGAAGAGATTTCGGTGCGAGCACCTTTATTAAAATGACACTAATACAAAGATCTCACATCCAAATTGTGCAGGCATCACATGAGTAGAGAGACAAATTACTTAAAGCACCATACAGTCTTGGAATCATGGGACTGCAGAGCCACTGAACAGGACATTATTCCACACCACCTTTTCAGTGGCCTGGTGCAGATAAAAAATAAAAATGATATCTGTGTGTAGGTGGTACAAAAAAAAAAAAAAAAGGTGTCTTTTGGGAACAAGCAAGGCTCTCACCTGGTGATCCTGAATCTTCCTGCCCACAACCCTGAAAGTGTTGTTTCCTGTGTGATGGTAAATGTGAACTCTACTAAAACCCGTTGAACCTCCAGCCGGTATCCACTTTTTGTTGGCGTCATCATAAACCATCACAGCAGCTCTCGCCTGGCAGATGCTCTGTTCACTGAAAAAAATGTGAAAGAAAAATTAGCTTTAAGTTCAAAAAAAATTCCATACAGCTGGACATCATTCCCATTATAAAATGCATGTATGGCATGATCTGTATGTGTAAAGCATCCGTACAGAACACAACACATCCTACTTTCCTTCAGCTGCTCTAAACATTAAGTATGAACACAACCATTCAAATGATTCTCAGCACTACTCATATCTTCCTCTTGTCTCTCCTTCATCTCCTCACACTATGCATACTATTTGCCCAATCGTTCATGTAAACACTAAACACACTATAAAGTTTCCAGATTTTTGTCATTTTGAGACTGATGTTCAAGGCGTCTTGTGCACATCTTTCAATCTTACCCTTTTAAGTCAGTCAGTGGTTCCCAAACAAGCCCTTGTGACCTGGGAAAAGCAAGTATCTCCATTGGGAAAAAAAACAAATACATAAATCCTAGATGATTGCTTGGTCACAAGGACTGGTTTGAGAACCAATTCTTAACATTTTTTAAGTTTTTATAGATCAGCAATGAATTCGCAAACAGGTTTTCATTTAATAAAATACAATGGACAGTAAGGTGTGGATTATGATCCTAAGACCTATCATTATGGTAAAGCAGACGTACACCCATATCTCAGTCCCCCAACCAAACCACATTCTTCAAATATCTCAACATGCTCCTCAATGGACCACAATATCTAGAACTGGACTCAGAACAAAAAAAACTAGAGAGACCTAAAAAACAAAGCTTGAGAATCAGATGAGTCCTGTCAAGCTACGTGGTGCAGCTCTACGACATGCAACGAGAGTCACCCTCATCTTTGAAGATGTCATCCTGCCCCTGTTGGGCTTATTCAGCAATGTTATGTTTATCATAACTTATTTATTTTTATTTGCCTCTTTTTGTTTTCATGTTTTTCTGTACATATCTCTTGTGTGGTGAGGGGTTCTCATAGCAAAACAGTATAGGTGGTGTCGCACATGTTGTGTAGCACTATTCCTCCACTGTTAACCACTTGACCAACTGATTCCATGCATCTAAGAGTTAAACTTGCGACCCTTGACTATACTCCATTTGGCGGTCTAACTCTGCTTAACATACATATTGCCCGTTAGTTGGACACGATGGTATAGCCCGACAATATTTCTCAACGCTTCAGACCTTGTCATGTCATGACCTTACTAATGTTCTTCTCAGTATTTGTATTACTCTCAATGTCCCATTTCCAGCTAGTTTGTTCTTTAATTTTTAAAATGGTGTTGACCCTTTGATATACTCTGATGTCTTGTAGCGATTAGCATGCCTCTACTGCACTCTTATTCTTCGCATAATCTATACCGAAAGCACCACAAAAATAAAGAATACCTTTTATGAGGGATAGTTCCTATTTTGGACTAAAATCCCTCTGTCCCAACCTAATGTCCCTCTTTTCTATGAGCTCCATATTGTTGGGGTGTGAGAATATAACAGAGCTCCATAGCACTAATACTCCCAGTGATGCGTCTTTAACCCCTTAAGGACATCTTTAGAAGTAAATGCTCAGCATGAGTGTCCTAAAGGTGTTAAACTACAATAAATGTTTTTAGAAATTAGTAAATACATTGTTCTTCTAAATTACATTTTAGTTTTATAAATTGTTATTAGTAATTCACCTAAAAGTTCTGAGAACAGCCCCAAACCTGGCCATAACCCCCAAAATGAAATTGTCCCTCCTAAACTAAGCAAGTTTAATTATATTCACAACTAAAAGGCAGGCTGCACTGCAAATTAAATGAAAGAGGTTTGGGGTTCACTAGCTTGAAGGTGGATCTCTACCAATGTAATAGAAGTGGACACATGATTAAAGGACCACTCTAGGCACCCAGACCACTTCAGCTTAATGAAGTGGTCTGGGTGCCAGGTCCTTCTAGGGTTAAACAGAGAGACTGCTATGTTTATGAATGGGTTAAGCCTTCCCCCTAATCCTCTAGTGGCTGTCTCATTGACAGCCGCTAGAGGCGCTTGCGTGCTTCTCACTGTGATTTTCACAGTGAGAGCACGCCAGCGTCCATAGGAAAGCATCACTGGGGCGGAACGGAGGAGGAGAGAAGGAGGAGAGCTCTCCGCCCAGCGCTGGAAAAAAGGTAAGTTTTTACCCCTTTCCCCCTTCCAGAGCCGGGCGGGAGGGGGTCACTGAGGGTGGGGGCACCCTCAGGGCACTATAGTGACAGGAAAACGAGTATGTTTTCCTGGCACTATAGTGGTCCTTTATGCAAAGTTGCCAGAAAATGCAACTTGGCAAAGATAGAAATGCAACATGGTTTTTACTGTCCCCTCCCCCATTACTCTGCATTAAAACCCTTTGAACATTAGAGAATGAGTAAGAAAGAAGGCATGAATGGAAAGAGGGGGGTAAGGATCAGAATGGCCGAGAGTTTGTCAAAGTAAAGCTGGCACACTTCAAAGCGGTTCGATACGTTGTGAGTATTCTGCCATTATTCAAAGCAATACAGCAGGGGTGACTGAAGCTAGCTAGCCAATGGCTGGCAAAGAATTCTGGGAAAATCAAATTCAAGGATGTCCAAGCTTGGTCCTCCATCTGGTATACTTTAATGTGATCTAGGAGCAGACCATCTAAAGGCAAGTTAAAATTAGGCTGTACCAAAAGTATCATGCCAATTCTATTTCCTTCGTTTTTCATGTATGCCCTGGGGAACAGATGGTATAGTATATCTCAATGGTACAGACATCATAAATGAACAGCTATGTGGACACTGCGGGGAAGTAAACCTGCATAACAGATCTGAACAGAGGCACCTGACAAGGTATAAACGGAACCGAGGCAATAAGTGTACAGTCTGTAAATTACATAATCAAAGCAACCACTGGAAGCTTACATTAATATTCATTTCATCCTTTTGTTTTGGAAGAATACATTTGAAACAAGTTGTAGGATAGGTAATTCACAATGTGTGATTGCAAGGGAGCAGATTAAGCCAGTTAATGTCAGATTATACTAAATACTGTTTAAAATTTAATATTAATGTGTTTTTTTTCTGTTAAAAAACAAAAAACCTATGTATATAAAAATAATGCATTCTCAAAACAACAGCACATGGAGAGACAAACTAGTATAAGAACAGCCAGGTGCAAACCATATAAACACTCCCTCAAGTGCTTTAAATATTCAAATGTATATAGAATATAGAATGCACACTATAACAATCTCAAAAAAACTTAGCTTTATTATGTACAAAAAAGTACCAGAGTGAAAACATATAAGAAAAAATAAACAAAGTGACAGAAGCAAGGGCAAATACAATACAATACAATAATAAACCACCACAAAAATTCTTACAAGCCTCAAGACAGAAACACGATTTACCAAACCCCCCAACATTTCGGTGCCAGTTGGGGGGTTTGGTAAATTTTATTGTATTTGCCCTTGCTTCTGTCACTTTGTTTATTTTTTCTTATATGTTTTCACTCTGGTACTTTTTTGTACATAATAAAGCTAAGTTTTTTTTGAGATTGTTAGTGTGCATTCTATATACATATAAAAATAATGCAGTCTTTATATAAATACACAAATACCACTTATATAGGAGCCCCTGATCAATCTGAGCCAGGCCACATTCGTCACACAGACAGGCCATGCAGCCCGAGCCAGGCCACGTTCGTCACACAGACAGGCCATGCAGCCTGAGCCAGGCCACGTTCGTCACACAGACAGGCCATGCAGCCTGAGCCAGGCCACATTCGTCCCACAGACAGACCATGCAGCCTGAGCCAGGCCACATTCATCACACAGACAGACCTTTCAGCCTCAGCCAGGCCACATTTGTCACAGACAGGTCTTGCAGCCTGAGCTAGGCCACGTTCGTCACACACACAGGCCATGCAGCCTTAGCCAGGGCACATTCGTTACACAGACAGGCCATGCAGCCTGAGCCAGGCCACATTTGTCACACAGACAGGCCATGCAGCCTGAACCAGGCCACGTTTGTCACAGACAGGTCTTGCAGCCTGAGCTAGGCCACGTGCATCATACACACAGGACAACCAGCCTGAGCCAGGCCACGTTCGTCTCACATATAAAGGCCAAGCAGTCTAAGCCAGGCCACAATCGTCCCACATACAGGCTAAGCAGTCTAAGCCAGGCCACATTCATCATACATACAGTGCTAGCAATCTGAGCCAAACCACGTTCATCACACAGGCCAAGCCAGACTCTATTCAATATACAGTCAGGATATACAAGCAGTCTGATGTTCATTTTAAATAAATAACAGTGAAATAATGTCTGGAGAAGGAGGTCCACTGCGGTTTGCAGATATATAACCCACAATGTACACTCTCCATATGCTTTGATACACTGGATGTATAAAATGTGCCTGGGCAAGGTGCCAAATATTGCTAACATATCCAAATCTGGTGTTGAGACACTTTATTTTTCGCCATTTACGGCAATAGTATTAGCACAGGACTATTGTTTAAACTGTTACAGTAAATACACTTTGCTGGTGTCCCCAGCTGGTTAGACATGATTGGGGTTAATACAAATTATGTCACACCTGGGATGATGCCTACAGGTATGCCGTGCAGTTATAGGAGCCTGGATTAGTTACTTGCCAGCCTCCGTCATGGCAGCCACATTGAAAACTATTTAAAATCACAACGATTTGTATGTTTTCTACAGTTTACCTTATGTTTAATCTATTAATGAGGAAGTTACCAATTTGCTCTAAACTTAAACCACCAATGTTATTAATAACCGCTTTAGCCATGGGAAACATATGCATCCGATATGATTTTCCTGTGACTTCAAGGATCTGTGATCACAGGTTAGTACTGCCAGCTAGTTGTAAACAATAATGTCCTTTAACAATGTCCTGAATAAAAGCTCCTTAAAAAAAAATTACAGATCAGAAAAAGAAAAAAAAAAAATCCTCCTTAACACAAATAATGACTACGTTGCAATCACAGAATATTCCAGTAGAAAGACAAATGTGAAGGGATTTAACTCCTGTATGGAAAGGTTTGTGTTTGTGAAAAGAACACTCCAATCACCATAACCAGTACAGTGCGCTGTAGTGTTTATGGTGTGACGAGTGCCCTAGGACCCTCCTAGATCACACCTTTTGAAAACTTACCTGGGGTCCGCGGGGGCAGTCCACATCATCCTGTGGAGCCACAAGTTTACACAAGGAGCATTTTCTCCACTGATCTTTAAAGGGCACCAATAATTATTTCAGGACTGTAGGCTCTTTTATAGCTCTGTGATTCACACCCCTTTGCTTGGTAAAATTATGTTAAATAAAGTTTACTCACCTCGTTTCAAGCACCAGGAATCCTCCACTCTGCAAATGTCAGTTTGGATGTTAACCTCACAATCTCCTCCAATTCATAGCTTCTAATAGAGACACCAATGGATTGGCAGTAGACGTGCGCTGACAAACACTGCATTCCTCCAATGAAATGCTGCTATCAGCAGCATTTGATTACAGGACAGAGTTTTTCTTGGATCTAGAGGACAAAGCACCTCTAGTAGTTGTCAGGAAGATAGCCACTAAAGGTGTACTTAACCCTGCAATGTAAACAGTGCCATTTGTACAAACGGAAATGTTTTGCATGGAAGGGTTAAAATGACAGAACCACCAGATTGAGATGAAGTTGTCTGAGTGGCTTCAGTAGTCATTCAAGCATCGGCTCATTAGCTAAAAGCAGCAGCTAAGCACTACTCAGACAATGACAATGAGGCTTAGCTCGGTGCTGCAGTGCGTGGCTGCACAGGACGACGCAACAAGCACTCACTCGATCCAAAGTAATTTGTGATCAGCCTCAATACTTAACCTGGGAGGGGACAAGAGCATTCCTGGAACCACTACAACAAGGTAAAATGTTAACCTAATGACCTGCAACATACATACAAAAAAACTTGAGCAGGCAGGCGAAAAAGGAGCCATACATTTAGGATATTTTATATATGGCCCAAAGTCAGACTTTACTCTCAGCATCTGTGCCATGCACACACGCAGATCTGTTTCAAGTTCATAAAATATTATGCTGTATTGGTCAGACTCTTTTAGAGCTCAGATGACTTCAGTGACATGTTAATTCTTGGTTCAAACACATGGTTTCAATCCCTGATGCCATACATACAATACAAAGTCATACAATGCGTTCAGCTAAACACAATTTTGGGGATTTGTTATCAGAAAAGCCAGTTGTGATTTGCTTTATTCTCCAAGCTTTTTAGGAGTTCTGTGCAATGCTTCTACCCTGTCAATGGCATCACCGAATCAACAAGAAAGACTATAAAGTGAACTAAGACAGAAACTGAAAGCATAATTTGTGTGACAGACTGCAGAGTGCGCCAGCCACAGTCCTACCCACGCGGTGTACAAAAGGCACTCTCGCGAGAGCAGGAACACTTGCACACTGGCCTTGCACATCACACACATTACATTTTGAAAACTTTTTTTGTGGTGTCTGCAAAACTGGGGTACCAAATGATCACTGTCCCATGAGAAGCAGGACATATGAGAGGTGGGGGTAAGGATTCTAGCATTGAACAATGTGGGAATAAGAGCAGATGGCCACTGTATTGGGCTGTAATGGTTACAGAGGGTGAAACTGTATACAGGAAAAATAAAGCACTATTTGACTGGTATGGTGTAACATGAACAACAAGGGTTAAGAATGTCTGCCTAAAATATTTTAAGACAGACTATATTCTAATTTTACTACTGCAAAAGCCATAGGGGGGAATGTGGCATTCCCAAAAATAACCCAACAGCGACAGCTACTCCTTTCCATCCAAAACAGACCACCATATTAATTACAAAAAGATCTAGTAACATCTGAAATAGCCATCATTTTGGAGCACACGGCTACTTACTGAGCACAACGTACAAACTGCTGACAATTCTCACACTTTATTTTTGTTGTTGGAATGTTTGGATATAGCCAATGTATAGGTAAAATAAGTGTTGATGAAAATTAATTAAAGAAGAAACATGCTTCTGTTGCAGGGGTGCAGCCAAGTTTAACTCTCAGCCCAATCCTTCTCTGCACCCAAAAAAGGCAACCCCCAGCACTCTGAGAGCACCCCCTCCTCAAACGCATTGATAAGTCGTATTCCCAAGTGATCAGTCAATTTTGCCCAACCTGGAAGGGAAGGATTGGCTGAGAACACTAGGTTCAGACTCGCGGTACATCAACACTGATAGTACAGAAGTGTAAATTCCCCATCGGTGGAGTTTGGAGTGAAAAGAAGAGCGTCACGTTTTCCAAACTGCCTCCTTCTTGCACAGTAGCCACCACAGAGCTGCAGTTGGTATGGCACACATACTATCCCTTTAAAGCACTCCCAAACAATCTGAACCCAGCATGTTTTACTGTGAGCATTAAAATTCTTGAAATCATTGAGGCAAAAGGTCATTCATATATGGTACGTGCACTACTACGAACAATGAGCTCATGGAAAAGGTTCTCTGATTCTAGAAATGTCTCCAATATATACAAATCTATTTCTAAGAAAACACTTCAGCCAGGATGTTTGTGTAAAGTTAAAGTAATGCTGTGAGCGAGTTCTACACACGCTTCTGAAACATCTCATTCAACATGAAGTAGGCAGACTGTGGGCCAGTTGGATTTTATCGGCCTCAAGTGGTTTGTACTAAAATAAAAGTTTGATGTCACTTATCCTTTAAAGCGGCTAATTTTAGATCCTCCCAGCCTGCAGAATTTCCAGTTTTGTGCAAAACTACAGTATGTAATAGTGTCATTTTTTGCTACACTATCTTTGAGACTGAACAGCAAATATATCTGGTACAGTGGTATGATCTCCCTGGTCTGGGCAGAAACTACTGCATCAGCTCTTTTTATTTTTGCTTTACCATAGGACCACCCCACTCACAAAACACATCACAAGCCTCCCAGGTAAACATGTGCAATTTGTAACTGCACTTTATTCCATCCAAATAATGACCAGAAAAGGTTTTGACCTTGCATTCTTTGTCAAGGACCCTTTTAAACAGGTAAACAAGCATGAGCCAATTAATACAGAGCACAGGTGTAATGCAAGTTTTCCCACAAGGCTTTCTTACATTCATAATGTATTTTGAGGTACTGCTTTGTGAATATCACATTAAATGGGCACTGATTAAAAGGAGACTAAAATCACCTAGACACTCCAGCTCAATGAAGTGGTCTGGTACAGTGATTCTGTCATTTCAATCCTGCAATGTAAAACACTGTTGTTTTGAGGAAACTGCACTGCAGGGTTAAACACACCTCTAGTAGCTGCCTTCTTGATTGCCACTTAAGGTACATCCACAGCAGTGAGTAAATCGGAGTCATATTACACAGAGGTTTTTAGGGAAGCACCAAATTCAATGCTTTCCAATAAGAAGCATTGGATGTGTGTGAAGCGCACACACACAATATATATAGTTTTAGAGTAAAGGGGTGGGATCTGGATAGAACTAGGCACTAGGAGTACAGGTTTAAATTCCTAACGCTATAGTGTTCCTTTCATTTAGTTTACATCATATACCATGCTTTTCTGTGCAGACACAGCATACGATGCAAATTAAATTCTATCATGTGGTTCTCTTGGGTGCTATGAAAGGGCCGCTTGGACAAGCATGCTCCTATATTGCATTTCTCAGCAGACGGCCAGGCATTATAGGTCAATGACAAAGCCCTTACCATGGAAGTGCAGTGGAGGCAATTTATGTTTGTTTTTACACACACTTAATGGGAACTCTATGTCCAAGCATGCATATCTTTAAATAAATATAAATGTAAAAAAAAAAAAAATACATTCAAAATTATTAAAATGAACACAAGCAAGCCCTGCAGGCTCATGGTTTCACCATATTCACTTCAGTAAGATGAACTGGCAATGTTGCTTACAGTGAGTCTTCTTTAACTCCTGTAATAGCCTATTGCCAAAGCGTTTGTTACACTTCCTCATTAGGGATACTAATTTTATTCATATTTAGAGGACGCAGATTTGCCAGAAACAGTTTGACATAGAATTGGGGAAAGTTACCTACAGCCTTAAAGAACATTTTTATTTTTTCACAGCAGGAGTAAAGATTAATAATTACAAAAAAATACAGTACATTGACAGAAAAATAAATTCTATAACATTTATTAGAAACCTGCAACAGGGCACAATCTAGATCAGTAGCACAGTGTTGCATAAAAAAGAAAACCGTCAATAGGGAAACCCAGATTAGTCAATACATTAAATATTGTACAGATGATTCAAACATCTTTTATTCTTTAACACAAGAAAAGACATCTACCTAAAAGTGTATAAAGACAACTTATCGGGGGAGGGGATAGAGAAATAAATAAATTATATATCTCAATTCACAGTTAATGAAGTTTTAGTATTCAGTATAATTAACTAGAGTCCTCAGTGAATACAACTGTAGTTACACAAACCAAGGCAATAATGGGCCAAGAATCAAAGAGGTTTTTAATGCAGTCTTGGATCACGTTTAGATCACATAACTCATACACACAGTCTTACTCCAAAAGGCAGTTCACAGTACAGAGTGCAAACAAAATGAATAAACTAAGGGGAAGAAAATGGGGGAAAGAATATTTACAGTGGATATACCAGAGTTCAATGTGAATTTTACATTTCAGCCCAAAAATTGCCAAACTGGGGAATAATCCCCAAGACCAGCATGCTTTTAGTTTGGTAATTTTAGCCTAAATGTGAAATTAATTTTTAATTTATTCTTAATTTCCAACCATTCACATGTTAGAGAATAACCCTTTATTATATGTAATTTGTCACGACCATCCCCAGATACCTCCTATGGCAGGCAAGGCACGCTAATCACTCCTGCTATTGCTTAAAAAGTTGCAAATAAACTTATATATTTCAGCTTCTCCCATCATTGTGGTGAAAAAACAGGCAAAGCATTTCACTGGGAAGAAGAGGAGCCGTTGTCACTTTTTAGCTTTTCATAATGGTATTAAAAGTAATTTTTCCTATATTGGAATTTGTTTGGGGTTCACGCTTTGTGTATGGCTAACCAGATTAGATAAACACAGATGGACACATTCTCGGTTCCTTCCTTGCATGCAGAGGTGGTGCTTCACAGAGTTCTGATTACTTGCCTATCTGTGATTTCCAATACCATTTGTTTCTGCAATGGAAGCTTTATGTTCTGATCCCAAAGACCACAAGGCCACCATTTACCTTGGGAATAGTATGTAGCAGTTTTTTTTTTATCATTTGCAGACCTGGAGATTCATGGGACCCTGATCGGCCAGTAGACTCTCAAGGTAGCTGCTTACATGTGCAAAAAGTCACCCTCTCCTTGAATAACCTTCTGTGACTCTATCCACCTAATTTTCAAACAATGTTTGAAATTATTAAATGCTTAACCCCTTAAGAACACATGACGTGTGACATGTCATGATTCCCTTTTATTCCAGAAGTTTGGTCCCTAAGGGGTTAATGCAGACTTTTTCTCTATCAGGAATATTTTTTCATATAACTTGATGGGCAGTGACAGTCATTTGGCTGCATCTCATCGTACAAAGCACATAGACAGGGTGAAGACATGTTCTAAGTAACTTTGACTAAGTTATCATGGTTTGTGCCAGATGTGGTGGTTCCTACACAGCTGCTCTCCCAGGACTTTCAATCAATAGTCTCAAGAGTTTAAACACAATGGTGCAATAAACTAAATGCATCCATTAAAATAAAGTGTTAATGCACATGACTAATGAGAGGTCAGTGGAGAATGCCTAGACTTGTTCAGAAAGACCACGATTGCTCAAATAACGCTTCACAGTGTGCAGAAGGCCATCTCAGCACACACGGTACAACAAACCATAAAGCAGATGGGCTACAAACCGCAGACGTGTGCAGAGTTCCACTCCTAAGACAAAGACAAAGTGGATGGAAAATTGGAAAGCATGTCTTGGATGTCTGATTTCAATCGCTAAGCTTAGAACATACAAACACTGCACAAAATCCTTTTCATATATTGGTAGCGCTTTTTAAAAACATTTTTTACAACATTCCAGGTTGTAGCGGACACTTGCTTTTTCATGGATTATATAGGTAAAGCAATAGAAAAAAAAATAAAAGAACAAACTGCAAGACATTACGGTTATATTAAACACACACAGTTCAAATCCCATTTGCAGTAAATTGTCAGGTGGTGTTCAGCTCAAATTACTACAGTACCACTTTACAGTTTATTTATTGTGAGAAAACTGACAAATACAAGTCCCCAGAAGCCACGACACCTTCCACAGTTGGATTTTTTGCAAGCATGTAGGGCACAAGTTGTGTACTTCCCCTTTTCTAAGAGCCCCAAATCTGCAGAGGGTTTGAGTAAATCCAGGTATATACAGGGGAACCTCGGAACTCAAACTTAATCCGTTCCAGAAGACTGTTCGAGTTCGATGTGTTCGGGAACCGAATCAACATTTCCCATAGGAATTCATGGAAATTTGATTAATCCGTTCCAGACATTATGTACCAGATGAGATCATGTACATCCAGTACATCCAACCCTTCCTGACTACTGTATCGCCAACATGCAGTCACTACAGTACTTGTGTTCACTTTTACAAAGAAATATGCCAGCCACCTGAAAGTCTAACGTGGAACAGCGGTGTCCCAAAAGATTGCTCAACGGACACTCACCACCATCATGACCCCCAAGTTGCTGCAACTCATGTTGACAGGACTCTTCCAGTCATGTTTTTAGCGGTCAAAGGCTGACCTGGCAGATAGCTCCCCTGCACTTACACAGAGACCACTGCAGAGAGCAACCGCCACAGCAAGGGCAAGGCCCACTGAAGTCGAAACCCCGACACGAGCAACTCGTCCTCCATATCCATCAACCTCTCTAGAATACAGCCTGATTACTGATACTCACGAAGAACCAGCAGGTGTCACTGCTTAAGATTACCATAGAGCTGAATGCCGCGTGATGTGTTCGGGTACCGAGGATCGTTTGCGTACCGAGACATTAACGCAAAATTTTAGTTAGAATTACAAATTGCTCGTGAACGGGAATGTTCAAGTCCCGAGGTTCCACTGTATGTGCTTTAGCCATGTGTTTACAGTGGTACAACCACAAGGTATCAAACCACTCATCCACAGGCAGTACCGTACATAAGGGGTTTATTTGTAATTCCATTGGTAATGCAACGTATCAGAGCTGTATGGATAAAATGGTTATTTCAATTGCTCAGAAAATCTGGTGTGTCAATCACAAATTGTCCATTTAATAAAAAGGTACAATGTTCAATTAACTTGGACATTAAAGGGACTCTCCAGGCAGAGGATTTTACTCACCTGGTTCCAGTGCCTGGAGCCCCGTGAAGCCGCGCCCCCCTATTTCATCAAAATGACGAAATAGGCAGGCGCGACCAGGGAGCAATCAGACGCTTCCATCTGGAAGCGTCATTGCTCCCTTGTGCGCATGCGCGGCTTCGCCGCATATACTTCATAGGGCGGCATTCATGCCGCCCACTGAAGTCCTGAGCGCACTACCGCACTCAGCTCGCGGACTTTGCCCGCCCCCACTTCTCTGCTGACAGGCAGGAGAGAGAAGAGGCGCACACAGTGTCTTCTCTCTCCTGCACACGTCAGATGTATTTTAATAAGTGACGTGTACAAGGCCTTTTTAGGGCCCTACATGATAGGAAGTCCCTCTGGTGGCCGTCTGAGTGACAGCCACTGGAGGTATTCCTATCAATCAATGTAAACACTGTAGAAGCAACACTTAGGTGAAGCAACCAAGCTATATTAGCCAAGCTAATGTCAACAAGCCTTATATAACTCCTATATGCAGTGTTTACATTAGATTGCCTGCAGGGAGCTATAGATCTCACCTGAACAACTACATTAAGCTGTAGTTGTTCAGGTGACTATAGTGTCCCTTTAAATAGTCGATGTATGATTTGAAAAGGAACATCATAGCTGTTAAGTAGTTATAAAAAGGTTTGTAGTGGTCACAGATTGCAGGAAACTACCCATTGAATATGGGTAGGGCTACCCATTGAATATCATAAGGATTTCAAAGATTATATACACTTCAATATACAGTTAATACCAGGCAATTTAACCGCGTCAGTCGCATGGTGTGTGTAAAGCAATGGATGTAATCAATCTGGTGCTTCCTGGGTGTACAATAAAAAGGGACTGTGCTAAAAGATGTGGCAGACCATTTGACATAATATTTCATCCTTACATTGTGTTATCGGCATTTATATAGTGCTGCCTTATTCGGCAGTGCTTACAATAATATAAAGGGGGGGGTGAAATAATAAATGGGAATTAAAAAATTTTACAGGAACAATAGGTTGATAAGTACTCTGCTCAAACGTGCTTACGATCTAGAGTGTTAGTCAAATAGCTCAAACTTACAGATACAATAAGCAGGTGGAGTGGGTTACATAAGCGTACGCACTCCCCCACTTGCTATCTTTGTGGGAATGAATGAGTAGACAGCTCATCATACAGAGGAAAGGATCTATTAAGGTAAAACAGGTTTTGATACACACTGAGAATGTAAAGCATATAGCTTGCCCTATGATTTGGTTCACTTTAGAGGGCCCAAACTGCTACAAGAGGAACATAAATAATGCAGACAGGAAATGTCAAGCAGTGGATGTTTGTACCTATGCATTCCGTGGTGATTAAAGCGGCAGTCACTCTGACCTTGCCTTTCTCATATTCTCTTCCTCTCTCAGAATCGGTCCTTTTCTTTTTCTAATCTGGTTTGCTTTAAAACATAATACAAAGTAGGGATGATTTTGTCTTCTGTATTTTTCCTATGCTTGACTTTCTTTGACGAAAGGAGGAGCTTAAAATCACCTCTATTTCCTGTGTCAAGGAGAAGGATGAGTTCTCTCTCTCACACAGGAAATAAGGCGGATTTCCTCCTTTGGTCAAAGAAAATTAAACATGGGAAAAATACATAAGACAACTAGTCCTACTTTGTCTTATGTTTTACAGAAAACTAGATCTGAAATAAAGAAGAGAGGAAGAGAAGAGGAATCAATAGGAGAAAGGCAAGTTTGGCGTGACAGTGTCGCTTTAATCACCACACAGTTTATCCATTACATTCTAAATTTCAGGTTTTGACCAGGACATCTGCCATTGGAAGCATACAGGTCATCAAATGTGCTGCTGTCTTCTTGAAACTGACAGATTCCTTAAAAGCTAAGTACATACAACAGAAAAATCTGGATTGTGAGCAGTGCTAGTATGAGCTTTAAGGTTTGACTAGAGAAAGCAAGAATAATCAGAAGCCAATGTTTGTAATCTTTCTGTAATGACAAGATAATTTTCTGATTTATGCTTGCAGAAACAGGCATGACTATTCAAAGGGTTTAAATGCAGCATGCATCATAGATGTTAAAAAAAAATAAAAGATTTGCTCCAGTTGCACAGCAACAAGAAACTGTAGAAAGCAGCTTTATAGTTAGACACTCGCATGGTGATTCATAAGGTAATTCATAACAGTACGGCAGTTGACACTTTATAACATCATCTGGACACTGCACATGGTCAGGACAAGGACACAAATGCTGCAGGATGGACCTTTAGTTTAAAAAAAATAAATAAATGGATTCACTTAAAGGTTGGAGGGCATTTGATTTCCCAAATAAGACATGGTTAGACCCATTGTAAACATGCTACATAGATTGTGAGACAGATTTGAAACAATGTTGGAATCACAATATAAATTAAGCTTGTTTAGACTGTGAGAACTCCTGCTTTACAGATACATGGTTGGTGAGTAGATTTTGCTAAAAACAAGCTTAGGAAATGGCCTCAGATCCAAGTTTCTGAAATTAGCAACCAAATGTTTTTTTTGTACCATAGTCTATTAAGATTTTTTTAATTTTATTACTGTAATCCTAAACTACATCCACTGACCCTTTACCCAAGTAACATGATGCATTTATGTTTATGCATTTTGACCTTTAGACAGGTCAAAACACAGTGTAAGAAGGAAGCAATTAGCAGGTTAAAGAGTTTACGCCAGAGGCTGTATTCGGTGTAGTTTCTCCAGTGCACCTCAGGCTCAATGTCAAACACTTCTCACAATCCACCTGTAACAGTTACTTGCTAAAACCTTCTTGAGAAACAGCAAATACATATCTGTATTCAAAGCACTACAGCATTCATGTCCCTACTTAATTTAAGTGCCCCCTCCACCTGCAAAGAAATAAATAAAACTATAAAACTGAAACAAATTACTCTCCTCCTTTCCAGTGCCGCGGTCTCCATGGAAGACTCTGTAAGCTGCAACTCCTGCAGCAGGAAGTTGAAGTATGCCCCCAGTGGAACTGGAAAAATAAGAAAGCCCTCCTTGCAGCTGGATAACATCAATGTAAGAGACAGCACATTACCCAGTCACAGTCCCCAAACGCTCCTTTACTCAGACCATGGCACAACAATATTACAGAGACCCAGGGAGCACACTGCAGCTCATACTGGAGGGGCATGAGACTAAACTAAAAGTAAATGGGTATGTTCATTAGAACTTTACAATGCAACATATATCCTACAATGTGTCAAAAGTTACAGCATTAATCAAAGGGATAGTTGCCATGCCTATAGTCCTCCAGCCATCTGACTAATGCGAGCCAGTTCTGGCAGTGAGATTACTAGGCTATAGTCTGTTTTAGATCAGATACCAGTAAATCTGATCTGCCTGAATCTGATTCAACATAAATACACAGAAGTAATGTAGGCGCCACGCAAAGTCTTATTTTTTTGGCCTCCACTGTTACTACAGACTATATGGCACAATCCACAATGCAATGAATAAAAAAATGTTCAAACTAAAAATAGCTCCCTGTTTTCTTTCCTTCACTGGAAGCTTTTTTAATACATTGTAGCGGCAGCATGGCACCCTCCCACCCATTCCGCACCTGTCAGAGGTTCATGGCTGTAGCTCATATAAGGAGCAAATCACTTTCTCCTTATCTGATGGAAACCTTTACATGGGAACCAAATGCTGGACAGGTTTTATCCAGAAAAAAAAAATTCACATTAAGTCACTTCATTCCAATTCAGTTAAATCAATACCTGGCAGATTAATATATCGCCGACAGCTTTGCCTGAATATTTATGAAGCAGCAGGTACTGTGGAAAAGCAGGGAGGAGGATGGTCACAAAAAAATTTGCACACCACACGAGGAGCACTAGCTTTTATTAGAATATATAGAATGCCCTTGTTCTCTATGAATCTAAACTTTTCAGTACAAAAAAGTCAGCATTGAAAGCTTTTTGCCTTTACAGATTAACACATGTATTCCTGTGTATGATGGAAATTATTTTCTAATTACTAGACATAAGTAATGAAACTGTAAATCAATACAACTGAACCATTAAAACAAATGTTCATCCAGCACAATTTGGGCGCTTTATTTTCTACACATTTCAAACCCATTTTACCATTTTTAGTGCCACTAAGTGAAGTAAATCCTGGTGCACTAGAGGGGTTAAGTTGAGCTATTGGAACTCTCCCCTCCAGAACAATGACATCAGAATTGAGCTATTTAATGGCTCCCAAAGGGATGGTACAATCTGTTTGTCCTAACACAACAGCTGGAAATCCAATATAAATGGCCAGGGACCTCCAGGCTACTTTGCAACATGGGCAACAGGAGATCCTGGGGTCTAAAGAGTTCTGCAAGCTCTACATTATATTTTGATTTATTTATTTTTCAAATTTTGACAATAAAGATATGACAATGAATATAAATGATATGCAAAAGTAAAATGACAGATAAACAAAAAAAGTCAAGTAAAAGCATTGGGGCACAAATGCTCTATTATCTTCAAGCAGTTCCAAATGATTTCTTTAAAATTTATATTGGAAACACACTGAATCACGAGAGATAAAAAGACAAGCAGGTTAACGGTCGCATGTACTATTTCATAAGCATATAAGACTGTTAAAATTACAATTTTAATTACTGGTGCCCCACAGTAGGTTTGACCAAATAAGCTTCTAAAAACCATCAAGCCTTCACAGAAAATACTCCAGGAAGGTTCAACTCCGCAAGCTTAAAAACAATTGAGACTCCAAAGAGAGTCCAACACATTACGGTTTTAAACACCAGGCCCTCCAAGAACTCACCGAGGTAGGTCCTACCCAGTATGTTCAAACATGGGCAGATTTCAACAGTACAACTAAAAACAGCCATGTATACAATATGTCTATGCCATTTTCGAAGGGAACCCGGAAGCTTTGGTGGTTCAGTAAAGGATTTCTTACACCATTTAACCCCTTAAGGACACATGATGGGATTCCCTTTTATTCCAGAAGTTGTGTCCTTAAGAGGTTGAATAAAACAGGAGATTTATCTTATGCAGTGTTCTGTATTGTTCACCAATGGTGCATGGTCGGCCACTTGGTCACATCTCCAACTCATTAGATCAGACACCTCGTCTTAGAGGTTCCTTCATACAAGGACCAAAATACTTATTTTATCTGTATAATGTGAAATTGAAAACGCCAGACCAGAGAGATTAAATTATTATACTCCACTGAAGTTTACGTCTTTCTTGGTCCTGTGCACACAAAATTATTTTCTCAGAAAGAAACCAAAGTAAAACAAAGCAAGCATTTTATTCCTTGTGTTGTGTAAAGGATAAGCCATTAAACCAGCCATGTGCAAAGGGCACCGTGAACACAGACAGAGACAAATGCAAACTAGAACAAGTGCAAACCAAAAGCATGCAGCTTTCTAGCCTGACTTTTTTTTTTTTTTGGTTTTTAAATCAACCTATCACTTTTGGCAACCATCTTGGACTATCTGAAATAGCCAAGTAAGACCAAAAAATAAAATACAGATTAACACGCACTATAAATTTCTATATTTGTAAAAGGTATTTTCTTTCAGTGGGAGGAGATTGAGGCTGAAAGCCGCAGAATTAGAATTCTAATTTAAACAGTATCTGCACACACTGTAATAGGAAGATGTATATCGTCTCTTGACAGAGGTATTAACTGAAGTGTGAATTCAAAGACAATTTCAAATTTAAGGCCAGAACAGTGAAACTGAAAACATAGCGGACTTCGAGGATTATTCCAGTTTTGACCTTAAACTTGAAATTCACTTTGAATTCACCCTTAATTCTCATTTCAGTGAAAAACGCTGCAAATCTCTTTAGCTGCTTTGGCAACCATTAAATAAAACATTGCGAGTCACAAACAATTTCTGGTAAAGGAAAACTCTAAGGATCAAAAGCACTACAATCCACTAAGAGTTTTAGGCTGGTCAAACAACTTACCTGGGTCACTCGCACACCCTGCTTCTGGACGCTCTTTGTATAGGGCTCTTGTCATAGCATGGTCCTGTATGGGATGTCACAGCCCGGTCCTGTATGGGATGTCATAGCCCGGTCCTGTATGGGACTGCTTAGCTCAGTGAGCAGACCAGGCTTTTCATGCACGAAAAGACCAGATGCGTTGGAAGCACCTGGGTGACCCAAGTAAGTTGTCAAAATATCCTAAATATGGTTTGGGTGCCAGAGCCCTATAAACCCTTCAGCAGGCTGTAGCAGTTCTAATGCTTGAAGTGTTTATTTAGCCAGGTTAATGTGATGCTCCATTCTTTTAAAATGTTTATTATACAGATTTAGACGCACTATTGTGGTTAGGATGTCAGGCATATGATGGGTCCATTTCCCCAGGGAGCAATATCATTTTGCAAGTGATTGTTGTGACGAAGTGCCCTTCGCCACTTGTGCCTGGAGAGGACTGCTTGCCCGCCTCTTGCCCTGTGACTATGGCCCCTGGGATGTATTGCCCTTTAAAGACATGATTTGGGCATAATGGATTTGTGTTGTGTGCTGCTGGCCCTTTAAGAACCATCTGGGGACATACTGTGGAGTTACTGGGTGGCCACCATTTCCTGTATCAGAAGCACATGGTGAGAACAATGGATAACTCACAGACACTGTTTGGACTTTTCAACACGGTGCCATCTCGCCAGTATTTGGTGCACAGAGACATCGTGCAGTGGTTTTGGACTATACAGCAGGGGACACATTATAAAGTGATTGTTTTTCATTTAGCCTGTATATGTTCTGCAGAATCTGCATTAAACTGTATTTTCCAAAGTACTGAACGGATCTGGGTGAATTTTGGATATGTGGTTCACCCAGATCCCCCGGTTCCAAGGATATACTTTTTATGGGGTTATTGCATGTTTTGGGGTCCCTGTGTGTTTTATGAAACTGTATTATTTCTGGCCAGCAGATAATTGAGCTTTGTGTATTGTAGAAACTCAATTATCTAGCCTGGCCCAGAGGAGGAGTTTTGTGTTGCATAAATTGTGAGTTCTGTGTGCCAGTAAATCAGTCTTGTTCCAGCATTAAGCCTTGGCTCATGTTTGGGGGAAGGGATACCTACACTCTGGGGATTGCTATAATCACTTACTCCCCAGAGGAAGCTCTTGCAATAGCTTGATTTGTTCCTGTTCCTGCTCTCTGGGGAAAGAGAGGTTCACCCACTGGAAGCTGGATCCTGGCCTTGGGTCCAGGGTGGGTGGAAACAGCAGAGACCCCGGCGCAGTTGCATCGCTGGAAGTGGGGTCTGCAGTGCTGATGGTGTCGGTTGGAGTCCTCAGCGAGCACTAGGAGCATCGATTGGCGGAGGTACTCAGTCGGAGTGCCAGCGTTCCATCACAATTGTATCTTAACTTAGTTCGACTTTGCAATGAGCCTTCATCACTGGGGCATCAAGCTCGTAACAAGAGTTCCAGGTGGCTAATGTTACTTCTGTGCATATGGGAAGCCTGTCGTCAGCACACAGAGGTTTTCATTTATTTAATTTGTTTAAACCTGAGGTGGGTTAGATTTGCACTGGATTGAATGCTGTTGTGACACAGCCGGACAGACAATGCAAATGATAAACGTCCAACTATTTCAATTGCCTGGGACAATAAATGTATGTGTTTGGATTCACAAGAAGGAGCACCTCCGGTAGATGCTGCTAGGCATATCGTGGAGGAAAAAAAGTGTGCTTAAAGCAGAACTGTGAATCCACCCCCACACATGTAAAGTCACTATATCTTAAAGACAGAATCATTATGAAATCTCATTGACCATGTTGGAATTTCACTAAAATTCAAATCCAGTCAAAATATATACTGAGACAAAGTGGAAACTACATTTTCTCAGTATTTTTCCTACACCTGACACGTCGAGACACTGGGCGAAGCTACTGCTGTCTATAAGGGTCAATCTCACAGCAATAACCAGTTACAGTCACAAGGAAATTGGCTCCATCTATAAATAACCTTGTGACTAAAGCACAAAGAACAGAAAAGGACCGGCTGGAAAGTGATGGCTGCACCTGTGAGGGACAGGTTTGGGTAGGGGGGTTACAAATTACGCCAACACCCAACTCAGGGCATACTTCAGAAAAGAGAATATGTGAATCTCAGAAAAATGACAGTCCTTCATTAAGATGTAACTTTGCCCAACAGGCTAATGAAATGAAAGATACCACAGGTATTTTTTTTATAGGCTGTAGTTGGTGATTTGCTTTGTATATGATTAAAGGTACAGTGGTTAGGAATACAAACATGATAAGTAACACGTTCAATGTTTAGGTACTCGGCCCCCCCTCCGAGTGCATGAAAATTTGAGATTTACTTACCTTTTTTTCATTGCCGCTCTGGTCTCACCACAGCTGGGGCCAACTCCATGGCTGAGATCAGTCTTTTCCCCACAGGAATGCATTTGGAGGCTGTTGTGCATACATGGCAAAACTCTGCGCTGCTCCAACCAGCATCTCCTGAATGCAGGTGCTACACCCCGTGCAGCACTGAAATAGGAGGCACCTCTAGTGGCTGTCTGAGTGACTGACACTAGAGGTGTTACTAGGCAGCAATGTAAACACTGCCTTTTCTTGGAAAAAGCAGCTTTTACATTGATTACGCTGTAGTGGTTCTGGTGACTATAGCTTCCTTTTAAAGCCTAGCAGGCAAAACACAGTACTTTTGTTTGTAGCAGGCTTAATAAACCCTTGCTTTTTCACATTATAATGCGATGCCTGCGGAACAATATTTTTCTGAATTTGAACCTTGGGGATTGCAGATCCCTACCAGAGAGCTCCAATATTCTATGTGTGCAAGACACACTTCTTTGTATACGTGTATGCTATAGAACAATATTTTATTTTACCAAGTTAACTTTAAACACAGATATTGGTACCAACATTGCCTTTATGAATATAATGTAGCACTCTTCCTAGTCTGAAAGCTTCACCTACACTTTAATGAACTCTGCAGGACATGCTTGCCTGAGATCCTGCAGAGTTCTGCGTTGAGCAACACGGATAATTTACATTTAATGTCTAAACAGCTTTATTATGGCCTTGATAACTCTGCAACTTTAAGATTAGACTCCATTACTTGGAGACATGTTTAGAAGACAGTAGCCCCATCTCTAGACGATATTGGCATAGCCTGCTTTACATAGAGGGACTGGCACCAAATATGAGAACAGTAAACCGTAGCTCAGTAAACAAAATGCATCATTTAATAAATGTAATACTACCATGTACATCACCACTGATTATTCAAAACCTTAAAAGGGGGATTTGGACACCAATTAGTTCAAGCAAAGCATGTGAAAGTTCATCCTCTAGAAACATAATAATATTTGCATGGCTCTGTCCAGGCTAGCTGGTCTAATCTTGCAATTTTTGCATCAGGACGATTAAAGGATTTCCTGCTCAGATTGTAATAGACTTTATTCCAAAAGAAGCAAACAGCACTGAAGAAGGAAAGTTCCGCAGCAGCAAAGAGCGAGTGAACCCACGGAGCACCCAATCCTTGACACAAAATGTTTAGGGTGTACATGAAAGAAGACCTCGAGAGGCCAGGAGGAGGACACAATGGACGTAAAATGTTAAGACAATTACCAACAAACTACAACCAAGTTTAAAAATGCAACCAAGATTTGTAACGTGATTTGAAACCTAGATTAGTAGTGTCTATTGTGTGTCACATCTGGTCACATTAACAGCATGTCATCCTTCCATGGCCAGCCTAGTCAGCCTTGATCACTACCTACTAGACACTAAGCAGCCACTGTACACTTCAAATCTCCTCTCACTCACCGGGTTTTAGTAAAAACCTAGCAAACGGATGTTCTTCATCCAAAACTTGCATTTTTGAAGAATGAAAAATAGCTGTAGCTGGAAGCCTTCATCTTCACTTCCTTTGTTATAAGCTCTGTCCCTTGCACCTGGCAGTCAGCATAGAGATCGTATTCAGATAAATTAAAAGGTTTCTATAGTCCTCCATCTCGTTTGCAAACCTGGCTGGCTGTGCCTAGACTGAAATGGATTGTGATGTAATTTGCAAAGCTAGGGCAAATGTAAATTAAGAGGAGGAATAGAAACATTGTATTAAGGAACACACAAAACACCATAAACATTACAGCGCGGTCTGACTCATACCTGGGGTACACCTCCGCTACATCTGAGAGACTGCCCGAAGATCCTGCACAGAGCTCCCATCGGCGCACCAGACTCACGTAGTGCAGGGCTAGCTCATTGGCTGAAAGCATCAGCTGGGCACTCTCAGTCAATGAGCTGTGACCCAAGCCTGGCTCCAGAGAGCTGCTTAGGAATTTCTGGCTCTCTGTTGTTCAAAGATAAAGCAGAGAGAGACACCATTTTAAAATAGTTTGACTACTTATAATGGGGGTTGGGAGAAGTCACTCCTGGCACCACAACTGCAGTGCAATATAGTGGTACTTGGGAGTGCTCCTTTAATTTCCTCTCTTCTCTGTGTACTCTCTCTATACTGACTGCCAGGTACAAAGAAAAAAATAAACAAACAAACTAAAAAACTAACAACTTAAACATATACAAAACGAGACATGGCAAATGTCTAGCTTTCCCATAAAACTCCACTAGCATTGCGTCTGTCCTGAAAGATTTAAACACAAGTTTAATCCTAATTTTAATCCAAACGTTCAACACAGTTTGTATTTGGCAGCCATAGTATCGATCTACTCGGCAACTGCTTTGCTCGTGATCAAATTGCCACAACAGATATCAATCACATAACCCTGAGCTTCTCCGCCAGCGATAAATGCTGTAATTCCTTAGTATTTAGTAGCTGTTAACTTTCAGAAGTGTTCTTTAAAAAGGGAAGGCACACGGTAGGTTTTTTTTGTTAAACATTTTAGTAGATTTGCTTCCAAAAGAAAAACATGGATGATTTTTTTCTGCATGTATTCTTAGCTGCAGACGTGCTGTCTGCAGGCTTTCATACTCGTTTTCCTGGCACTATAGTGCCCTGAGGGTGCACCCACCCTCAGGATCCCACTCACGCCAGGCTGGATGGCAAGGAAAGGGGTTAAACTTACCTTTTTCCAGCGCCGGAAGGGGAGCTCTCCTCCTCCTCTTCGGCTGAATGCGCATGAGCGGCAGGAGCTGCGTGCGCATTCAGCCTGTCTCATAGGAAAGCATTTACAATGCTTTCCTATGGACGCTGGCGTCTTCTTACTGTGATTTTCACAGTGAGAAGCACGCAAACGCCTCTTGCTGCTGTCAATGAGACAGCGCTGGGCAGGGAGCTCTCCTCCTCCTCTCATATACACACACACTTCATAAATATTGAGGAAGAATGAGATCTTGCAAAAAAAAAAATATATATATATATATATATATTTTTTTTTTTTTATTTATTTTTTTAATTATGATTTGAATCAAATCTTACGGACCAATGATTTAAATCATGATTTCTATCAATTTAAATCAAATTCACCCTTGTGAAGGTGTCCTAAGACTTCCATTTGGGTGATGTTCACAAGGTGGGTTTCATGTCATTTACTGATGAATACTGTGTCTATCGGAGAATGGTATGGTTTATAGCAGTGTTCTCAACCTTTTATGGAGAAGTACCCCCTGCAGGCCTAAAAAAGATTCCTAAGTACCCCTGCCTTGAGAAAGTAATTTCTATCTTTTTAAATTACAAATGATACACTGTACACTGATGCCATATTGGAGAACAAGCCCGATTAAAAGGTAGTACATAATCTTTTTTAATAAATATCGCATGTGAATATTGTGTATGTGAGGAGGAGTGTATGAACTATGAATCTGAAGTATGAAAAAAAACAAAAAACATACAGGTGAGAACAGTGGTGTATCCTGGTTTTGTGCTGCCCTAGGTGTATCCAGGTAAGAACAGTGGTGTATCCTGGTTTTGTGATGTAATTTTCCGGCTCCCAGCCTCACTCTGCGGTGCGCGAGGGAGCTGAGCGGACAGCTCAGAGGAAGAGCTCCCTCGCCAGCCGCCTGCCCAGCGCCGCGTTTTTTGCCGCCCCCTGAAAAATGCCGCCCAAGGCAAATGCCTTGTTTGCCTCGCGGCTAAAAACGCCCCTGGGTGAGAAACACATTTGCATACAAAAGCACACTGGCACACAAACATAACTTTGGAGTAGGGAACTTTTTTTATTTAAAAAATAATTAAAACTTCTTCCCCCTACCCTGAAGCCAGGGAGGGTGGAATCTTTATCGCTGGTGGTCCGGTGGGGAAAGCAGCATGTCTGTGCCCCAGTGAGTGTAGACAGCTCCAGCCGGCCGGCACCAGGAAATGCATCAGAGCATTGCCACGGTAACCACAGCAACACTAATAAAGAGCAGGATACAGAAACCAATTAGGGCCTCTATTCGAGCGCTGGCCCTGCATGTCCCACAGCAGGAGTGTGGACTGCTGGTGATTGAGATCTTTGATCTCCCTACCGTGCCTCCCATTTCCTGCCTGCCGTGCCAAGGCCTTGTGAAAAATTCGGCCCTTGAGTACCCTGTACTTTTGGCGCGCGTAGTGGTAATCATACCACAGGTTGAGAAACCAGGGTTTATATGACATTGGTGGCCAGTGATGCAAAAGTTTAAGGGCCACTTACTCAATGCCTTTCTTCACCAACTATCAATCCCTATATGAATTGTCGTATAAACAGCAAACAGTATATATTATGATTACTATTAAAAGGCTCCGATGATTTTTTTACTCTTCAAGATTACTTTTTATCCTGCTATTACCTGAATCGTGTATTAAATTAAATTTTTTTTATATCAACAAAATCCCACACCTTAAAATGCTAACAGAGTGGTTTGCAGCTAAAATGTGAAGGCAGCTTGCAAGGTTTCTGTGGTTCTCTCCCTTATGTGTCAACATTGAACAACACTCTGTACAGACAAAGAAACCACAGGCCTCTCCCTCTCTAACTTTATTGGCTTTCTCAAAAGTGACCAGGATGAATCTTTAGGATGGAGGAGGAAACCCTACTCCATGCAGATGTCCCCCAGTTAAGGGAATGTGCTATTGAAGTGGAAACCTCAATTTGAAGAGAAAACAACCTATCCTATAAGCAGTTAGAATTCCTTTTTGCAGTTAACCCAGGGTAGCCAAAAGCAAGTTGTTTGTATTCAGTTACATGATAAAGGGCAAATTCATGCAATCTTTTTATCTAAAAGCATGAACCTGTGGGGTTACACACCAGTACAACCAAGTGCTTGCAAACCCCAAAAAACAACCTTCTGCGAACACAGCCCGATGGGAACCATTCATGTGTAGTTTAAATATGCTTTTATCTGGACATTCAGAGCAAATTATCCTTAAAAGAAGGCTCTACCACGTTAAAAGATAGTGTTTTTTATTTTTTTATTTCTTAAATGATATTGTATACATGATATTGGGCATAACATGTAAATTAGTTTAATCCCCCACAGGAGCCAAGATGGTCCATACACGGAAATTCTCCCAAAGTAAACCACAGTGGAACAGACCTCAGCCAATAACAGGGGATTAGACTCCAGGGATTTACTGAAAAAGTGGGACAAGTACAATGCACTGTAATATGCATTATAATAAGGGAGGGTGAGAAATTAACCCCGGCGTGTCCCTTTAACTACTGGTAGGCTGAAACTGAATATTCTGCAATGTACCGTAATACAATCTTTGACCGCCCCGAAAACACAAACTTGAAATAACACAAAGATCAGTAGAGATTGCAAAGATTTAAAAAAAAAAAAAAAAATTTAACTATTTACCAGGATCGCAATTCATTTTTGTTCAGAATGTGAGATTGAAGAATACAGCATAAAGTAAGCATATAGAAGTAAGCAAGCAAAGCATTTTTATTCTAGTTTAAACATTAATAGACAATATAAGAACATGATAGATTTAGCAACTCGGAACATGATAGGTTTAGTAGAAAAAAGCTAATAGAGGGAGTAAGGTGGTGTATGCGGAAGGCAGTTCTTAAAATACAATTATCCATCTACCTGAAATAGATCTTATCACACAAAAGTTTGCCCAGACCAGTGTTTTTCAAGCAATGGGACTCAAGCCACAAGTCACATTAACATTAAGGCAGTAATGAATGTCATCTGTTAAAGTTAAACATTATTTTATCTCAATGAACTGGTGTGGGTGCCACGTCTCCCCTGTTTCTGCAGGAATAGCAATATTTTTATTGTAGGATTAACCTGCCTCTAGTGGTCGTCATACTGACAGTGTTTTACACCGGAAGCGCCTTCCTGGCTGGCTATTTCTATCAGATGGTCTTATAGCGACCATCCAATTGGTACGAGAGAGGTGGAGCTTCACCAAGGAAACCGGTGAGGTGGAAAATGATAAAAGGAAACTACCTTTGTAACCCTGGCAGCAGGGGGACGGTCACCTAAACTGTAACACTAGCGTTAGCAGTGTACGTTACAAAAGTACTGTTTTTAGTTACTGTAACCCTTTCTACCATAAAAAAAATAGCTAAAACTGACCTTCAAGATCAAGTTCTCCCTTAACAAATGAAAACATTTTTACAAAATGTAAAACAATTTGTGTTTATTTTTTTTAAAAACAACATGTCTGCATCAAACCTGGGTTTCCGGTTTTCCAATTACCTAAAACTAGCAAGTTCAAGGGTTACTCCAATTATCATAACCACTACAGTGTTTGTAATGCCAGGAGCAACCTTGTCTGGTTCCCCAGTAATGGGGCAAACCGTTTACCAACAGTACCTTACATGGGCTCATGATGGACTCTGATGCTCTCTGGTGAACTGCAGGAGCTGCGACGTTCGACATACACTGGATGAGAGATTTAGCGGACTGCTCTCAGTCAATGAATGAAAGGTCTGTGCAATGAAGCAGACACCCTTATGAAGATGGGGTAGGTGAAGTTACACCTCCGCCAGCAAGGGGTTTAATCTCTGTAAATACAGGGTTTCAAAACTAATAATTTTAAGTCACTGAAGTGGTCATGGTGCTTGGAGTAACCCTTTAACTGAAGTAGTCTAGTCAGACTGGTAAATGTGACATTTATAAGCTCCTGAAGAAAGCAAGAGTAGGTGAGCCATGGAAATTACCCTCATTAAATTCTACCTTGCTACAAGACAATGTTGGGAACTGCTGGCCTAGACTATTACCAGCACTTAGCAACTGAGCTACAGACTGTCGATTTCCCTTCACTGCACTTCGGTTATGAATATGCGGTTGTGGCCACCTTACTTGGGTATTGTGCTGCCTGCTATTCCAGAGAGCAAGAAACCGGATAGAACACTTTATAAAAAGTTTTTTACACCAAGAAAGCTGCATTAACAGTGTCACCAGTTTATTACTGGGGTAATTGGCAACATAACCAGTAGAGCTCATGCTAGTACTTATGTGCAAGAGTCTGAGGGGCACTTCTCCCTTGGCCGCACCCTGCATCTACTACTCTGGGGAAGCAATGATAGGCTGAGAATGCTGGAGATGAGTTTGCCACTCACTCAGACTATAACGTTGTCTTGCCAAAGTGAATTGGGCTAATGAAATACTGAACTTCTGCAACAGCTGAGCAGTAGCAGAACGGAGGGCTGTAGGTGCCTAGAGAGCTATTTTTTTTGTCAAACTTACTCAAAAAACAGTTTGACACAAAATGGACGGTGGCACCAAATGTCTCTGCATCATAAGCAGAACAAACTGTAGTGCTTTGTGTCCCTTTAAGGTCCCCACTGGTCCACGTAACAGCCCTCCTGTAGACCTTGCATGCAGATTACCCATAACAGATCAACACAATCATTCTTTATTTGATTAGCACGGAAACAGAAGCTAAACCTTTGCATAAGAACAGTACCCAGGAATCTGGCTATCATCCTCTAGATTTAAAATCCTTTCCCCTATGACAGATTCATTTGATTACCCATTTACATGATGCATCGCCTTTTTACAATCTATAGCATTCCAGAGGACTACATTTTTTGCAGATATCCACCCAATTAACAAGGAAGTCTTACTTGGAGAAAATAAGGGGGAGAGGTCCATATGCACCACACCTTCAACCACTGAGGCCGTCCCCTTACTTTAATAGTCTAGCAGACAAGGCTAGTGGGAGATACCCCACTTCATATTATAGCACATGAACACTATTACAAGCAAGGCTTGGGAGATATTCCAGAGGTGAGATTGCACATGTCCTGCCAGATGCCGTAGCGAATATAAAAACAGCATGACAAACATCCCATTTTTGGCTTTTTTTATTTAATTTTGTACATAAAAAGTATTAGGCATGTCTTATGCAAATAAACAGGAATGTATTCAACCTTCACTTTATGTCCTTACTTAAAAAAAAAATTCACATGGGCTGCCTATTTTAAACATCAAATTCACAGCAATTCCATATGGGGGGAAAGTTTCATGTAGAAAGAAACTTTGTGGAAAACATGGGATACGGCTGAGCGCAATCTAAGATAAGGAACATTAAAAAAAAAAACATTTTGTAATACAGTAATATATAGATGTAGTGCGCAAAATTGATGTACACTCACAAGATAGAGACATATAAAGCGCTCAAAGGTGCCTCCCCAATGAATATGGGTGGCTAAATATTTCCACGTCCACTACAATGGATAAGATGGAAATTCAGGACTGCAAAAGGTGAAACTGAGGTATAATATATCAAAAATGTATTATAAAAAGGTTTATAACTACCACCAACATAGAATATAAAAAGGAATCTTCATCGGGGAGGCACCTTTGAGCGCTTTATACGTCTATCTTGTGAGTGTACATCAATTTTGCGCACTTCATCTATATATTACTGTATGTATGTATATATATATATAATTTTTTTTTTTTTTTATGTTCCTTGTCTTAGATTGAGCTCAGCTGTATCCCATATTTTCCATGTATTGTATAAGGTCGTTTGTGGGTTAACGATCTTGGGAGGCTGTTTATCTGAAATCAGAGAAGTATATTTTATACTTATATTACCACACTGGTTACACTTTGGTGTTGTATTTTTGCAGAAAGAAACTTTATGCACAGGCAAAGAATATGGAGAAAAATAAAATCTGTATTTGCTGGTAAAAAAAAAAAAGACAGACAGAAGACAGAGCTGCTCTGTTATAGATAACCTGACATGCGGTGTCTTAAATAGATGGTGTATTATCTCAGCAAACCCTTCCAGAGTTACATTATAGAGGCTGCAGCAACTGTATGCCATTAATCTTTAAAAAACACAGAGCTGCACAGCAACTGCATGTAAGGCAATATTGTCAAAGAGGAACGCCATTGAAGCACTTTTGTTTTAAGTAACTTGTTTAATCTTAAAAGACAGGCCAACAAGATGGGAGATGGCATTTTATTATAATAGATCAGCATGCAGGTCTCATTTCTCACGAAATGCTGCACCAAACTCAAATTTGCAAACGAAGCAACACACTACCATCATGTCACAAGACAACTGCTCGATACGAGTGGCTTAAACCATTACAGATATTGCCTGTAAAAAATCTGGGACTAATAAGAAACCGACAAATCCAATTTTTACAGAGATAAACATGATCCTTTGGTGGTATTGATTGGACCGAGGGCAACATCTGCTGCAATGCAACAAACAAGATGAGGATTAAAATAATAAATAAAAATGCATGCTCATGACTCTAAACACCTCTGTGGGCAGCAGAAATCACTAGCTAGCCAAAAACCAAAAACAATAAGTCACAAAGATGAAGAGGTCCCAAATCTCACATCATACAATTGTAGCATGCTCCAGGTTTCCCATGATGCTCCCCAGCCAGACCTTAAAAAATGTAGATTTAAAAAAAAAAAAAAATAATAATAATAATTTTGGGGGTGCTTCACTACACTAGGTCACAATACAGCATGCTCCTTTAAATGAAATGCAGTGTGACCATTGAATAAAAGTTACCATGTTATAACAATGCTCTAAAAGACTAAAAAGCTTACATTACTAAACACAGGCAGAAACACAAAGCTACAAGAGGGGAATCCCAATTCATAAAAGGATTGCAGTATCATCGCAAGCACTTTTCATTTAGAATTGATTAATCGAGCTAGATCCAAGGCAGATTTTACTGTACAATAGTCAGACAGGTAAAACACAAAACAGCCATACAATCATAGGTTCCCTCTAAAGATAGAGGAAGAAAATAAATAAATAATATCGCAAGGATTTCTCCTGTAAGGATGTATTTTAATGAATTCTCATCCAGTACCCAAACAAAGGAAAAGAGATCCCATGAAGCCCCAAAAGTGAACAAAATATAGTGTAGCAGGAGGTTAAACAGTATCACTTCATGTAAGCATATAACTGGAGCAGACAGTTAAATACATGGGAACAGTTGGGCTGCCTATCAACAGCATCATAAGAACATTCCCCAAACGCATGGCTCAGATAATCTGAATCGCAGTCATTCACAGAGACCGCCTTTGATTCATACTTATATTAACTCTCGGAGTTCCAATTACGGTATATACAACACAACTCAGTGTTAAAGTGTAATAATAGGCAAGATATTTAAATACACCCCAGGCCTAACACATAAAGCTGCACAAATGAGTGAGTTATTCTATCTGTAACACTGGCATGTGCCCTAAAACCAACTTCGAGCAGGGAAGGAAGGAAAGGTAGAAACGTATCTGTTGCAGAACTACAACTCCCAAAATGCTCTGCCAGCAGGAGGCTCTACCTTGTGACCACCCTTGAGAGATCCGTAGTGTCCCAAGTCCTCTTTCTCTGCATGTATATTGCAAAAACAGGCCTATCAGCTACCGCGTTCTCTCTTCTATACATTACTTTATGACTGTCCTAATTATAAGGTTAATGAAGCTTCTTCCAGTGTATTTCAGAAACAAATGGCACTGTGGTGCTTTAGAGGTAAACAAAATGGCAAATGATAAGAAGTCTATATGATTACATAGTTTACTGAGGCAATCAGGCACTAAAGGCAAAGGTTTGTAAACTGTATCTGTAACAAACTAAGAAAACAAATAGCTCTACTTTTTCCTCAGACAAATGCATTTTTGCATTCTAGTGATGTGTTAATCAGACAGGCAGTGTAACTGCAGGCAACATAGCAATACCACCACAGACATACCAGTATACATGGCTGCTAAAGACTACTTAATTGAGCTAAAACACAAAATTACTTTGTATGGCTATAGAAACATATTGCATATGTCAACTGCAAGAATGAGCTCTACTGCAGCAGAACAGGATATGAAGATAGAGACTAGAACAGCACTTCCTAAACTGATGGAAATAGAAGCCAACATTATATGGCACCCCTACTAAGACAAATGTGTGAATCCAGGCAGACTGACCAAAGAGTAAGCAGAGGGACAAGGGGTGTTGTGTGATGCTGCCTTGTAAGGCCACCTGTCAACCACAGCTGCTACCACTACCCTTAATGAACACAGATCTGGGTAGTCTTTAACGTGGCTCAACCAAAAGAATGGGAAAGCAGTACAGACAGAGCTGCTCCAAAAGGTTCTGCTAGAAATTTCGTTTGCATTGCCTGTGTATTCCAAACCACCAATAACAAGGAGAAGGCCAGATATTCCCACTATTCATGATGGCACAAGCACAAATGTCAGGGGCATAAAATAAATGTATAAATCAATATGCCTTTCTCCCTCCCCCAACACAGAAAAGGAACTCAGACAATTAACACAAACTGATAACCCGTGCATTCTTCCAGGATAGGGCTTTGCCATCCCTTTGTATAACATTGTGTGTATTGGCAAGCCATCCTGGGAGTGAGAGGTGGAACAGTGCAGCAATCCACAAATTATACTGGCACCATCCTTAAACCTGGGAAATTAAAGCGCAATTCAAAAAAAAATCCAGGATTATCCTCAGACAATCTTCCAGAGGAGAAAGTCATGATGTGTATAAGCATTGTTATTCTCACACCCCCTTTAAAGGGACACTATAGTCACCTGAACAACTTTAGCTTAATGAAGCAGGTTTGGTGTATAGAACATGCCTCTGCAGCCTCACTGCTCAATCCTCTGCCATTTAGGAGTTAAATCCCTTTGTTTATGAACCCTTGTCACACCTCCCTGCATGTGACTTGCACAGCCTTCCATAAACACTTCCTGTAAAGCGAGCCCTATTTAGGCTCTCTTTATTGCAAGTTCTGTTTAATTAAGATTTTCTTATCCCCTGCTATGTTAATAGCTTGCTGGACCCTGCAAGAGCCTCCTGTATGTGATTAAAGTTCAATTTAGAGATTTAGATACAATTATTTAAGGTAAATTACATCTGTTTAAAAGTGAAACCAGTTTTTTTTTTTCCATGCAGGCTCTGTCAATCATAGCCAGGGGAGGTGTGGCTAGGGCTGCATAAACAGAAACAACATGATTTAACTCCTAATGATTTTACTTATTGCATATTCCTAGCAAACAGCCGTTCCCAAAAGTGTATGCACACAGTAACAACTAGTTTATCCTCCTTACGTTTTATTTATTGCCAAATGCTCTTCCAGGCCTGGGGTCCATCCCTTCCCCCAACTATTTGATTAGTAACCACTGCCATCACCCTAAAAATAAACAGGCAGACCCCTAATTCACAGAGAATGGACACATGTAGCAAACCATTAGTGAAGCAGACTGTCCAACCCTTAATCCTAGGAGAAAGCCCTGTAACAGCTACTGAGCCCCCAATCACTACCAAAGGGAAATACAAGGATTTGTTTATATTACAAGATATATTATTAAAATGTTATTTGTAGCCCATGACCATTCAATGCACCTGACAGTGCGCCCCTCTCCCCAAAACAATATTACATAGATCCTATTTTACTTTATCAGTGCACCAGTCAGTATGCCACCCTCCGATAATTTATTACGTTAACAGGGCCTAGATGATATTGTATTACTCAGTGCAATAGCCACCCCCCCAATACTATATTATTGTATAGCCAGTCTCCCATATAATACATTATATACAGTACGTTGCAATATATGATAGTGTATATTGAATAGTAACCCCCCATAATAGTATAACCATTATAAGATATTTCATAACAGCCAGTCTCCCATATCACAGTGGAAATTGTGAGCCCAGATACATAGATTATATAACACTATGTTGTAGCAACCACCATATATTGTATAAACATGCTATATACTATATTATTGCATTTTACAGCAGTCTGTCCCACCCCACACAAAGTATATAATATAATGTCCCCCCCACACACAAAGTATATAATATAATGTCCCCCCCACACACACACAGTATATAATATAATGTGTCCCACACACACACACACACAGTATATAATATAATGTGTCCCGCACCACACACACACACAGTATATAATGTGTCCCGCACACACAGTATATAATATAATGTGTCCCGCACACACACACACAGTATATAATAGAATGTGTCCCGCACACACACACACAGTATATAATAGAATGTGTCCCGCACACACACACACAGTATATAATAGAATGTGTCCCGCACACACACACACAGTATATAATAGAATGTGTCCCGCACACACACACACAGTATATAATATAATGTGTCCCGCACACACACACACACAGTATATAATATAATGTGTCCCGCACACACACACAGTATATAATATAATGTGTCCCGCACACACACACAATATAATATAACGTCCCCACACACACACAGTATATAATATAATGTCCCCACACACACACAGTATATAATATAATGCCACACACAGTATATAATATCCCCACACACACACAGAATATAATATAATGTCCCCACACACACACACAGTATATAATATAATGTCCCCACACACACACACACAGTATATAATATAATGTCCCACACACACACACACACACACACAGTATATAATATAATGTCCCACACACACACACACACACAGTATATAATATAATGTCCCACACACACACACTATATAATATAATGTCCCCCCCCCACACACACACAGTATATAATATAATGTCCCCCCCACACACACACACACAGTATATAATATAATGTCCCCCCCCCACACACAGTATATAATATAATGTCCCCCGCATACACACACACAGTATATAATATAATGACCCCCGACACACACACACAGTATATAATATAATGTCCCCCACACACACACACAGTATATAATATAATGTCCCCCACACACACACACAGTATATAATATAATGTCCCCCACACACACACACACAGTATATAATATAATGTCCCCCCCACACACACAGTATATAATATAATGTCCCCCCCACACACACAGTATATAATATAATGTCCCCCCCACACACACACAGTATATAATATAATGTCCCCCACACACACACAGTATATAATATAATGTCCCCCCCACACACACACAGTATATAATATAATGTCCCCCCACACACACAGTATATAATATAATGTGTCCCCCCCACACACACAGTATATAATATAATGTCCCCCACACACACACAGTATATAATATAATGTCCCCACACACACACACACAGTATATAATATAATGTCCCCCCCCCACACACACACACAGTATATAATATAATGTCCCCACACACGCACACACACAGTATATAATATAATATAATGTCTCACAGCCCGGGTTCCCTCACCTCATGGTGGCCGCCGTTCTCCCGCAGTCGCCCCGCAGTTCCCCCCGGTTGGGTGATGAATGGGGTCCTCGCGCTCTCGCCCTCCGCTGGCCGCTGCCTCAGTCTCCCGGGTCCCGGTTACCGGCGGGGGCGGCCCCGAGCCCCCTGCTGTACGGTCAGCGGAGAGCAGCCAGGACTGGCACCCCGAGCCCTGGGCACGGCCACCCCGGCGGGTACAGCCTCTCCGGTGCTGCTCGGTCTCCGCCGCGGATCCCGTTACGAACCAACCGTGTCAACGACTCCCAAACCGCCGCGCGTGCGCGCCAACAGACACAGTGCGCGCGCCCGACAGGGTGACGTAGCGCGCTAAACTAGCACAGAGCGAAGAGAAAGGGTGTCAGGCCACGCCCCCATTCCCACCGCGTCTCCCACAGGCAGCCTGCTTCAGCTGTTTCAAAGGAAAAGGAATCCCTGTGCCAGGGGGAGGGGCGGGGCCTTGACGTCATCGCTCATGGTCTATTCTGTTCACTAGGACGTTTGGCGCAGAGAACACCTTCACTATTAGCCCTTCTTCCTGAGAGACATTCACTATTAGCCCTTCTTCCTGAGAGACATTCCTATTAGCCCTTCTTCCTGAGAGACATTCACTATTAGCCCTTCTTCCTGAGAGACATTCACTATTAGCCCTTCTTCCTGAGAGACATTCCTATTAGCCCTTCTTCCTGAGAGACATGCACTATTAGCCCTTCTTCCTGAGAGGGAAACATTCACTATTAGCCCTTCTTCCTCAGAGGGAAACATTCACTATTAGCCCTTCTTCCTCAGAGGGAAACATTCACTATTAGCCCTTCTTCCTCAGAGGGAAACATTCACTATTAGCCCTTCTTCCTCAGAGGGAAACATTCACTATTAGCCCTTCTTCCTCAGAGGGAAAAATTCACTATTAGCCCTTCTTCCTGAGAGACATGCACTATTAGCCCTTCTTCCTCAGAGGGAAACATTCACTATTAGCCTTTCTTCCTCAGAGGGAAACATTCACTATTAGCCCTTCTTCCTGAGAGACATTCACTATTAGCCCTTCTTCCTGAGAGACATGCACTATTAGCCTTTCTTCCTGAGAGACATTCACTACTAGCCCTTCTTCCTCGGAGGGAAACATTCACTATTAGCTCTTCTTCCTGAGAGACATTCACTATTAGCCCTTCTTCCTCAGAGGGAAACATTCACTATTAACCCTTCTTCCTGAGAGGGAAACATTCACTATTAGCCCTTCTTCCTCAGAGGGAAACATTCACTATTAGCCCTTCTTCCTCAGAGGGAAACATTCACTATTAGCCCTTCTTCCTGAGAGACATTCACTATTAGCCCTTCTTCCTGAGAGACATGCACTATTAGCCTTTCTTCCTGAGAGACATTCACTATTAGCCCTTCTTCCTCAGAGGGAAACATTCACTATTAGCCCTTCTTCCTGAGAGACATTCACTATTAGCCCTTCTTCCTGAGAGACATGCACTATTAGCCTTTCTTCCTGAGAGACATTCACTATTAGCCCTTCTTCCTCAGAGGGAAACATTCACTATTAGCCCTTCTTCCTGAGAGACATTCACTATTAGCCCTTCTTCCTGAGAGACATGCACTATTAGCCTTTCTTCCTGAGAGACATTCACTACTAGCCCTTCTTCCTCGGAGGGAAACATTCACTATTAGCTCTTCTTCCTGAGAGACATTCACTATTAGCCCTTCTTTCTCAGAGGGAAACATTCACTATTAGCCCTTCTTCCTGAGAGACATGCACTATTAGCCCTTCTTCCTGAGAGACATTCACTATTAGCCTTTCTTCGTGAGAGGGAAACATGCACTATTAGCCTTTCTTCCTGAGATACATTCACTATTAGCCCTTCTTCCTCAGAGGGAAACATTCACTATTAGCCCTTCTTCCTGAGAGACATTCACTATTAGCCCTTCTTCCTGAGAGACATTCACTATTAGCCTTTCTTCCTGAGAGGGAAACATGCACTATTAGCCTTTCTTCCTGAGATAGAAACATGCACTATTAGCCTTTCTTCCTAAAAGGGAAACATTCACTATTAGCCTTTCTTCCTGAGAGGGAAACATTCACTATTAGTCCTTCTTCCTGTCAGGGAAACATTCACTATTAGCCTTTCTTCCTGTGAGGGAAACATGCACTATTAGCCTTTCTTCCTGTGAAACATGCACTATTAGCCTTTCTTCTTGAGAGAGAAACATGCACTATGAACCTTTCTTTCTGAGAGGGAGCACATACACAATGAACTTTTCTATCTGAGAGGGAGCACATACACTATGAACCTTTCTTTCTGAGAGGGAGCACATACACTATGAAACTTTCTTTCTGAAATAAAGCGCATACACTATGAACCTTTCTCAATAAGAGGAAGCACACGCACTATTAGCTTTTCTTTCTAAGAGGGAAACATGCACTATTTGCCTTTCTTCTTGAGAGAGAAAAATGCCCTATGAACCTTTCTTTCTGAGAGGGAGCACATACACAATGAACTTTTCTTTCTGAGAGGGAGCACATACACTATGAACCTTTCTTTCTGAGAGGGAGCGCATACACTACCAACCTTTCTTTTTGAGAGGGAGCACATACACTATGAACCTTTCTTTCTGAAAGAAAGCGCATACACTATGAACCTTTCTTAATAAGAGGAAGCACATGCACTATTAGCTTTTCTTTCTGAGAGGGAGCACAAGCACTATTAGCTTTTCTTTCTGAGAGGGAGCACATGCACTATTAGCTTTTCTTTCTGAGAGGGAGCACATGCACTATTAGCCTTTCTTTCTGAGAGGAAGCACATGCACTATTAGCTTTTCTTTCTGAGAGGGAGCACATGCACTATTAGCCTTTCTTTCTGAGATGAAGCACATGCACTACTAGCATTTCTTTCTGAGAGGGAGCACATGCACTATTAGCATTTCTTTCTGAGAGGGAGCACATGCACTATTAGCCTTTCTTTCTGAGAGGAAGCACATGCACTATTAGCCTTTCTTTCTGAGAGGGAGCACATGCACTATTAGTTTTTCTTTCTGAGAGGGAGCACATGCACTATTAGCCTTTCTTTCTGAGAGGAAGCACATGCACTATTAGCCTTTCTTTCTGAGAGGAAGCACATGCACTATTAGCCTTTCTTTCTGAGAGAGAGCACATGCACTATTAGCCTTTCTTTCTGAGAGGAAGCACATGCACTATTAGCCTTTCTTTCTGAGAGGAAGCACATGCACTATTAGCTTTTCTTTCTGAGAGGGAGCACATGCACTATTAGCCTTTCTTTCTGAGATGAAGCACATGCACTATTAGCCTTTCTTTCTGTGAGGGAGCACATGCACTACTAGCATTTCTTTCTGAGAGGGAGCACATGCACTATTAGCCTTTCTTTCTGAGAGGAAGCACATGCACTATTAGCCTTTCTTTCTGAGAGGGAGCACATGCACTATTAGTTTTTCTTTCTGAGAGGAAGCACATGCACTATTAGCCTTTCTTTCTGAGAGGGAGCACATGCACTACTAGCATTTCTTTCTGAGAGGGAGCACATGCACTATTAGCCTTTCTTTCTGTGAGGGAGCACATGCACTACTAGCATTTCTTTCTGAGAGGGAGCACATGCACTATTAGCCTTTCTTTCTGAGAGGAAGCACATGCACTATTAGCATTTCTTTCTGAGAGGAAGCACATGCACTATTAGCCTTTCTTTCACAGAGGGAGCACATGCACTATTAGTTTTTCTTTCTGAGAGGAAGCACATGCACTAATAGCCTTTCTTTCTGAGAGGGAGCACATGCACTATTAGTTTTTCTTTCTGAGAGGAAGCACATGCACTATTAGCCTTTCTTTCTGAGAGGGAGCACATGCATTATTATTGTTTCTTTCTGAGAGGGAACACATGCACTATTAGCCTTTCCATGTAAGAGGGAGACCATGCACTATTGCCCTCTCTTTCACACAGGGAATACTTGCACAAGTTTCCTTCCTGAGAAGGAGCACAAGCACTTTTCATTCTGTAAAGGAAACGCACTGTTAGCCATCCTGTTAGACTAGTAGTCTAGTTGGGGTATTAAGTCTGCATCATCTGTAGTTCGCTTTGCTGCAAAAACGGACAAAAGATGTGGCATATTATCCCAGTGATTTTAGTTTGTAACAGAGTGAAGCCTTTAAGAGGGGGAAGCATGGGAGGGCTGGTTAGGGCTTTGTGAGATGCAGCCTCAAACCCATGGGCGCTGCAGGGGGCGCTGGAGGCCCAGATCTCTACGGTTGGTGGAGGGTGCAGGAGGATATTAATGCTTTTCTTTATTATTTTTCATTTTACATTAGTCAGCAAAAAAGCTGCCTGTTATACCTAAGAACAGCAGTATTGTGCTCCGCCAGGATATTTAGGGGGAGGCTTGGTTCCCCCCCAGGTGAATGTCAGAAGTGGAGAACAGAACTTGTGTTATACACCCCTATAATTTTTAGGTAGAGTGGCGTGATCACATTTAATACCTGAATAGCAGCCTGTGCTTGTTTTCATGGGTAGAGAGGAAAGGATATATAATGACATAGTGTAGGGGTCATCTGTTAGTGTACGGGTCATCAAGCTTTCCCTTGGTCTGATTACAATACAATACATTTGGTGTATTGGGAGGTCTGTATTGGGGAAGGTATCGATAAGTTCATTCTCCACATAAGTTGTAAGGTCCACACGGAGAGTGATCTGTGAGTTTTATTCACAAACAAACAAAAAAAACATCCACCGTGCATTTCTACTTGTTAGCCCTTCTCTAGTGGCAAGGATATGAGCACTGGCTGGACACCAGGTAACAAATGGACCAAAGTTGACGTGATGCACCAAAGGGCCCCTGAAACTATGGTTTTACTAATTCTGTGCAGGATTCTGCTTAATGTAAAATAGTGACATTGAAATGGATAGATGTATGTCAAAGGGAGATGTTTTTAATTTTCTGCATATCTCTCTTGATAAAAAATAATATTCCAAAAGCCCCTATATGCAGATACTGCTAATTTTATGCAAACAGATATACAGTATCTCACAAAAGTGATTACACCACTCACATTTTTGTAAATATTTTATTATATTTTTTCATGTCACAACGCTGAAGAAATGTCACTCTGCTACAATGTAAAGTAGTAAGTGTACAGCCTGTATAACAGTGTAAATGTGCTGTCCCCTCAAAATAACTCAACACACAGCCATTAATGTCAAACCGTTGGCCACAAAAGTGAGTACACCCCTAATTGGAAATGTCCTAAATGGGCCCAATTAGCCATTTCCCTCCCTGGTGCCATGTGACTCATTAGTGTTACAAGGTCTCAGGTGTTATCGCTCTCACACTCTCTCATAATGGTCACTGGAAGTTCAACATGGCACCTCATGGCAAAGAACTCTCTGAGGATCTGAAAGAAATAATTGTT